AGGCCATGTAAATCAAAACAATAAAAAGATAAAAAGACAAACAACATTCTGCCAAAAAAACCATAGAAAACTATAAACTGAGAAGCGCGAACCCCACCAAAAACCGGGGTTGATCTCAGGTGCTATCAAAACGATCAGCAGATCATTCTCCATTTTTTATATTTCGTTTTGAACAGTGATGTAATTAATAATCCTTTACTACCGTAAAGGATCTTGCCTTGACTATGATCTACTGATGCATTTTTTTTTAAAGATTTTATCAGCTTTGTGTAGCTTTGTGTTGGTTAAAATTAAACAGTAGCTCCACCAATCCTTCTTTAATACACTAAGTTTCGGAAAATCTTTACTTTGTCTCAAATCAGGCAGGCTAGTGTTATCCTCTGCTGTAAAAACAAATGAAACTGGTTAATTTGATGTTCTGGTTTTGGGTTTTTAGGGTCCTTGTGGAGTAGTCAATCTCTTTAAAGGGGTGCAACTCCAGAGCTGTCTTCAAGCAAGGCTTTCATGAAACCCGTTTTAAGCTTTTTCCAACTTATCTTGTGACAAAGTTTTTGATCAATTGGGTATGACCTGTTCTACATCTAGTCTGTACTTTCGTCTCTAGCTTTTAGTATCTTTCCCAATCCTTGGGTTTTGTGTTTTCTTAGCAACGTTGTATGCTCTGTGGTTGCGACACGACAATCTCTTGAATCTGTCTAATTCGCCGCGTTGTGAATTCTTATGGTAGTTGTCAAAAGTTTTCAACAAGGGTTTTTGGAATTAGACCACAACAGAGTTCTTGATGTCAATGTTTGAAAATAACTGATGATTTAGTTAAAATCTTCTGTATCTACTTTTGACCACAGGTAAGTTGTTCTTTGGTGTTTGATTTAGAAAAGACAATGACGTGGTCTCCTAATGCTTGAACAGATTTACGTAGGTCCTTCAATGATAATCGATTGAATGTGTTCCATTTGATGAATAGTTGTCTAATCGACAATCAAACCACATCTTCGGATTTTATATACAAATTAATAATCTGATAAGATAAGATCAATTACCATGTATATGCTTTTCCTCAGATCCTGTCTGTTCTTCCTTACAAGGGTCTGACAAAGCTCTGTTTTACTTTCTTCTGTGATAGTTATTACGTCAACTAACAGAAACTTGTTCATTAAAATTTTTGAAGGTGTATATCATTACAAAAAAACCCTTATAGATCTCGAAATGTCTTAACAACAGAAAGTACAACATAAAATTGTCAGGTTCTTGTCAGCGAAACGTGGACACAGGCTCAATATTTATCACAGATTGGTTTTTGATTTTTCCCTTACTAGCAACTTGATTGATAAAAGTGGTTTGAATAAGTTCTGATGTCTGCCTTTATGGAGCACAGGGGTACTAAAGTATCTTTTAAATAGACACTTCAGTTAAATCAGTGAAACATTACTTAATCTAAACCAAAATGATATCTAGATACACTAGATTTGTACAAATAAGAAAGAAAAAAAAACAGAGGAATAATTTCAGAAAAAAGTCATATTTTGAGAATCGTTTCTTTTTGCAGAACTCTTCACAAATGTAGAGGGTGAAATGAGTGAAGAGAATTTATCTTTGTTCAAAATTTGTATAAATCTTTGTTGTCATTTAAAATCCTTAACTTAACCCTAATTTATTGCACAAAGCAAGACATTCATTTTTTTTCAGGAATCATGATTCTGGATATATTAAATATAGCCAAATATCCTGTCACTGGTATTGTTCAGATATCATGATCTATTATTGTACATAAATTGTAGCAAATATGACAATTTATGAAGTGAAATAAGATTAATGCATCAAAGTTCATCCTTTTTCAATTGGTCAAGATATACTAATAAATGTCCTTTCAAATTTGCTGCCATGAGTATAACAAGAGTGCATACATTGAAATGTCGTGCTTGCTTTTCTAATTATTATTGAATTGTATATTGTTGCCTTTTGGAAAAAAGGTTTTATTTCAAGTAAGATCTACACTTAACATTATCAATGATCTTTGAAAATGAAGTCAATAAAGGCAACAGTAGTATACCGCTGTTCAATAGTCGTAATTCGATTAAGCGAAAATAAATCCGGGTAACAAACTAAAACCGAGGGAAACACATCAAATATAAGAGGAAAACAACGGAACAACGGAAACACTGAACTACAACAAAAGCAAATGCCAACATATATAGAAACGGACTATCTGATAACAACTGCCATATTCCTGACTTGGTACAGGACATTTTAAAAAAACATGGTTGGTTGAACCTGGTTTTATGGCTAGCCAAACCTCCCGCCTATATGGCAATGTTAAAAATACCGCTAAAATGACAACACTACGTAACAGGAACACAGTTCAAACAAATGCAAGAACACTCAGCACAGAGTAATACACAAATAAATAATATAATAGTACATTACAACATATAAACTGCAGAATAACAACGGAAACCTCCCATGAATTTACAACATCACATCAGGACACCACAAACGAAATATAAACTGTGCGACACATGAATGGATCAACGTCACAAAAAGTGACATTTTTTTGTGACGTTTATATTATCACAGATAAATTTCTAAAAATAAAATAGATTTGTTTTATTTATAGACATGTACAAGAATATTAAATGGGGATTGAGTTTATAATGGTGTATTTTCTAACCATAAGAATATTAAAATGGAATTGTGTTTGTTTTCAATCTGATAGACAAATACGCCTTACAATGACTCTGACTTTGAGTCATGGATGGATAACCCATATCCTTTGTTTTTCTATTCTATACACCAAATATATTTGACTTGTTACTTATATTATCTGAAAAACTGGCTTAAACACCAAAAGTGGACTTATGACTTAAAATAACCTTAAAAAATCCTTTACTGTTTTTTTATGAGGCCAAGGACAACAGACATATATCAGACAACAACTTCAGAAAAAAAGGAAGCTGTATACAAGATTTAAATTATCCAGATCTTTCTTCATCTTAAAATAAAGCTTCATACAAAAAGCAAATTTGTCTTTGATGGTATTTGATCAGCATCCCTGACTCCAATCCTGTCCTGCATCATACATTACAAGCGATACAAAAAACCTAACCTCTTAAACTAATATTTAGGCCAAAGCCAAATATCCTGAAGTTTTAGGGGAAATTTTCTGCTTAAAAAAGGATGTACTTGCAAAAGTTTAAGTCATTATTGTAGTTACAAATAATACATCAGTTCAAAATATGCTGATTATTTCTGTGCTTAAAATCCAGTGGCAAATATTTCATCCATATTATAGTTGAATCAAAATATGCTGAGGAAACAACATATTCAATTTCTTATTTGTTTTCTTTTTTTTTTTTTGGGGGGGGGGGGGGGGAGGTTGAAGGGTGGGGTAGGACAATAATTATTATTCATTTGAAAATTCAAGATTTGAAAGAAAAAAGTTAATTAAAAAAATGTGATTACTGTGACTTGACTGTAAGTGTTGCTCTCCACCTATTGCAGTCAAAATGTTTTCTTTTTTGGAGGAGGGGAGGGTGGGGGTAGGACAATTAATTATTATTCATTTGAAAATTCAAGATTTGAAAGAAAAAATCTAATTATAAAAATTCAATTACTATGACTTGACTGTAAGTGTTGCAGTCAAAATTCTGACCAAATTGTAATTTGTTTTATCAAACCATACTGTTCAACTGGTCAGAAATTTTAACAAACTGCTGTAGAAAAACACAATCAAGTCGAGAAAGTGCAAAGTGATAAAATAAAGCATACTGACAATCCTATTCCACTTCATAAATATCATGAAAATCATTCAAAGAATTCTATACATATCGTTATTGTAATTGTCATGCCAAATGTGATAGGTAGTAATTTTTGAATTGCTAAAAAAGTCTCCAAATTTAAGTTTTTGACATTTTTATAGCAACTCAAAAATTACTACCGATCACTTTTTGCATGACAATTACAATAAAATCATATATATAAATTATTAGAATGATTTTTCATAGCATCACTGAAGTGGAATTAAAGTTTCATAGAATTGTAAGTATGCGTTATTGTATCCCCTTGCACTTTCACCACTTGAGTGTTTTTCTACAGCAGTTTGTTAAAATTTCTGACCAGTTCAACAGTTTAGTTTGATAAAACAAAATGCAATTTGGTCAGAATTTTGAATAAACTGCAATAGGTGGAGAGCATAACTTACAGTCAAATCACATTAAGAAATTTCAGGAGTGAGCAAGTCCAAAGTAATAAATAAAGCAGCAGTTAAAATTTTAAATATATAGTAATGTATTATATTTAAACATCAAATCAATTTGACCTATATATATATATGTATATATATGTTGTGTACAAGATGTAAGTTTGTACAAATTATAATTTGCACAGAATTTTTGTACAAGTTGTAAGTGTTTTATGGACCGCTTAACACAAATGGATGACACAGTCTTTTGTTCCACATGTTTCTGTCATATTTTCACGACTACATGATACAGTCTAATACTGAGCATTGATACAAAAACATTATATGAACACAAAAAGACTTTTAATGGATTTGATTTTGGTATAAGGAGAAAAATAAAAATAGAATTTAAACCATTCAGGTGTCCTTATTTCCAGTAAAAGGACAAGGAGAATATCACTAAATGTTAGGTTGAAGTATATATATTTGAATTTAAGACACTTAGCTGATAAATTTTAGAAGATAAACTTTTATCATCTGGTGCAAAAAGGTAAGTGTCGAAAAACTTATAACTTGTACAAAAACCCTGTACAAATTATAATTTGTACAAACTTACATCTTGTACACAACAACAAATTAAATAAACACAAGCTCTTATCTTATTTTTATTTTTGTTAATCAAACAATGAGATTGAATCAACGACTTACTTTTCAGTTAGTTCAAAGGTGACCAAGTCTAATACTGATTTACAGACCTTGTTCATTTGTTTGTTAGTTAATTGTTTAATTGGTTTTTTTTAAGGTGGCAAAAGACAACAAAGTGCAAGAATATATATTTTATTTCAAAAAAATAAAGTGTACAAATAATAGACCAGAAATAAGATGTATCTATCATGTGGTAAAAAAAGAGATATAAATTCTCATTAAAGTAACTACATTTTCTGACCTGAAAATAAATCTGGGAAATATAAAAGGTTAAATATCTCAATAGATAAGATCATATGTCTATAGACTTCTAGAAACTCATTTTTGGAATCATTAATTTTATTTCAAAATTATAATTTAAAGCAAGTTATTTCCCTTGTCTGGAAGTAGAACAGCTGTTCAGCACAGAAGCTCAATGAAGAGTCAAAGATTAGCCATTTTTAATCCCTGTTAATTTAAAGATAATGATTGGTTTTTATAAATATTACAATTATTAACAGTCTTTTGCCTTTAAAAATTCTTGTATTTAAACTCGATTATAAAGCTAGAAATGTTTAGAAATGGGAAGTAACACATTGTTTTTCTTTTTACTTCTCACCATTGCTCTCCACTGCAGCCAACCAGTATTTTACCTGAATACTTTCCAACAAGGGAAATAATTCATATTCGATTGTAATTTGAAAGTCGGATTCGACTTTCAGACATGAGTTTCAAAAGGTACTATATCAGAAAAATACATCTTATATGATCTAGATGAAACTTTCAAACCGTCATAAATATATGTTATAATCTCTCAAGAAACAATATACTTTCAATAAAATAAAAAGAAGAAATAAAAAAGAACTGAGAAATAACTTGCTGTTGTTTTTCATTGAATTTCAATGAGAGGAATCTTGTAAAAGGAAACTGTTTACAATATTTGTATAAAAGTATATGTTCAGCATTAAGTAAAATTAACTTTTCGTAAGTAACTAACTTTAATACATGTTTTTGTAGAGTAAAAAAACACAAAAGTTATCCTTTTGGTCATAAAAGAAAGTTGGAAAACCCCACAATATATGATAAATATAATAATGAAACATTAATACTTATAATACTTATACATTGCAATATAAAAAACAATTTGTATATGAAAACTTTAAATAAAAATATAACAAGTAAATGCAAGAAAAAATTTATAAAATGTTGCAAAGATAAACAAAAATAAATTGAAGACATGAAATGTAATGTAAATAAATGGACGGCAACATCAGATATATCATTTTGTGTACACTTAATTCTTTTTCAAAGCAAAACAAAAGGTAAAAGGTACACCATAAAAAAATTCACTTGTCAGTGGAATTCTTTCAAATGAAGCTATTAAAAAATGCAGTAACAGTTAAAAATACTTGTTTTAATACTTACATTATGTTATTAACCGGTAAATTTATTTAAATAATACTGAATTGATTAAAAATATGTCTGTATTTTATATTTTTTGAATACAAGTCAGATTGTTGGTTTTATCTTTTGAATTGTTTTATACTTTGTCATGTCAGGGCCTTTTATAGCTTACTATAAGGTATGGGTTTTCCTCATTGTTTGAGGTGAAGATTAGTTTGACATTTTTGTGACAATTTATATTTGTGTCAATTTTCTTCTCAAGAAAAGCAAAAATAAACTGCTCTAAAAACAGTTGGCTTACAGAAAAGTCTGAAATAAGGTTGGGTTTAATTAGGCTTATTTTATGGATAGATTTTAATCAGGAAATTAAATCCCTAAAGAAAAATATTACTTTATGGAACATTACTTTCTCAAACGTAAAACCACCAAAAAAGTATTGCATCATATCAATTTCAGTGTAAAACCAGAAAATTAAAATACTGTTGATACAGTATGTTTTTCATCACAACTTCGGTAATTAAATGTAGAAATAGAATAGAGAAAAAATTATTGCACATTGATATAAATGCTAGAACTACTGAAAATATTATCTTAAATACCATGTTTCCCACTCTGTATATACGCCTTATAACATCTTAGTTATCATTAACGGAAAATGACAATGAGAAATAAGTCCATATTAGTCTCATTTCTATAGGATTATTTTCAACACATTTTAATGCAGAATCTCAAGTGATTTACGAACATAATTACATAAAATACGTAATTTGATGAAGGCATTATATAAATAACAATTAAAGTAATATTATATCACAGCTTAGAACTTTGATGTATTCAAACCAATGATATAAGAGTATTTGAAAGGAAAATACAGTGGCAGAACTAATGATGTTTTATAAGATGAAGTTATAAGGAAAAAGGACTAAAGCAAGCTCTTTTTTGTCAGTTATAATTTCAACTTAAGAAATAATTAAGATTAATTTCATTTTGAACATGCAAAATGAAAAAATCAAAGGAAATTAATCTTATAGCTAAATACAATTGATTTTTTTTGTCATTTAAGAAGCATAGTCTATTTTAAATGAAAAAAAATGAATGACATTTTTTTGGTCTGTCTAATAAAAAATATAGAAATAAATAAAGAACTAAAAAAAATTGAAAAACAGAATAGGGTGAAAAAACACTATTTAATTTTGTTGAAAACTATCATTATGATATGAGTGTCACTGTAAAAATAATATCACAGATTAAATCAGTAAATACATTCCATCATACTCCTGGTAGTACAAAATGTATCTATCACTGGACTATTCACCAACAATTTCTAATAATATCTTCTTATAATCACCACTACATTCTGATTCTATTGATGACCTCAATGTCTTCCCACTCAATTCTTTATATTTCACTTTAATCTCTGCTAAATCAATCTGGAAAAAAGAACATGTATGTCAATTAAAAAAATTAAGTTTTATTTCAACATAGCAGATCAAATTTATTTATTACAAAGAAGAAGAAAAACCTCAAGGTATTTGTTATTTTTAATTTGTTAAAAGGAAAACTTCAAATAATGCAACGAATTTTGAGAAATGAATGCTTTACTATTGCTTCCATCCTTATTATAATCTATTAAAGTATTATTGCGAACCAAATGAAAGTTTTCCACAGAGTCGTCTGCTCTTGACCAGGGTATTTAAACTTTTGTCTATTCTCTTGTCCTTTTGAATAAATACAATAGCTATTGTTCTCTGTGTAGTTTTTTCACTGTGACCTTTAAATTTCTTCTAGGAGAAATCTATCACTCATTGATTAATTTACCTGACCAAAAAATTATCTTCTTTTTTTGGGGAAATAGTTGTATAAACTCACATAAACTGCATGCAATATTGTATTTAATCAATATCAATAATATATTTTCAATCTGTTCAATATAACCACTGATTTAATTATAAAGAGTTTATTTCTGACAAAATTTTTAGTATTGTTCCATTGAATTTGCATGTTTTTGTTGTTGTTCAGTTATAGAATACATTTATCAAGACCTTAATTTAAACACAATAATTTTCAAGTTTTTATTTGTCAAACACACAAAAAAAGCAAATTTTAACAGGGAAAATATAAAAAATTTGTTCAGAAATCAACTTTTAATTTTTGAATCAGTGTTTATATTGAAACTATTAAAAACGAATTATTGATATTGAATAAATACAACACCAAATGCAGTTTTTTGAATCCTTATTTAGTATTTGTACATGTATTTTCATTATTGACAGTTCAATTTTTTGTTCAGGTAAATTACACTGTGTCTAAACTACCCCGGCAAAAAATGTTTGGACTCGATGGTATCTAATATCCGGCACGGTGACGGAACATCAATAGACAGAGAAAAGGTAGTTTTCTGTTAATTTATTTGTTATTGTTATGATATCGAAAAATAATTATACATATATAACTTTTTTCTATTGTGAGATGTAATATTTTCTACAACCGTTCCAGATTAGCGGAGAAATAAGTTAAAATGCACGTCAAAATGACGAATTGAGTGAACCTTGCCTCTAATTTGTTTAAATTTCTCCTTAAATTGTTCACATGGTACGGAAAGAAAGGTACGGAAAGAAAGATATTGACATGGAGATTGCAAAACTATTCATTTTGAGCACCTCAATCCTTGTATTTCTGCGTATGGAACGAAAGAAATGGGTCATGTCAAAATGGAAGCACCCGGTTTTGTCAATGTTGTTTACTACACAATGACCCGGTTTTGTCTTTGTATAGAACCCGGTTTTGTTTATTTTATGAAAAGCAACGTTAACACTGGTACCCTGAAATAAAAAAATAATTTACAAATGGCTGATCATGTGGGTTTTCAAACCAGATACCTCAATAAAGCGTGTAGCCAAGTTTGATTAAATTGTTAAAGAGGAGAACATTTTTGTAAGATAATTGGCAAAAACGCAAAGAAATGGTAAAAATCATAATTAAAGGTCAATAATTCTTACAAGGATATCGATCAAGTCGACTTATTTGTATATATTGTCTTGCTGATCATTTTTGCTATATAACTTTTATATATTTCAAGATAATAGACAAAAATGGAAAAAAGGAGAAATTGTGAACATATCTGCTCCTGTTTTCTCTATCTATAGCTGTTTTCAAATAATAGACAAAACTTGCATCCCCCTATGTTCTATTTTAAGCCATGTCGGCCATCTTTGTTGACAAGCGGGGTACCCCAATGATGATGAACAGTTAAACATAAGTTCGTTAGACCTTTTAAACCCGACATAAGATTGTGGATAAGGTTTGTTAAATGTATTGTAGCCCAGTAATTTCAGAGGAGAAGATTATGTAAAAAGATAACGGAAGACGACGCACCACGGGGGCCAAGTGATGAAAAAAGCTCACTTTTCCCTTGGGGTCAGGTGAGCTAAAACCAACCAAGAATTTCAAACAAGACTGCACCGTTCTTGAATTAAAAAAAAGTCTAACAATTCATAATTAAGACTTACACGATCGAGATAAACTAATCAGACATGGCAAAACAACTTCAATTGGGTTTTTTTTTAACAAAAATAAATACTACATATTATTTATACAAGAGTGACTGTACCGACTGACATGTCGCGACTGCTGGAATGATCGTTTTGAATTGATTTTGAAGGTCTGTAAGATAAATAATTTAATAAAAGTATCTCATAAAATTAAACATTGTTCATGGAACCTTAAAAAAAAGTCAAGGTCTGATGAAACCTGCCAGACGGACATGAACACATTACAATCATTAAAACCAACCAAAAAAAAAATGAACATTTACCAATTAATCAAGAAAATAAGTTCAAGGTCACATAAATAGTCATATGCGCCATACGAGCAAATATAGTTGACCTATTACTTATGGTATTAGAGATACGGACTTCAACACGAAATGTTAACCTTGATCATAGATATCAACCATTATCAGCTATTCATTTTGTTAGGAATTCGCTGAACCATGAAAATGAGGTCAATGGCAATGGACATATGACAGATAGAAACATCGTTACATAAAAGATCTGTGTGCGAGGCATATTGCAGTCAGGCCTTCTAACTTCTGACATATGAAGCTTCATACAAATAGTTCAAGCCGCCACGAATTTGCATCCCTTGGTCTCGCATTCCGACAATTCCAAAATATCAATGTGAATTTTTAGAATAAACATGATAATCCTACTCACATACATCCAATTTCGCGGGTGTCCCTGCTTTCTTATTTCTTATAAAATTTTAAGTTGGTATACGATTTAGTTATATAACATCAGTGGCGAATCCAGGCGTCGTATAGGTCACACACGCCCCCACCCCCACCTTTGATGGCCCAAAAAATATTAAATATTTTTTTAACGATTTTTTTTTAGCTTAAATCGTCCAAAACATTGTTCGCTTCGCTACGCTCTGCGGTATGTAAGCTGTTTGAATAACGCCCACTTTGAAAAAACCTGAATCCGTCCCTATATATTGTCAATAATATATTGACCAACATCAATGTACGATAATCATACCACAATGGAGAGAGAACAGAACAGTTTATTTATACAACTATTAATAATCATTAATGCATTTTCTCGATGGCCTGAGACTATTATACTAATTTATACTTAGTATTATAGTTACAATTAGGGATAGATGGATTTAATTTTTAATGCATGATTATTGTAATCCTTTTCTTACCATAAACATTCATTTTCTATGGCGATTCTGCAAGCATATATACATTTGTCTGATTATCATGCCATATAATGAACATTTAGCATTAAGAAGAGTTATTTTAAACGATCATAGGAAATATTACACCCCTAGGTAGATTGGATTACTTATAAAGATAACCATCCTGTTGTACAAGAAAATCACATATCAAATGTGCGTTCTTCAATCTTTAAGACCATAAACTCTAATTTTAAGTTTAAACACTAAAATATACATAATTCAAAAAATATAGAGAGCTTAAACCTCAATTTGTGGTTTAACCTTCAATTCTATCTATTTCGCAGTTAGAGTATTTTTTTAAATGCAAAGCAAAATTATAATTATTTTTGTTCCAATAAAGTAGCAATTCAAGTGTTTACAGATTCAAATAATTAATAAGTTGTCCTCTGTAAGAAATCGTTTTCCAACCAGCCACCAAACTCCTTTTAATTGCTGAAGTTCAATTGTGTTATGCGATTATGCCTTTTTTTTCTTTGACAAAACCGAGTTCTGCCTTGTGAAATCTAGGACAAAACCGGGTTGTACACATTGACAAAACCGGGTGCTTCCATTTTGACATGACCCATTTCTTTCGTTCCATACGCAGAAATACAAGTATTGAAATGCTCAAAGTGACTAGCTTTGCAATTTCCATGTCAATATCTTTCTTTCCGTGCCTTTCTTTCCGTACCATGTGAACAATTTAAGGAGAAATTAAACAAATTCGAAGCATGGTTCACTCAATTCGCCATTTTGACGTGCATTTTTACTTATTTCTCCGTTAATCTAGAACGGTTGTAGAAAATATTACATCTCACAATAGAAAATAGTTATATATGTATAAATATTCTTCGATATTATAACAATAACAAATAAATAAACAGAAAACTACCTTTTCTCTATCTATTGATGTTCCGTCACCATGCCGGATATTAGATACCATCGAGTCCAAACATTTTTTGCCGGGGTAGTTTAGACACAGTGAATTAATCAGTGAGTGATAGATTTCTCTTGGAAGAAATTTAAAGGTCCCATCAAATAAACTACACAGAGAACAATAGCTATTGTATTTATTAGATGGGACAAAAGAACTTACAAAAGTTTAAATCGACAGGTAACTTGCAGGTGAATCTGTGGAAAAGTATCATTGGGTTCGCAATAATATCTAATATATGCATATCTTATATCTTAGATCTACTTCTATTGACTTTAAAAAAATTGAATTAAAAAAATGTCTAGACTTGTTGATATTAGAATAACCAGATATAGGATATTTTAAAGGGGGTTGTTCAATAAAAGGGCCATCTTTCACATTCATTAGGGTCCCAACCCATATAAAGCTATACTTAACTCAACTTTACCCTAACCATAAATGAACTCTTACCCTCAAGTAAAAGAAGGCCAATAAGGACATTTTTTTTAATGTTCACACATATTTACAGACTTAATACTAAGTTTATCTTATAAACACTGACCTCAGATCTTGATACAACAATCCTGATTAACATACTGTCATTTGTACCAACTCCACTGAAGGCTCTACTCAGTCTATCAGCATAAAATCCTACCGGGTCCTCTACAACAGTCACTGAAATACAAAAAAAGATCTACTAAATATCTTCTATCAAACTTTACTGTATCTTCTAAAACTGGATGAAAATAAAAGAAGATCTGCTAGCTGTGTGTCATTTACCTTTATGGTGACATCATTTGTTTACATGAAAACAACAAAATTCTTGAGCTGAGAACAAAAAATCATGTTTTAAAATCACTGGAGTGAGTTTAATGTTACATTTTGTATTATGTCAATATATATTTTTAACTTTGTCTGCTATACTTTTGAAAGGTGAATTAGGATAAAAATACAGATTTAACTAAATCTTTAAGATTTTTATTGGTAATGCAAGCCTACTTAAATCTTATTGTGACTTAATACATAAAACAAATCTCTGACAATGCCTATGTATTAAATCCCAATGGGTGTACCACAACTGATCTTCAGAAAAAAAATATTGACTTACATTATCAATGAATGTCAAACATACTAAACTTGCTGTGTTGGAGTATTTTTTACTGGATAAATCTCCACAGAACACACTAAGACAATTAAAGATGTATAAAAACATAAGCATGGGAAGCTTTATAACAGAAAAATCTCCCAAAAGAATATACTTCTCTATCAAAATTTGTCTGACAGAGCTTAATTCATCCTACTTTCTAATTTGTACAATTTGAAAATTTATCAACGGAGAATGTAATAAATCATGACTAATCCTGAAGAACAGACTACTGGGAAAAGGATGTCCTTGTGGAGTAATAGACCATCAGCTACTGCATGCACAGATAATACGTCTGTAAATCAAACTATAGCTGCATTGGAAGCACTTTAAAAAAATACTTATATCGTTATGAACTTTTATTGCTCAATATTCTTGACATGAATATTTCCTAAACCACAATTTATCATTGTCTACATGTGACATTATATTGTATAACAGAAATAAAACCATGGGAAAGATTAATAAACGAAAGCTAAAACATGTGAATGTCTAATAAAATCTTCATAAACCTTGACATTATATTATATGTATGGAATAACAGGTAATATAAAATCTTTCATTTTCAAATGAAATTACATGAATTATTCCCAGAAGAAAAATCAAATGCATATAAAAGCATGTAATACAAATTCTTTCTTTTTTTTGCACTATTAAATTTAGCGAAACAAGAATGCATATGAAGCATACCCCACTCTTAATTCAAAGTATTGTAAAACAGGAAGATGGTGTCTGACAGAGCTGAAAGAACACACACCTTACAACTCATCACTGTCAAGCTACTGTCCTAACATGAAGTCATTCTGTTTAGTAGAAGTGGAGAAATGTGTGACAAGTTCATATGACATACTGAAAAATTCAAAGTATCGCCAAACAAGAAGAAGGTGTCTATGAGATTCAAAAAGTGCCCAAACTGTCAATTAGTTGACCAAACATGAATTCATTCTGTTCAGTAGTAGTGGATATATATGTGATGAACAATTCTAAGTTCATTCAACAAATATAAAGCTTCAAAGTATCAGTAAACAAGAAAGAGACCTCTGACACATCTGATAACTACTATTATAATAGTTTTATATTATAATACTCAAATTGAGTCAATTTCATGCATAGATACCAGGTGAGCAATAACCTTCCTATGGAGCCTGTAGTTTAATGAACTCCAACAAAGATAAAGCTGAGATGAAAAAACCTTGGTCTAAATAAACACAGTTTATGTCTATTTTAAATATATATTAAGAATCTCTTTAATCATTATCCAAAAGCTTAATTGTCATTAGTGAATTTCATCAGCTTGCTTCTAATTAATTTGAAACTGATAACAAAGAAGATTTTATGCTATATGAGATTTTATAGCTACTTTAAAACTACAAAAGAGTTATATTACAAAAATCTATAAAAAGATGAAGTTATCATATGTGATAGAATTGACACAATTTATTTGAGTCTCTCTCTTTCAAGTTATAATGAAGATTGCAGATTGAATTCTTCGTTAGTATTTACACAGATCTATTTATTTTTCTTATTTCTATGTAATAATTCTTGATATGTTTTCCATTCATTAAATTTTTAACTTAAAAAAAAATCATTTTTGAAAGATGAACCAATTCACTTGATGTGTAACTAATGAAATAGATTATTATTGATATTCAGATGCAGTTTTACATGCTGCATTTGCACAAATTCAAAGAGCCACAATGTCACCCTTTTACATACACTTTACCTCGTGTCTTCACTGCTATTTAAATTTGAAAGGGACTGACGAACAAGAGGAAAAATTAACTGAAGGACATATCAAACAGAAATCATTTTGCCACCTTCTATCATAGGCAGAGCATAAAAGGCATTTGGTAACAAGCATAAAAATAACTCCGTTCCAATCATTATTAGGCGATTAAAAAAATTGAGGTAAATCATACAGTCAAGTTACTAAAAAGTTTTGTTTATTGGGAAAATATTTCAGCATTTCTATACCGAAAATAATAATAGTAAATATATGAATCTCATGATATATGATTCAAACTCAATCTTGATCAAAATTTTCAAACTAGAATGATTGTATTTGTCACCGACTTTTGTAAGTGTATATAATGCATTGGTTAATAGAAGAATGGTTTCTGTTGTAAAAAGGTTCTGTAGCAATCTGTAGGTAGTAATAAAATGGTGATTTTTTCAATTACTGAAATTAATATCAATTTAAAACAAAACCTGCATTGGGTTGGAATTAAATGCTATAAAAATGATAGCCTGGGGTCTACTCTACATTGATCAGTTAATTATCAAGACATTACAATATCATATGATATAAATTTTATCAAATATTTCATCACTTAATGTGTCCTTCAATATTTGTACATTACTAGTAAATGCAAATATTAAAAACATTACCTGCATCATAGTGAATAGTTTTAATATTCTGTATAGATTATAACATGTTTATCAACCCTTAAAAGCATGTTTATACATAGACAAACTATAAAATATAACATCCGATCTGTCGACTCCTTAAACAATATATTTATTGTAAAAACATCTGAACCTTATCTGTATTCTGTTACAATTGGTTAGATCAATCTGAATTCTATCAAGATCTAAATTGTTACTGTAAAATCAAAACTAGTAAGATAAAATAGCTAGGTTTAGAAAACTTCTACATATTAAACAAATGTGAGCAATTTTGCTTTTATAACACATCAGTTTCATTGATAGAATTAAAACCAATAGACTAGTTGCAGCCATTCTGCCATAAAATGTTAAAAAAAATAGAAAATATCTTCGCTGATCAGACATGCATGTCTATTTCATCTATTTGTAAAAGATGTGAAAATTTGATTGTTTGTCTTATATAAACATAATTAGGTTATAAATCAAGCTTGCATTGGGCTTATTCATGTGTTGCAAACATCATTTGTTCTCTTGTGGAAAGTTGTCTCATTGGCAATCATACCACATCTTCTCATTTTTATAAGACAAAACAAACTATGAATGATAGTGTGACAATTATGTCACTGATATAAAATCTATATACATGTATTTAACAGTGGTTTTAGTGTAAGCTAACCTTACTGTAAACCAACCATTTTCTGGGACTTTTTTTGTGGTCATGTTAAGATCTTTCTAGTTGACCTTTCGGAGATTTATTTTCATGGTTATCTTATATAACATTGTTTAAATGTATTTATAAAAGAGAAGATCCGATTAGCTGCATTTTATATTCGTGTTTTTAAGTAAATATAAATCTCTCACAAAAATTAGTTGATTTACAGTATTGCATGAATCTAAGTACACTTGTACTTACTAGTAATTATTTCCTTTCAAGATTACACCTTATTACTAATATTTTTTATTAAAAAGTATTTTTGACCTCAAATCATACCTCCTTTGTCTATTTACAAATAATAAAATGTACATACCAAGTCCTATGTAAGCATCTTCTGCATCCCCAGACATAGAATTAGCTATTCCTTGGTAAATATCATGTCCCATTAACTGTAACAAAACATTCAATGGTGAGAAATATTATTTCGAAAATATTAAAATAAAGGTTGATCTCCGACATAAAATCAGGCGTAAAACATTAACAGTTTGAATTTGTAACAATGATCAAGCACATTAGCAAGTATGATATAAGTTTGAATATGAAAATTAAGCTCTAACGTTCTGATCATGCCCCTGACCTTGACCTCTGACTTTTTAAATGAAGTGGTTTGATCTGAAAGCATGATTGTGCACTGTTCAAAGTCTGGCAGAGATTGTAGGGAAAAATCAAGCTCTGTGGTTCTTACAATTTTTTTACTCTCTGATACAAGTGGTTGGCCTTAACCTTGAATAGGTCATGGTTTATCGTGGGTAAGTTATGTACCAAATTAAGTGAAACTGAACAAAATTTAGTCACTGTGAAGCATGCAACCCTGTGATAATGACCTTTGACCTTGCAATGGACCAATTGCTGAACTGCACAATGTTATTTTGAGGATATAAGTTGAATTTTTGAACTGTTTCAATAATTAAGGTAAAATTGAGAATGGAAATGGGTACTATGTCAAAGAGACAACAACCCGATCAAAGAGCAGATAACAGCCGAAGGCCACCAATGGGTCTTCAACGCAGCGAGGAAAATCCCGCACCCGGAGGTGATCCTCAGCTGGCCCCTAAATAAAATTGTGTACTGGTTCAGTAAAAATGGACGTCACACTAAATTCCAAAACATATAAAGGAACTAAAATTAAAAAACAATAATTAAGGTACATGTTTTTGCTCTGTTGGTTGATGCATTCAATTTCATGACTATATATTCCCTTCAACATTGGGAATTAGTGATCGTCAGGCTTCACACTGACATTGCCAAGATATTTCTATTTATGCAACAGGACAGTAATTGCAATAATTAAATCTCACACTCTTAAGTTTGTCAATTTTAATTCTTACAAAAAATTAAGCATCAGAGACAGATAATAATAATGCAGGCATCAATTTCTTAGTTCCAATTTACCAGAATCCAATTTGCACTTGCAATCTTAACAAACAAGTGTTGTAATGTCTAATTGTCAATCAAATTGCTTTAATTATACTAGTTAATTATATGAATACAATTTCCTGGCAGATAATTTTTTCATAGTGGAGCGAGTTCTTTTTCTTAAGGAGACAAATCTTTCAATTACAGCAAAAATTCTCAAGAGAGAAAATGTCAAAAGGTGAACTATTGTTGAAATGTAATTTACAAAATACAGTGAACACACCGAAACAAATGTTTACTGAGGAATGACAGATTGAATTATAAGAATCAATGGCTTGCCCTTGCCCCTGATAATCTAACTAATATGACTGAAGAAATGCAAAGTTGTTTTGACTAATTAAATGAAGACAAAAACAAGAACAGCTTCAGCCATTCAATTACAATTAATTTCACATTAGCAGCTAAGTAAAGTGTTGATTTTTATGTGGGCCTCCTGGATCAATATTCTTGACAATTGAAGAACCAACATTTGACACAAACATTATAGTGATTTATACAATAATGAAATTATATTACCTATTAAAGAAATGTCACCTCTAAAGAGCTCATTAATACCTCTGAATTCCAGCAAATCTTTTGGATAATTTGTTGATTGATGGAATACTAACACAGTTTGAGCACTTAACTTTTATCAATATTCAGTACAGAGATTCATAATAAGATTTAAGTACTTCATTTAAGGCTGTCAGAATTTAAATTTTCAATATACTGTATAACATTTGGTTATTAAGGCATTTTAAAAAAAGAAAGACACTCAATTCTGACCTTACTGTTAAAAGTAAAATGTTCAAATCAAATTACAGTAAACTGAAAAAAGAGTGTCTGCACTCTGTAACCATGACAATATCAAATTCATTTTCAAATTTAGACACCTATATTAAATGTCATATTTTAAACAATTGTTGTAGTTGGTAGAGGCACAAAATGTTGTGGGGTTGAACAAGTTTTATGTGTACACAATACTCCCTTCCTTTAGTCTGTAAAGAACACATCTTGTTATCTACATTGTCAGGTAAGCTAACAGGATGAGCTCTAACTTCAACAAGAAAATAAAAGACGGGACATAACTGGGTCATGTGAGTTTAAAACGTTCTTTCTGATACTGGAAGAAATCAGCAGTATTTGTGAGAGGCCAATAAGTATTTAAAATCAGATCATCAGCAGACAGACCCAAATAACTGACTTAGGTTTGTATTTCATGCCTATAGCCTTTGCTGTTGAAAGAAAGATGTAAAAGGCTTTTTCATTTTAGATAAATCAATTTTTAATGTTTTTAAAATTCTCTAATTAGGACTTTACAATAGAAAATAGATTAAGAAATATTGTAAATTCTTTATTACAAAACTTCCGATGGATTATGCCTGAACAAAGTCAGATACTGTTCGACTAAAGATGTTGCACACCTATCCTATTTCCAGGAAGCATTTTTTTTTAATAAAAAAAAGTCTCTAGAGTATTAGTTCATTTGCTATTTACTGCTCTTACGTATATATTTATTCATCATTTATATTGAACAATTTCTAATTCAAGTAAAAAAAACCTTACAATATCCTTTAAGGAATTACCTTTGAAAAGTTTTAAATTGCTTTTCATAAGATAATAGATTACAGAGGAAACCATACATGCATTAACCAATTTCTTTCAAGTGGTAAATTATATTTTAATTTACATAGAAGTGTTGTCATTTATCAGCAAAAAAAACAGGTTTTGGTAATTAAAGTAGAAAAGACAAGATAGTAAAACGATTAATATTGCCATACAAAAACAGTGATAAGGTATCAATTTGATAACAGTAAAATAGAAGCAATTAAGATTTCCAAATCCAAAGCTATAAAACATCTTCTGAATGTGTTACTGCATCTGGAAAATTTTAGATAATGATACTATTCCTGTTTTATCAAACTAATTGCTCTTATTAGAACAAGAGAAAAGATAAAATAATTATTTATTACTTATATGTAAATTAAATGTAGTCTGTCTGTATCTTCGTGGCTGATGCCACTCAGATATGAGAAGACTACATCAAAAACTTATCAAGATATATATTTATAAAAATGTTGACTGTAATTACATTAAATAGCTCACTGAAAGCTACTCATAGAAGTAAATGGTAACGTCACCTGAATCATGTTGATAACACTGATTTCAGTACCTAACAATTTTTTAAAAAGATCTTGATAAAATTTTAATTAAACTGACCAGTTGCAAGCAAAATAAGAAGCTCCCGAGTTCCTGTACCACTCATTTGGTTATGCCAGCTATGTTGGTTGTAGGGCAGAAATAGAATTCATTAAAGTTCATTCACACAAATTTTGGCTTAAATTCATTCTGTAGTTTCTGAGAAGATTTTAGAAAAAAGTTTACAACAGACAGACAAAATTTGTCAAAAATTGTCATTTAATGTTGACTTATTTGTAGATATAACTTTGCTGACCATTTTTGCTATATAAAGTTTCTCTTCCATCTATCATAGTTTCTGTAAAAGAAAACAAAATATTGGTAAAAATCATCTTTCATGGGCAATCACTCCTATAAGAAGTTGATTGATAATTTGGTTCGTCTGACTTATTTTTAGGTCTTTTAAAAATATGCTAAGCATCTTTGCCATTTAAAGCTTAGTTGTATCTATCATAGTTTCTGCAAAAAACTGAAATTTTGGTAAAAATAATCTTTCAAGGACAATAACTCATAGAAAGGATCACATTAAATTATTTGTAGATCTAACTTTGCTGAACATCTCGACCACTTTAAAAAGTTTCCCACTATCTATCATAGTTTCTGCAAAAAACTTGGAAAATTTAATAAAAATTGTCTTTCAAGGGCAATAACTCCTATAAGGAATCAATTTACAATTTCAGACAGTTCAACTTATTTGTAGATCTTCACTAGCTGAACTTGTATGCTGTTTAAAATTTCTCTATATCTATAATAGTTTTCAAGATTTAACTAAAAACAGGGAAATTTTGTAAAATTGATTATTTCTGGTGCAATAACTGCAAATAAGGTGGTCCGATTGGTCTGAAAATTTCAAGACAGATAAATCTTTAGTTTTTGAGATATAGGCCAAAAACTGCATTTTACCCATATGGTCTATTTTAAGCCATGCTGGCCATGTTTCTTGATGGACAAGAATAAAACAAGAGTGCACACACTGAAATGTCTCGCCTGCTTTACTGACCATTGATTTTATGCTGATAGTCCTTAATATAAAGCCTTACTACAAGTATCACATAACATGATCCAAGAAAATGAGGTCAAGGTTAGATAAACCAAACTGGAAATACATGTACACCTTACAATCATTCCATACACCAAATATAGTAGGCCTATTGCTGAAAGTTTCTAAAAGCGAGGCGAAAGATACCAGAGGGACATTCAAACTCATTAGTCGAAAAATAAACTGACAACATAGAAAAACTAAAGATTGAGCAAAACGAACCCCACCAAAAACTTGGGTTAAGAATCAAACTTAACCAGGAAAACTAAACAATGACCAATGAACCATGAAAATGAGATCAAGGTCAAATGATCCATGCCAGACAGACATGTACACCTTACAATCAATCTATGCATTAAATATAGTTGACCTATTGTGGATAGTATCTAAGAAAAAAATTTAACCATGAAAACTTAACATTGACCAATGAACCATGAAAATGAGGTCAAGGTCAGATGATATCTGCCAGACAGACATGTACACCTTACAATCATTCCATACACCAAATATAGTTGACTTATTACTTATAGTATCTAAGAAACAAACTTAACCATGAAAACTTAACATTAACCAATGAACCATGAATATGAGGTCAAGGTCAGATGATACCTGCCAGACAGACCTTTACACCTTACAATCATTCCATACACCAAATATAGTTGACCTATTGCTTATAGTAAAGAAAAACAAACCAAAACACAAAAACTTTACTTTAACCACTGAACCATGAAAATGAGGTCAAGTTCAGATGACACCTGCCAGTTGGATATGTACACCTTATAATCATTCCATACACCAAATATAGTAGACCTATTGCTTATAGTATCTAATATATGGACTTGACCACGAAAACTTAACCTTGTTCATTGATCCATGAAATGAGGTCGCGGGCAGATGAAAACTTTCTGACAGGCATAAGGACCTTGCAAGGTACGCAGATACTAAATATAGCTATCCTATTACTCATAATAGGAGAGAAATTAACATTACAAAAAATCTTAACTTTTTTTTCAATTAGTCACTGAACCATGAATATGAGGTCAAGGACAATGGACATATGACAGACGGAAACTTCATAACATAAGGCATCTATAAACAAAGTATGAAGCATCCAGGTCTTCCACCTTCTAAAATTTAAAGCTTTGAAGTAGTTAGTTAATGCCGCCGCTGCCAGATCACTATCCCTATATCGAGCTTTTTGCGACTGAAGTTGCAGGCTTGACAAAAATGAAATGTATACTAGATACCCCAAGGATCATTCAGTCCAAGTTTGGTTGAAATTGGTCCAGTGAATTCAGAGGAGAAGATCTTTGAAAAAGTTAACGCCGGACAATGGACGCGTAGGAATGGCAAAAGCTCACACAGCCTTTAAGGCCATGTGAGCTAAAAAGTGAATGCATGGATGGTTTATGTTGTAAAAGTATTTTAAGCTTCCCCTGTTGAAAACTACTCACAAAGCTAATTGTGAAATATCAAATAATAAACATTTATATTAAACCTGACCTTTAAAAATCAATGAACTTATATGTTTCTGACGTGTCAAAAGGTTTTTAATATCATATCTCAAGTTCCATGTACATGAGACAAAAAAACTGTTGTCAGTATTAACAGAAAATTAATTTCACTCCCTTAGAAAAATAATACCTCATTTATTAATATAAAACTACAGAAATAAATTATTTGTATAAATATTTATACAATACTTATAAAAGTAATTGTTCATAAGGGAATGCGTTTGGAATAATGATGTCTGGTTATGTACCTATTGTGTAACAGTGATAAAACTGTATGGTTTAGATATATACATATCTTACAATAAAAAGATTTCTTAACACTATCCCTGTAGGAAATTCTAAACAAATAATGACAAAATGTTTTTTGCAGTTACTAGAAATGTATCAACATCATTAAAACTCAAAGGATTTGACAGCATCCCTGGAACTGTTATTTCATTTCTCGACATCACACCCACATGATGTCATAACTAAGATTATTTTACTGGTGAAAATACTAAACCAATTATTCTTATGTCACTTTTTTCATGACAAAACTATCTCCCATATCTAATATCTTGTAATATGGATCTATTGTTTGTAATAATTGTACAAATTAAGGCAACCAGCCGACAAGACAAGCTTCATTATAGACCTGTTCTGATATGAGATATCAAGATAAGAGAAATATATGCCTGTCAATTGGAATATTTTAAACAGACTATGATCAATATAGAGTGTAGTATATCAGGCGATTTTTAATTTCAAAAACTGATATAAAATAATGTATCATATCAATTTTAAGACACATAGCACATGTTTCTGAAATATTTTCATCAGGTATGCTTGATACAGAAAGTTTGGAGAGGAAAATATATAAAACAATTGAGTATAAAAAAAGCCAAAAAGGCCTCAACAGATCACGCAAATTGTCTAAGGTTTACTATTCAACATTAGTATTAAAAAAATTGTGTTATTTTATGAAATGGAAATTTACAGACAACACAAAAGCACTGGCTACTAGCTAGATGTTACCTTTGCGGACTGATAATTTAGGAGAAGGGGTACCCATTAAGTGGTATTAAAAAATGGTTACAATACTGCTTTCTTTGGCCACAACACCACAACATTTTTTCATGAATAATCCAGTAATCAGAGTATATTGTCACTGCTTTCAATTTCAATTAAACAAACTGTGAAAATATGGGTCAAAACCCTATAATTTGACCTATAAATTAAACTGTTCACCGAATAAAGAAAATGTGTACTAAGTTTCTAGTTGATGTAAGCACACACAATCTAAAAACAAAACATTTACTTGATATAGGCTGGACAGACACAGACCGAAAGACATAATGCCCCTCTAATACTTTAGGCTTTAAAAACCCAGTTAAGTTCGGATAAATCTTTATTCTTTACGATGCCATATTGGTTATTACAATTTACCAGAGATGTGATGCCTTAGATTATTGTCAACTATGTTGAACGTTTTTAACTATTATCTGGTTTTATCTTTTGTTGAAATTTCAGGCATGTAAATATAAGATACCCCTAAACAGAGCTAAGTGGATGTAATGAAAAAGGAAGATAAGATGTATCAATTCAGTGTACAAAATCCAAACAAGCACTTGACAAACCCAAAGCAAAAACCATGTAACATTTGTCATTTCTGGGCATTTTATAGCTTGCTATGCAGTATGGGTTTTGCTCATTGTTAAAGGCTGTACAATGACCTATAGTTGTTGAATTCTACATCATTAGGTATCTGGTGTAGTTGTCTCATTGGCAATCATACCACATCTTCTTATTTTTAAACAATGGAAATAAATATAACACAGACAAAGATTGTTTGGAATGGAATATAAGAATATTGGATATAAATAGACACAGTACCTTTTTATATTCATCAAAAGTAGCTCTCAGCTGTGCCTTGTTTCTTTTAGTCATAATCTCTAAGAACTCTTTGCTGTCCAAATCTATTTTCTTCTCTTTTCCATTCTGTTCAAAGAAGACAGAAACACAATTATATTTTATCAATATCTTGTCAATAATTTATTACATAAATTTTCACAAATGACGATTACTATACATGCTATATCTTACAAATAAAACTCACCACAAACGATTAAAAGCCAAATAATGAATGCTGAAAACAATCCAGATTTTACAATCAAAATCATATATGTGTTACCAATTTTCTTACAACTTGTCAGTCAAATAAGATTTTTATGCAGAGCTGCTCTAAAAAATTAGATATTGAAATCAATATTATTCAGAAGAATCAGTTTACAGTAGGTGACTTTCTTTAGATACAGTTAATTAGGCTTATATGACACATCTAGTGATGTAACATGCAATTTTTGGCTTGTAACTTTAAAATATTTAAAAAGTGAGAGAAAACTTTCACTGCAATTTTTACTGAAAGAAATGTTTGCCTAGTCTTAGGCAAGAGATATCATTTTAGACTGAGATGGCAATTATGGACCTTCAAAAGTTGTCCCAAAGACAAATTTCTAACTAAGAAAATCAATATTTCTTGTTTTTGGATATTTTATCAATACATGTAACTGGACAACATTTCATAGATGTAGTCTATCCAGAACTTCGGTAAATCCATAACATACGTCAAATAAGCATATGATTTGATATCGCCTGTAAAAATAAATAGGTCAATTTCTAGTACAATCTTTGAATTTTGGTATAATGATTTATGTAAACGTAGATGATATTTTAATCCTGATTTAACCAGGAATTCAACCATAACGTAAAATAATTCAAAGGCCTCAGAGCATCACATTAGTTGGCAGCACTGTATTTCAAATGTCCATCCAAGCCATTATGGTGAAAGTAAGAAATAACAAGAAATGATTGTAACAGGATGCTGTTACGAAGTCTCCCAAACGAAGCTCCCATAATTCGAAATTCCCAGTGTCGCCTGACATTGGACAAAGTCCAGTGAAAATTGGTTTGGTCCAGTAAAGTATATGCATTAGTGATGCCTGAGGACTAACCCTGTATATCATTCAAATCATCTTGGCATGACAAACCAGAATATATATGGTTTAGGGGTGGGGATCTCGACCATTTACAAGATACTAGAACATTGGGGGTGGGGGGAACCCCTGGGGACTGACCCTATACATCCTTCAAATGTTTGAGACACAACGAACAGGATTATATATGGTTAAGGGGTGGGGATCTCGACCATTTACAAGATATTAGAACATTGGGGGTGGGGGGAACCCCTGGGGACTGACCGTATACGTCATTCAAATGTTCGAGACATGATGAACAGGAATATATATGGTTTAGGGGTGGGGATCTCGACCATTTACAAGATATTAGAACTTTCTCAAATGGCAGGGGGTTGGGATGACCCCTGGGGACTAACCCTGTATATCATTCAAACCATCTTGGTATGACAAACCAGAATATATATGGTTTAGGGGTGGGGATCTTGACCACTTACAAGATATTAGAACTTTCTTAAATAGCAGGGGGTTGGGGTGACCCCTGGGGACTAGCCCTGTATATCATTCAAACCATCATAGCATGACAAACCAGAATATATATGGTTTAGGGGTGGGGATCTTGACCACTTACAAGATATTAGAACTTTCTTAAATGGCAGGGAGTGGGGGTGACCCCTGGGGACTAACCCTGTATTTCATTTGATGTGCTTTATCATAACAAACCAGAATATATATGGTTTAGGGGTGGGGATCTCGACCATTTACAAGATATTAGAACTTTCTCAAATGGCAGGGGGTCGGGATGACCCCTGGGGACTAACCCTGTATATCATTCAAACCATCTTAGCATGACAAACCAGAATATATATGGTTTAGGGGTGGGGATCTCAACCATTTAAAAGATATTAGAACTTTCTTAAATGGCAGGGGATGGGGGTGACCCCTGGGGACTAACACTGTATTTCATTCAATATGCTTTATCATTTAGAACATTTTCAATTAAAAAGATTGTGTCTATCACAAACGGTTTTCAATTTATAATCATTTGAAAATTTAAAAAAATAAAATCCCATAGGGTTCTATAGTAAAACCCTCCTTTCTTTTTGCCCCTCAAAGTACCCCTTTATAAACCCCAATGCACAAACAAAACCCTGATTGCACCACTAGACATGTTAGTCTAGCATATTGTGAAACCCTAAGTTAATCTGACAAGCAGTTTTGGAGAACGGGTGCGGACAAGTTCAAATTTAAAAGTGGCGGAAGAAGAAGAAGAAGAAGAAGAATAATAAGAACTGAGCAAAACCAATAAGTCTTCCCAAACTTCGTTTGGCAGACTTAATAAATGGAGAATGTGTCCATAGGACACAGATGATGTCCCCACTTGCATAAAAAGTTATAAAGGGACATAACTCAAGAACGGTAAAGTGACGCCACCCAAATTCAAACTTGATCAGAGTTTTGTGATAATAAGCATTGTGTATAAGTTTCATAACATTTGGTTGAGGCAAACTTCAGTTAGAGAACGAAAACAAAAATTTCAGCAATTTTCCATTTATAAAGGAGCATAACTCTAGAACGGTGAAAGTGATGCCACCCAAATTCATACTTGGTCTGTGTTTTGTGGTAATAGGCATTGCGTATAAGTTTCATAACATTTGGTTATGGGCAAACTAAAGTTAGAGAACAGAAACCAATTTTGGGACATATGTACGTACGTATGGAAGGACAGATGTACAGACGGACAGATGTACAGACGGATGTACAGATGGACAAGGGTAACACTTAATGCCCCTTCTGCTGCGGCAGGGGCATAAAAATAACTTTAAACTTGATTTTAGGATGATAATTACAAACAGCTTTAGAAATACCAGTACAGAAAACCTAGTAGTAGCATGGATATAATAAGGGAGTTGAGAACAAATTTCTGCTGTCATTATGGTGATAATGATATAAACTCATTTTTTTTGTTTTCTAAGTGAAGCTAACAAATAGGGTCATACAGATTTTGCCATACATATAAACATGCACCTATCAAACAGGAAAAGTGCTGGTTGAAAAATAATAAATTTGATGTAATGGATCAAGCTTAGGTTTTGTAATAAACATTTATACATGAATTAATATATACAAAGGCTTAAAAGTATGTAAAGGGAGGTAATACAGATGACAACTAATAACAACTAACACCACAATCAAGGATTAAAACAGTTATATTATTCACAGGGTTCAAATTTTTAATGAGTTTTAAGGTTTACTGAAACTGTAAAATTGATTACCATCATATTAAAAATCTGAAACAACAAATTCCAAACATGAAATAAATCAATAAATAAAAACATGTCTCATATATCAGAAAGGTTTTACTTAAACCTACCTCTTCCTTTTCATCCTAATATAGAAGCAAGATTAAAAAAAAAAAAAACAATCAGCAAGGATTTTTTAAAAAGAAGAATTGCTAGATATGAACTACCTTTTGAAAAATATTATACTTAAGACAACTAAACAATTTAAACGAGGAACACAGTAAAAATGAAATTCTTAATAGATGCAGAGATTGGATTTCTATACTGAAAGTAATTTAACCTTTGCTATTGCATGATTCATAAATGTCTTGTCTAATGATATTTTATACTTACAGACAAGATACTTAAAGACGACATTAACTATGATCAGAATTTCATATAAATAAAGATTTTTTTCTTTCAAATAAGCAAATATCAAAAGGTCAATTTGAAATTTATTGAAATAATTAACTGCAAAATAATCATTTTTTTTTTCTTTGCTGATTCAGATACTAGAATTCAATAATATCAAAATGTCAAGATGTTATTTGAAAAAAAGCAATCAGAAAAAATGCTTTAAAAGAATATTTTCTCAGTATTGATGAATTAACTTTTGTAGAATGTTATATTCAAGAGAACTAAACCTATTTAATTGAGAAACATAATGACATTAAAATTTTTAATAGATGCAGAGATCTAGTTTTAAAGCTAAAAGTAGTACCACCTTTGCTATAACATTATTCATAAATGTCTTGTCTTATTTTTATGTGCACAGATAAAAATAAGATGACATTACTTTTATAGAATAGATTGAAACTGCGCAATAAGCAATATCACACCAGCAATATGAAATTTATTGAAGTAATATTAAACTGCAAATATGATTAATTTTACTTTTTTGGTGGTACAGATATTTGAATGCAAAAATATCAAAATGTCAAGATGTCAAGATTTCATGTAGATATTATTTTTTCTTTTTTTGCCATGGTGTTGTCGGTTTCTCTTAGATTTATGATTGTTGATTGACCCTGTTTCTAAAGACTTACACCACTAAGCTTTTTAGCATCTTCCTGTGCCTGTTTCTGATTGACAGAGGTTCCCTGTTCTCTTTCTCCCTTCAGTAGCTCCAGTAACAGATCAGTGAACCCTCCACTTGTATCACCTATCACATCCTTCTCTAAGTCTTTCTTATAAGCTACAAGTAAATATATATTGCTTTTAGTCATTGTATCTGAATCCTAAAAGATAACTGGAGTATAGAAATGTGTCAACATATCTGCAAACTTCTTAAAATATCCATGAGGGATTTAAGCACAAGAGAACATTATGCATATCTTATACATATTACCAGTGTTTTAATCATATATAATATATATGCTATTAAATAAGTACATGTATAAATGTACTCAGAAATAATTTTTACTCTTTTTGAATGTCTGTTTTGAGTTTTCGGTTTATATAATGAAGGATTTTAATGGTTTAAAACCTTTCATGGGGGAAATCACCCATCTATCTGAAAAATTGGCAGGCTTACTTGACTTATATTGAAATATGACAGCACTTGCACATATTCATGTGCATATATATATATATATCCCAAGTCAAAAACATAGTAAGGGATTATCTTTTGTTATATCTTAATGATTTTTGTCCTTTTTAAAGAGTTTTGTGTGGGTGGCAGATCTTTTTTCAGATCTGTTAAATTAATTCATAACACGTCTAGACCATCTTCACTAGCCTATGCTTACGATTTGACCCACTCCTCTTCACGCACAATCTGACCCACTCATGTGAAGAGGAGCTGGTTGGATCATTACCCTTGGCTAGCAATGAAGTGTCTCGACTAGCAGCAATTTAGAACTTGAAAAATGTAAAGACACTTGTCTTTTGTCAAGAACTGTATCTTGATCTATTTCTAATTAATTTCAACCTAATTAGCAATTGCTTTCTCAGTTGCAATCAAATACTTCCTCATTTATCTTACTTCATCCCACAGGTCTTCATTTTTTTTAAATCAATTTCAGTGTTGAATTAGAATGAGTGAGAAAAAAATCAAACTGAACAAATATTATGATTGACATTTAAATCTCAGACAATCTAAGCCCTAAGGTAAGATTTCCCATTCAGACAAGCCCATCAGAAACTGCAAATCAGATTTTTTTGGTGTCTGAGATTTCTGGTCTTTGTACTCTTTTGAGTGTAATATTCTTAATTAATTTCATTTAATTTGATATCATGGGCTTTCTATGACTTTAAAAAATCCGCTCTCTCTAGCCACCAAGACAAGATTTCTCAACACAGCTTATCTGTGTAATTTTCATACATCTTAAAAATTCATTTAAACACTAAGGATATTAGAATAAAACTAAACTTCAGTAAGATTGCAAAACTGGAATACTCCAAACACCATCTGGTAAATTTTTTGTTCTTCATAGACTGGAAATTTGAGATCTCCCTAAATGTGGTAGTGTGCTACATTAATACTAGTACCTAATTAAGCGTAACTGAAGAACCATTTTGGTCACTAACCTATAACGTACTAGTACCTAATTAAGCGTAACTGAAGAACCATTTTGGTCACTTACCTATAAACATAGGTTGGTTGAAATTTCCCCAGACTAAAATTACCTTTTTTGTACTGCTCCTTAATTGCTTGTTTTTCCTGAAAAACAAAGAAGGTTAAATTATTATTTTTTTTCTATGTTGACTGATGATTGAAAAATTCTTCTTGTGACTTATATATCAACTAAATTTATGTTATTTAAAGTATTCAATGCTACAATGTTCATCCATTTCTTCAGGCCTTTCCAGGATAAATCACTGAGGAAATGTTTTGTCATATAAAATATATGTATTTAGAAAACCTTAAACTGTAAAAGAAAATTAATTGTAAATTTCAGAAATTCCACTTTGTACTAAAACAGTCATATCCAAAACACTAAATATTTGTTTTGCATGATGTTAAACCATAAGGCAATTTTTCATTTGCATAATTGATAAATTAATCTTTTATCGACGTCAAAGTGTTGTTCAGTATTGTAGGAATAAAATCCATTAAAAAGTTCCATGTAATGCACAGACTTGAAGATTTGCAACACAACAGTATATTTATTTATATATGACAAGCAATGATTAACACAAAGACTAACAGAATTTGTTTTAGTATGTTTAACAGCTAATGAAACCATTACCATTTAAGCTGGACAATAAGAAAATAAAAATCTTAAGTACTCTTTTGAACACAGTATCAATCAACATTGCCTTCATAGTAAACAGACTGTCCATGGCTTCAAATAAATATTAGGCATCCTAATCCTTACCTTAGCATTCCTTGTACAGATTATACCAATCAATGTAGATTCTGTTGTTCCCATACCATCCATAGCTTCATGTAAACAGTAGGCATCATATTCTACTGGTGTCATCATTAAGGCTAATATTATCTCTTCAAAGTCTCCAGTCAACTCAGATTGCAGCTCACTGGCCAAATCCTAGAAATAAAAAATAAAATATCTAACAATGAATTTCATGACATTGAACAATCTTTTGATGACTTGTTCTTATGAAAATTATTGTTCTAACTCTCTGAACTGAAAACCTTAAATGCAGATTTTTTGCATGACAAAAAATTAATTTCATTACCATTTTCATTTTCTATAATGATTACAATTTACCTTCTTATATTTCTCTTTGTATTTTTTCTTCAGTGTCTGTCGCTGACTATTACTTCTATGTGGTATGATCTCAATAATGGCATCCTCATCAGTTCCAAGTCCTTTCATAGCATCATAAAGTGCTAGACAATCGTCGTCAGGGTCAGAATGAGCAGCAGCTTGAACAGTACCATTTTTGTTTTTTTGTTCTTCTTCTTTCTGTTTCTTTTCTTTCTCTGCATTCTTTTCCTTATCCTTTTTCTGTTGTGCAGCATCAGCAGTAACTCTTGGTGTAGGTTTGGACAATGGGTTATCTTTCTTTTGTTCCCCTTCCTGTCCTTTCTGAGCACCTTTCTCTGTAGGTTTCTTTGCACCTGTTTTCTTGGATGTTGGAGGGGCAGCAGTCGATGAACCTTTCTTCTGACCCTTAAAACATAATGATTTAATTATCTCCCTTTGTCTCTTTATCCAAATACAAAATTCTAAAAAGAGAATAGGATGATAAAAGGCCAATCTTAATGATTTCAAAACTAATTTTAGAATCAATCTTATTTTTAGTTTTGATTATTTGCATACTATATTCCAGTAAGTTTTACTAATTGGGACTAAAAGTTAAGATTTCAACAAAAAACAACAAATAATCAGTTTTATTGTGTTGAGGACTAGTTGTCATAAATCCCCAAATTCTTACAATCAAATATTTTCCTTTTTCTTATCATAATCAAAGCCCTCTAAGTACAGACTAATAATCGTGAATTTGAAAGAATGATTACATATGCAAACATCAATTTAATTTTGATAACTTTAAATAACTTGAAGAACATAACTGATACACATTTAACACTGGATTTTTTTTTAATATATATATTTTTAGAATATAAATGTTGAAAGACTATTCTAGTCAAGATAATCATTAGGTATAAAACTATTTGATTTTCATAGATTTGTTTTTAACATGTGACAAGTTATGGTAAAAGTTAAAATAGTTAAAATATTCCCCATTTCCATTCTCAATTTTATTCCTAATTATTTGGACTGCTATTACTTCTTATCTTAATTATTGAGCTTTTAAGATAATTAAAAACTAATTTTATTAACATAAATTGAGAAAATCAATGCTTCAATGCAATGGAAAGAACATCATAACAATCAAAACTAAAATTTTCCTGGACAATTATTGTTAATCACAAAATGTACAGGAACTCCATCGATTAAAATCATTAATTAAGTTCAAGATCATGACGATAAAAAAATAAAAATGCATACATTGCATATTCAATTTACAGTATCGTGTGTCATTACAAAACCAATCCTAGTCCATTTACAGTTTATTTAAGTTTCCTGTAAGTTATTAAATTTTCATTTGATGTGACCCAAAATTGCTCAGACAGATATTTTTTAACCAAGGTTAGGTCCCTATATTTACGGTAAGTTATTTCACCTATGCAATACAGATACCTAGCACTTATTTAAATAGCTCTCAATAAAATTCTAATTAAACTGACTGGTGGTTACAAGTAAGTTTCTTAGAATATGACTTGCACTTGCTTTAATAGGTAACTTTTGATATGACCTCATGATAACAAGTTACCCTAAACCTGAGTTTGAAAATGTGAAATGTACCTAAAATGGTATAGATGAACTTGAAAATATGAAAATTGTAGATCATATTGAAGTTGTTATCAAACACACAGTTACTAGCTTATAGAGATGTTCATTAAAAATGTTAGGAAGATATAATTAGAAATATATATCAATGTTAAAACCACACCATGACTGAATTAATAAAAACTTAATAAGACTTTCTCGCAATTCATTGTTACTTCACTTCAACCAATATATGTAGAAGATATTTTGGAGTAGACCATTTCTTTATTTAGTTCAGAATCAATCTAAGTATCACTTTTTGTTACTTAAGGTCTACAACTCAACAACGATAAAAGCTAAAATTGTGAAAATCGAATTTGACCTTCATTTAGTTACAGGAAACAACACATCTAAATTTGTAAAGATTTCATCAAAGCATTTTCAAGTTATTGCACAGACAACGCTCTAAGTGTCCCTTTTCGCTACTTAAAGGTCTACAACTCAACAATGATAAAAGCTAAAATTGTGAAAATCCAACTATAAAACAGTTTTAGATCAATTCTCCCACTCTGAATAAAATAAATTTTGGTTTATCAACACCAAAGCTAAAATTATTTGACTTATTAGTCAACTCAGCCCATTGGAATAAATTGATTTTTACTTAGCTGACACCAAAACACAAAATAATTTGACTATTTATTCTAGTCAGTCACATGAAAAAGATGTATTTGAATCCATCAGAACAAGGCAAAAAATTATATGACTGTTCAATCAATTCAGGTGCACAAAACAAAGTTATATCTCAGCACCAAACCATAAAATAAAACAGATCTTTGGTTAGTTAAATTCACACCACAAAAAGTATTACATTATTTGAGAACACTGACTTACTTTTTGTTCATCAATCTACAAATGCCAATAAATCTAAATTGAAAAAAACACTACTTCCACCATATTATTTTTTTTTTTTTAAATATTTACCTGAGGGTTTGTGTACACAATTAAAATTGCAGACTAAATCAAGAAATATAAATAAGTTATCATAATTTCATACATTGAAAACATTGAAATAAAATAAACACATTGTGTTGTAGCTTCACAATTTTTTACTATTTTGTATCACTTATCATATGTCTGAAACATCAATCTTTATTTTTGTGAGTACCAATTTTCGTGGACTGTGGAAGAATTGAATTTTCTTGGTTATTTGTGATTTCATGGTTTACCAGCATATGCATACCAGTCTTTGGATTTCAAAGTTTTGCCAAAGTCTATAGAAAAATTACACTTCATTAAACATATAAATTCTAGGTTCAGCTTTACCAATGAAATCATCAAAAATTGGTATCCAACTAATAAAAATGAATCCACAGTATTGTAATTGCATGGCATCTAGTTGTCTAGGTTTTAAAGGGTAAAGGTAGCTGTATTTTAACTCAGTTCTAGGTTACTTATCAAGATTTACCTTTCCTCCTTTTGATTTTCCTGCCAGTTCCACCATGACTTTTTCTGTTGGATGACCTTTGCACTTGTGTTTCACGTCATCTGGTAATTCAGCATCATATTTCTTTTTGTATTCTTTTCTGATTGCAGCCATGTCACCCTGAAATATTAAAGTGGTTAAAATGAGTTTAAAAGCTTAATAATTTCTATCAGAATTATGTTGTAATTGAAAATTAAGCAGTTTTTGAGGTTTTTTTTTCTCTTCTCAAGACTGTGAATTTTTTTCAAAATTTTTTTTATAATTCTAGATTCACCTTAGGAACAATCTGATTAAAATACAGACCCAGTGTTCAAGCTCTGCTTACATGGATCTGACAACACCCCATTTTACTTTTTTTCTGGTATTTATTATCAGCCAATGAAATTTCAGTCTTCAAAATTTTAAAAATGTATTTTAATCAGACAAAACCAGAGGATCCCGAAAAGTCTTTAGAACAGAAAGTACAATGGAGCATTTTCAGATCTTTGTACTGTTAGGAAATCTTGGACACAGGGTCTGTATTTTAATCAGATTGCCTTAGGAATACAATGTTATCTTCATTTTCTATTTTATCCTCTCGAATTCCTCAACCACCTGAATGGTCTTATGGTACTGTGCTCACCAAAAGTTAAAGGTTTGTTCTAAGGTTGGGTCAAACCGAAGAATTTAAAATCGGTACTTGCTACTTACCTGCAAAGCAGGCAGCTTTTAAAAGAAAGAGTACAGGCTGGCCATTACACTTAACATGATTTTTGAACGTCATACCATTAAAGTGATACATCATATTGTAAAAATTTAATAACAGTTACATAAATAACCATATAAACCATATAACCACATAAAAGAGTGAGGTAAACACAGGTGTCTCAAACCTCTGTTGGTTCATTAGAAAGACTGATAAGACTTTTATGGATTATCTCCCTTACCTCATTCTTGTTGACTAATATATCAATAAAGACAGGGTTGGTTGGGCCCATGTTCTTAAACAACTGATCTGCATAATGTGTCTCAGCACCTCTCACTTGTTGTACTGTAAAATACAATTAATTACATCAGTTTTTAACAGAGAATAAGACAATTTTTCCATGATTACCTGAAATTATCTTAATATATCATAAGTACTTCTACACACTGATATCTAGATAAGAGCGATTTACAGTCACTATACTTTACTGGGCAGATGTTAATCAAGAAAAGCAAACAAAAATATCAGAAACAAAATATTGCATCCTCTACCACTGTATACAAGGTTACCTGCAGGTAAACCACATAAAATATATTTTATAACTGTACTGTTAAGAGCTTGATTACAAAAACTTATTTGATCTCTTCAATTTAACAATATGCAATTAATAGGCTAATAAATATAATAAAGAGACCGTTTATAAAAGATAAAGTATCAAACTTTGAATTCAATTTACTGAAAAATAATACCTTTTATTTATCCAGGTGACAACAGTAAGTTGATAAGTGTACTAATCTTTATAATAAGAATACTTTCTTATAAAATAGAGAGAAAAAAAGGGTAAAAACTGAAATAAATTTGATGTAACATACACAATGTCACAACTGCATCTGCATAATTCTTAGAACATTCCTTCTTGATATCATCAGTGGCATCTCGTCCTCCTGTTTCCACTGTATACAAGTTGAGTACAACTCTGAGATGAGCTAAACTTTTAGTACTGAGTAACTTTAGAAACTTTCCAGATGAACTAGACCATCTTCCCTCTCCAGTCTGAAAAATGAATTAAAAATCACCAATTGTCATCGAGTATCTACTGGTTATCAATATATTATATTATAATTATGCTATTTTGTAATTTTTATAAAAGAATCCATGTAAGCTTTACTCTCTTTTTGAATAAAAAAATACTACATATCATATAGAGTGGTTTTAAAGAATATATACCAATAATTTAATTTTGGATGTAACGCGTCTTCTGATTGGCTGACGTTGTTTTGTTTATCAGCTCATAGACATAATTTTGTCATGTGACCTTGACGTCATCAACGTTTTTTCATGGTTTACTCCGGTTGAAAATGAAATTTAGAATAAAATTATAAGAAATGACTGTAATATTTTTTCTGTCTATTCGAAATAACATAAAAAATGTGGTGCACACTTTAAAATAACCCGCTATGCGGGTTATTCAGTATGCACCACATTTTTGATGTTATTTCTTCATAGACAGAAAAAATATTACAGTCATTCCTTAAATATAAAGATTAACAATGAGATAACTATATCCATAATCCAAAGACAAAGATTGAGCAATTACAGGTCTACTTGTGTTCATATTTCTTAAAAATTGTCTAACAAAAGTTTATCTTGCATCTTTTTCTAACAAAGTTTATCCTGTATCTTTTTCTAACTTTATCTTGTATCTAGAATTCAAAAAGTTCAGGAAACAGATTTCATATCAAACGACTTTGATGATGGTTGGATTAAAAGAATGAATAAAGAAATACATGATCTGGCTGCTGCCATCTTGGATAACCAAATAAGTACCAAATATAAGTCTAAAGAGTTTAAACTTTCCTTAGAAACCAGAAATAATTTCATACATGATAAAAGTCATAAAAAGAAACAAGCAAATATCTCCTAGCACTCAAACTGAAAAATAAATCAAATTCTATATGAAAAGTTACCTCATTTAATTGCTCTGCGTCTTTTCCTGCTGTTTTTTCATCTACTTTTCCTGAATCTTCTTTTAAACCCTAAAAAGAACACATAAATGAGATTAGGTAAAATAATATATGATTATCATAGCATTTTCATATCATTGAGACCAAATTAAATGATCAATGCATCTATCCCCTATCAAAATGCAATGAGATTTACAACATGAAATCCTGGATTGTACTGTTCAAAAAAGTTTTGGTACCAATGCTGCATATTACAATGAGGTGTAGCTGTAAATCAGTCTTTAACTAGTGACATGTTTTTAGAGTGGTTAAGATTTGTCTGACAACTGAGGTGATGCGACATGTTAATTGTTGTTTTGAAAGGTTGATCTGAATTTTCTATGGATGATGTCAAATTATTACAATTGCTTACAGTTTAAAGCTATCGAAGGCATGCTGTAAATATAGTTTTACCTTTTGTAAAATAAGCAACAATGCTTGTTCAGGATCGTCTGTCTTGTCCTTTATATCACTCTCTAAACTTACAGCATACTCTGTAAAACATATAAGAAAATAATGTTACATTGTATAACAAAATCAGTTTTGAATTTCCAACCATCAAGTGGTCTATGTCTCTAAATGAATTCTTTCATTTTTCTATATTTCACTTTTTTTTTTTTAAACTATTTTCATTGTGTCAACTACTGACTCAATGAATTTCAAACCCGCATCTCCTAAATATTCTGATCTTTTATTCAAACTGCTGTTTAACTGAACACTTTATTAAATTTTTCTTTATATTTCAAGCTATATTCTTTGTACATGTTTACAGTTAGTTGTAACACAGCTCGGAACAAAGACTAAATATTGGTTAGGTTGCTTCTCCACCAAGCAAGTGCCTCATAGAGTAAAAGCAAATGCTGATTGACTTATAGTCAGAATAGTGTGTCTGGGTAAAGTGATATGCCTACCTGTAAACATTTTTCATGTGAACTAACACATTAAAAATCAGGTTCACCATGTCAGTTTAATACAAAGCAGGGTTCAGATTCAAATCACATCAATATGTTCTTGTCCTCATATGCAAGTTATATTTACCACAGGACATTAAACACCCATCTATGATTAGCATCATCAAGACTCAGTGTGATTTAGAGCATGACATATCGTATAGAGGGGCGTAAAGGGGGGTATCTGCACGGAAGAACACGAAATAAAATTGCCAATTCACGATGAACGAACAATTAAAAATTTCTTGCACATTGATCTTTTTACTGATTTCACGAAACACGGTGAATAACGAACCTTTTTCACGGCTGCACGTGAAATAAAACTGGCAAAAAACGTTGCACGAAAATAACCCTTTACCACCCTCTGTATAGACAACTGTCTATTTTTGGATAATTGCATTGCCCTCAAGATGTCTTTTGGTTATTTTGTCATCTGGTTGCTGTCTCATTGAGGTATACCCCATACCTTCTTTCATTCATATTTCAAACCTACCTTTCTTATAACTTTCTTTAAGATCAGCCATTGCACTTTTGTTAGATGAACATAAAATCTCCACTGTCTGTGAGTAATCACCCTCCTGTAATTTAATAACCAAAATTTATCAATTAAACTGATGAAAAAGTGCAATACTTTATAAATTCAAAGAGTCTGAAGTGTTTTTCTGGATTTACCATATATTTGAAAGCTAAGGATGTATAAGAAGTGAAATAGTTGAAGAGCTATATGACCAAATAGGACCTTAGAATAATAGCCATATCCATCTAAAGTCAACTTTGCCTGAGGGAGTTGAAACCTGAGTTTGTTAATCATTTCTAAATTTAAAAATGTACAAATTTAAGGGTTTGTTATAAATCATGTCAGGAACGAAGTGATGACTACTGAGTTGATGATACCCTCTGGAACTGATAGTCCACCAGCAGCTGTATCCGTTTAAAATTCCCTCAGGCAAAATTGATCCTAGATGGATATGTTATTCTTTCAGGCCCCTTTTGATCATACAGATCTTTACATGTTTAGGTAGTTATACTCCTTGACTTTCAATTTTTGGGGTATGAGAAATCCTGATGAAGGTAGATCCGGAAAAGGGCTGCAGACGCAACAAATTTATGAAGTGTTATTTTCATTTTTTAAAGAGTCTTTCTAAAAATATTAAAAATATTCGTAACTATACACAGTCTGTAAAGTAATTTGATAAAGTGGCAAAAAACCAACATAACCTTATATGCACTGGCAAACAAAAATACATTTTTGACTGGACTAAAGGGTAATGTCAATATTTGTTTGATTGAAAACTTCTGTCAGAAGAACCAATTCTCTTACTTTTTCTTTTTCCCCCCACATGGTTATCAATTAAACAAGAAAACATGCTACTATAATTCAACAAGCATTCAGCCCCATCTCTCAATCTTCATAGCAGGATGAAAATAATTGATAAGTTAAAAGGAAACTGCTCTGTTATTGTATATTTAGATATGCAGTTTACTTGTGAAGGCTTACAACAGAAGGCTTTACAATGACTTTTAAATCAAACAACATTATCTCTTGATCTTTGTGTTATTGTCTGATATAAAGACACCTTTTCAACTCAAGAATAAACTTATATTATTTACAAATCAATTCCATCAGATGAGACGCCTTGATAATCTTAAAGTTTAGAAATAGACACTGCAAAACATTTTTTTTAAGTTGATCCTTAGTGTTTTACATGTTATTATTAGGAACAGAAAACACACACATTTCATAAATAAAATTTATTTTGGAATGAACTGTAATAAAAACCTGGAATACATGAATTAAATTCCATTTCTAGATTAACTAATTAGTGTTGATATCTTTTTTCAGATTTGTGCTCAATTCTTGAGATGAGACAAAACAAAAGGACAAAGAAAGATAACTCAAACAGCACTCTGTTCTTGGAATATTCATAAGTGTAATGCTTTATGTTTTCTGTGTTCTCTGTGAAAAGAAATTTACCTCTAATGCATCATGTAATTTTTTGGCACCAGAACTTGTGCTGTCATTCAAAAGAGCATCAATCAGAAGATGCCATTCAGGTCCAAGTCCTTCTTTTAATTCAGAGACTAATTCCTACAAAAACAACAAAGATACTGTTATACATAAATCAGTGGTGATCAAAATGGTTCTGACAAGTACTTCCATTTATCCTGGAAACTGATTCCTAGAAATATAATTATCTGTCCTTGTACCAGAATAACGAGTCTATTTAGTTTAATGTTTATTGCAATGACTACTATTGAAAACTCTGGTATGCATTTTAATTATGGATTATAAACATTATCAGCCAAATGCATCAATTAATGTCTTCATAAACCCATTAGTTATATCTGTATTTGCATCTATTTGCAGCAAATGGCAGCAAATGAAGATTATATCATTCAGTCTCCAGACTAAACTCAAATGAATGACTCTATATCAGGTGGCAGCATGTGAAGTATGGAAAAGAATCAAAATTGAGGCATTCCAGTTAACATTTTGTAATCTGTAATTCTGTATAATGTTATATCTGTTTAAATGACTTTAAGTCTAGTATGAATTTAAAACAGACAAGAAGTTGAACATCTTGTTACACTAAGCGTACTCCCACTCATAATTCAAAGTATCAAAAAACAGGAAGTAGATATCTGAAAAGTGCACATATATCAAAACTCATCACTTTCAAGCTGCTGACTAAATATGAAGTCATTCTGTTGTGTAGTTCTTGAGAATAGTGTGACCAAAAATGTTAAGCTCATTCAGCATATTAAAAAATTCAACTCTTTACTGTCAAACTGCTGCCAACAGAAAAGCAGTCATTCTGTTCAGTAGTTTCTAAGAAAAGTAAGACAGAAATATTTGTTGGTAGAACAGACAGAAGGAATGAAGGACAAAGTGATTGCAATACTGTTCACACTCGTAGTGTTGTGGTTTAAAAAGTAATAGAGGGAAAACTGACATAAAAAGTCTCTAAACACAATATACTCCAATGGTGTTAAATAACTAATTGTTTATTACTTTATTTAATGTTGGTTTGAATGCAGACTTTGGCAAAACCATGAAATCAAATATCAATGAAAATGTAAATTTTCCTTAATCCACAAAAATTGGTACCCACGAAAAATTATAAATGAATTCACAGTATACAAGATAATAGTACCAACATTATATTTACTGCCACATTCTTACCAGATCATACATTTCCTTAAATCTTTCTTTTGTCTGCTGTCTCTGTTTGGGTGTTTTCTTTACCAATGTTTTTATGAGAATATCAGGTGGGGCAGCTGAAAAAATACAAAAACTGAAAAGTTATACCATTAATGTTCTCTCTTTATAATAAACTTAATGTGTTTTTTTTTTTTAAATAAAATTGAAAAGTCTCTTGCTCTCTGATTAAAAGCTGTTTTTCCTTCTTTCCAGTATGAATTATGAAGTATGTATGAAATTCTGGTGAAATAAACTTCTTGTATTTTTTCTGAGATGTTCAAACTGAAATCTTAAATGAAGGAATGTGAAAAGCATAAGCCATATTTGCACTTGCAAAAACTTGTTTTGTGCACAATAATACCATATTCTGGGTAAGTTTGTTTTTGCGACCAAATGAAACAATTGAACCGTCTCTATTTCTCGAGGATTTTATGATGTAGATTTCAAATGATTGCATTTGCCTGTGTGGTAATACCTACAACTCTGTCCATCTATCTATTAAGTTGGTTTTTTTCACAAATGTATACACTTATTATGTTTGGAATATTTCCTTGATAAATAAAAGAAGACTGTGTCTGAGGACACTAATGCCCCCGCTCAAGCTTTGAAAATGGAACGTACAGACAGAAAGAAGGAAAGACTGAAGGTCAAGGGTAACACTAAATGCCTACGTCCGGGGCATACAAATTGTATTCATTCAGACAGTTTTTTTCTTATAAGGGAGATAACTCACTTTTATCCTTAGCAATTTTATAAAAAATTGCATGTGGACATTTCCATCAAGGGGCATAACTCACCTAACTGTTTAGCTACTTTAAACAACTGTTTGCAGTCATTATCTGTTGGATTCGTAGGTGAGACTTCATCATCATCCTGTATAATGACATTCACAATTTTTATGCATGATATGGCATTGTAAACAGTTCACCGTTAATTTTCATTACATATATAATTTCAAAAAATGATAACAATAGTTTGTGTGCTCTCAATTTACAACCACATTTCATGAATTATATACATATACCATATATCAGGTTACCTGCCATTTTAGGCTTTTATTCATTTTATATCGTTTACAATTTACCAAAACCTTCATAACAAAGAAGACTGAATTTTCTGTAAATGAAAATTTCTGTTAAAGTGTGCATTGCAACCATTAAAGAGACCCTGATTTATGGTTTCAATTATAACAAAATACAAATACAAATGTTCTCTTTCATCTCCATGAAACTTTAAAAAGTTCAATTTTTAACTTCACTATCTATTTCCCATTATATCCAAATCCCCCAAGTTATTTATCAGTTAATATAACATGCTATATTGTCAATTTTGAGAGTTTACAGACAGTTTATATGTATGACTTTGTAAACATTCATCCCTTTTAATTGCAACATGTATGAGTAATGAACTTAGCCATTCTGCTCAAAATCCTATTTTTACCTCCCCTAAGCAAAGATTGACAAGTATTACAAGTATCTTAGAGAACAGCTAGAGAGTAGTTAAAGCAATATGTAGGTTGATTCAAATATGCAAAGATAAAATATTTTTTTTTACTATATGAAGATTTTGTTCATGGAGATGAAATTATCAATACAATAATATAACTTTAAGTAAAGAAAATGTAAGCTTTTCACACATGCTAACTAAAGTAAAACTACGAGTGCAGACATTCAGTGGTTTAACAGTCAGCTATAGTAATTATTAATTCGGATACGCTGGTAGTTACACAAAATTGTGCCTCAGCCATTCAATAGCAAAATGACAAAGTCAATATTTGATATAAGTCCATAGCCACAACAACAGAATAACTTCTAATCTCTTTTGTTCTTTGATGTGGTAATGTTTAAACTTGAAAAGTTTGACTAAACCTCTGTCTGGTGTAATCAATTATAAGGCTGGTACCTTGGAAGAGTTTTTATGAATATGTCAATAATGAAGTCAATTTGAATATTTGCTTTGGAACGACTGTGGCACAATTGAGTGAATAAAGAATGTTGTGTTTTATTTTGAAACAAAATATATCCCAGTTCTTAAACTGGTCATTAAACTGTGAATATGTCAGGATCTGTTTTTATATCAATAATCCATAATGTATGTACATTTTTTTTCTGAAATTTAAACCTGCAATGTAAGGATTTTAAAAAGAAATTACAATAAATATTATTTAATTTATATATTTTTTTGCAAGTTTACAAATTAACACCATGGTTTTCATTTGCATCATGATTTCAGGATAGAATATTCATTGTCTGATGGATAAAAATATTTTATAGCTATGAAACCGTGTCCATTAAATTTTTTACCAATACAATCCAACTCATCATAAATATTTCTATTAACATGTCAGTAAATAATTTATTCAAAGTATATACAATCCGCCACGCATATTTAACTTACTTTTTCGTAAATAAAATATATCGTCAGTAACTTGAATTGATCAGATTATCCTATAATTTCATCCTTGTATGAAATCAATAGTAGTGGGGTACTTATCCAACAAACTGTTCAACAATCTTAATATCTGAGTCTCATATGTTTAATTTCTTTCAACTTTTTCAAATTTGAGTCAAAACTATTTAAGAAACAGAAAGCACTTGAAATTGAAGTTGCTCTGGAATAAGTTTATGAATTCCACCGTCTAGCTATTTGATCTGAGCAATCTATATTACATTTGCTATCAATTTCTTAAACAGCTCCTTTAGCAAGCTTTATCAAATTCATTCTGTAGAAAAAACGCATAATAAAGAACAGTCTTTGCTATAAAGAATTACAATATTCAAGCTACTGAAAGGTTTGTTTTTTTTAGAACTATATGTGACAGTGTGTATGTATCATCCACATGCTATTACATGTATCTAGTTTCGCATCCCCAAACTTACCAATATCATAATATACAAATCTGAACAAAAAACAGGCACATGTATTAGTTACAGATTACTAAGCGTCAACACTTTTTTTAAAAATTCAACTAGTAATGGAGAAATCTAGAACAAAGAGTTGTATCATAAAAATAGAAAACACCCATCTAGTATGTTAAATTTTGAGAATTAAGAATTTGTTTATCTAGAGATCATAAAGAAGATGTCTAGCTTACCATTGAATCTGCTTGTGAATTTTTACTACTCATCTGAAAAGTATATCTGATTTTATAAACTTCATCATTTATTTTTAAACAATGTTACTGTAAATGATTTTCGTGGATGGATTGATTGATTGATTGGTGCTTAACACCACTTTTAGCACTATTGGCTATTTCGTGGCAGTTAGTTTTTATTGTTGGAGGATGCCCAGAGAGAACCACTGACCATCTTCAGGAAAACTGACGATCCTAGTCAATTAAGAATTGAGTCGAGCACACCTGCCACGTGCAGCGTTTTGAACACACAACCTCAGTGTTGACAAGCTAGTGTTACAGTTGTTGGACTACTTAGACCACTCAGTCACGAGGCCCCTGATTTTCTTTGACATATAGATCTATCAAATATTGAAAATGAGAAACCTAAACGTTGTTAGATAGTTTACAAGACTATCATGTATAAGACTATACCATATCTCGCTTTTCTTGCAACTGATAAAATTTAATAGATTGCTACAGGGGCAGCAAAGGGCATATTAAGGGGTGATGGGTAACGTACTACCAACCAAAAGTACTGACATTTTCCTCAAAAATGTTAGGTAAAATCATGATTAATTTTTCATATGGGTTGTTTTAAATCTAGGTGTGGTATATGATGGCACTACATATCTAAATTTATGTGTCAAATGTGACAGATGTTGAAATCAAAACTGATCATGTTGAACAAATTAGTCTTATTGTCCTAATGAACAATTTTTATTTCAACAGCTGAACAATTTTTAAACAGCCTTTGTAACAATCTTGATATACCGGTAGACTCAAGAAATTGACATGGTATAACTGTCCTGCTATGATGGTCTACACAAACAACTTACTAAACAGAATGTAATTTGGACTAATAGAGCTTAGTTTTAATGGGTTTCATGTTGTATATACATAAAACAGATACTGGCACATGAACTATCTGGGATAGAACAATGAACTTATCTTTGTAAGTTCCAGCTGATATTCTACATACTAAAACTATTGATCAATTGATAGTTGCCTACTGTCCAGTGACAAATACTTCATGGATATTTAAGACAAGAATGTTGAAACATGTAAACTGTGACAAACATATTTATAAATACAATGTACAACAGTATATATGTTTTAATTAACAATAACAATGTATTATTATAATGTAACCCAACATTTGATTAGCTTCTTGTGCAATATACCACAGAGTTAATATTTCGTTAATTTAGGGATCACCACAGGCTATTTAAGGGTGGAGCTCCTCCACCCTTAAATTTTCAGCTCCACCCTTAAATCACCACTCTTGAATTTCTCAGCACCATCCTTGAATTTTTGAAAAAATTGATGAAAAGGTAAAATTTTTGACAATTTTTACTTCAAAAGTATAAATTCATGCCTTAATTACATTTTTTTTTACAATGGCTTTAATTTGTTTATCTTTTTCCTAATTAACAGATTATGATCTACAATAAAGATCTTGTGATTGTAATTTCAATATAATTTTTTTTTTCGTGAACACCACCCTTAAAATAAATTCTGTCGTGATCCCTGCAGTGAGTTATGTATCACTACTAAATAACTTTACATAATATTGTAGTTAAAGCAGTGTTCTAACTATCTAGGGATTTTTGTCATATCATAATAGGGTTAATAAATGAATATTGGTTGATATTGTTTTCAACCAGACTGTTGTATATGATGAAGTTTAGATGGGCATACATTCACTTTTAAGGTCTTTTAGTTTTATTTGGTGGCTAATTATTGCTTCTTGGCAATCAGCGAATCAACTTCTCAAACAATTATGGGAGCAAAAAACATAAAAGCTGTCTGTCTTTTTTCAACAATTCAGAATATATAAATTCTATCATTACTATGTCTCACCTGTACAAGAATTCAGGTTACAATACATAAAACTTGCCTTTTCGTGGATTTTTTTAATTTCAAGCTTTTGCCAAAGTCTGTAACAACCTCATAGAAAATGTTTCATTTGTTGAAAATTTAAATTTATGCTTCACCTGTAAACCATGAAATCCACAACAATTAATATCCAACCAATTTAATGAATCCACCATAGATGCTTTCTATAGAAATCATTATACAGTTTGCTTAATTAAATAGTAATTAATTGTTGGTCCTAGATGTTAATGATGTTAGCCTGTTATTCAATTATGGAAAATGAGTTTTGATTTTTTTGATTCAACTGGTATAAAAGGATCAAAAGCTTAAAATGTTATTCAAAAACAAATTTTATGGAAAAAAGGAATTAAGGGGGGGGGGGTGGGGGGGTGGGGGGGGGGGGGGGATAGTTGCAGAACAATTAGTAACTAAGACTGAAAAAGTACTAAAGAAAAAAAAACTTCTTCAAAGAGATGTGTACATGAAAAGAAATGAGAATGAAGTCAGTGCAAAAACATGACTTTATTACTTACATGCTCTTAAAACATGTTTTGTAAAAGCATGTTTTGTTACGAGAGATTGTTAATAGTATAAGACACAATATCATACAATATAGATATTTTATACCAGTATTACAACAATGGTCAGGAGAGTTTTCTCGTGGTCAATGAAACATCAACTGATTTTTAAGATCTTTCAATCATTTTTAAATCTGATTTAATATATAGTTAATTTAGCTGATGCATTTTAAATTAAATCATTTCCAATTTTTGAACTTAATTTTTTTTATATTTTTTTCATAAATATATTTCAAAGTTAAACATACATTCCTAAACTGTATAAATTTAACCAAAGAGGACTCTCATACAATTATCAACAATTTGTCAACACTTTCATAAAATATATTTTGTACAACTGTACTCCAGTGTATACACATACCATATCAAAATAATATGCAGATTTGCCGTGGTGAGTTCTTTGCTTGATTTATATCAAAAATACCAAAAATTCAAAGTGTTCTGAGTTTTACTTTTTTCTTTTACTTTATAAGAAAAAATCTCACATAAAACTGTAACTACAAGTTTAACGATAAAGACGTCTTATGAATTTTCTTACAAGTTGTCAATTCTTTTTAGGTTACAACAGATGCCATTGAAAAAATATAAGGTGTCACATGAAAATACTTAACTGATTAGGTAAACTAATTTATTTCGGCTGACTTTTTGTTTGTATTAATCGTGAGTTTGTTTTCAGATTTTCAAATGACCACTTGCAAGAAAATTTTGAAAGGTAGAGCTGTTTTTTGCAACAAATTATGTTTTTTTTTAATTTATAAGTGACAATATCTGCACTGAACTACCATAGCTTGATGTGGCAGCAGTCAAAATCAGTCCATGGAATATCTATCTGCCCAAGAAGTTGAAATAAAAGCATAGTGTTTTTTTCAATTTAATATTTTCTTTCCTTTTCTTTAAAATTTCAATTAATAACTATTATGCATGGTTTTTGTCCAAAAAATGCTAAATCATGTACTTATCTTTTTCATTTATACTATTTTTTTTCAAAGTTTCAGTTTATGTATTAAAACATTGACTACACAATCAAGGATTTATATTTGACTTTCAAATCCAAATTAGAAAAAAACAAAAAAATTAATGTTTTTATTTACAAGTAATGAAAATTAAATAAGTTTACATATTTTTGGTAGATGGACCATATGGTGGTAACGGGCAAACTTGGACTGTTTTTGACTACTGCCAATTCAAAGAGACAGAAATATTGTACAAATACCAAAACACAGTGGATCTTGCCTGTATGTTGTTAGTACAATTAGGTCCAGTGCGTGTGGTCCCATCACCTTCATGTTGGTCAAAGGAAGTGGTGTTAGTATAGGACTGGGTACCATTTGAGAACATGCAATTCATTCCATCACCAATACCTTTATTAGGAATACAGTATGTAAGGCTGCTGGTATTTTGAATTTCTTCTTGTTTATCAACAGAAATGTTTTCATCTGATTCCATCTTGGTCATTTCGACTTGAGATGGATTCATTCCACCATTGTCAAGAAAATGATGTTGATTTATGGACACAGCTGTCACATCAACAAAGTCATTAACAGGTTTGCTACTACTGACATTACTGTCAATCTTTTCTTCCTTTTTCACCCCATCAGCCACTGTTTTATGGCTAAGGCTCTGCAAAGAACTGTGCTGTTGACAGTCATTTGATACATTTTCATATGTCGCAGACGATGGCTTCACATTTGAAATCTGTTCATTTTGGCAACTGCTTTGATTTTTAAGAAAAAGTGAAGGATCAACAAACTCAGCTTCTGTAATGACTGATAGTGAACTTTCAGCTGTTTTAACTCTGTCTACAGCTGGAATCACGATAACATCATCAGTGTCTTTGTGATGGGACACTTTACCACTGTATGAAAAAGGTCCATTTGACTTAATATTCACCAACCTTAACCTAGACTCTGAATCTGTTAATTTTGTAGCACCATGATTTTTGTTTTGATAGACACTTTTTTGGCTCACAACATGTAATCTGATTTGTTTCTGATTAAGGTGTAAATATTCCAAGCAGCAAATAAACAAAATGATAAAAACTTAATTAGAAGCATTGCAAAACTTTTAATAGTATAAAATAACATGTTAAAAAATTAAAACTATAATAGACCATTAATATATATATATAAACTCTGCTGTAATAATAACAAATGCAACTTAATTGAATATTGGTAAATAATATGACAATCATGTGACTTTTTGCTGTGAAAATGAATATAAGGCAATGACTGTTTAAATGTCACATGGTCGTCACATGGTTGTCCCTTCTGAATACAAATATGTTTCATTAGTAACAATGCTACAATATTAATAACAATACAAAAAACAAAAAATCACACATGTTATATTGACAATACATAGAAAGAGTAACAATATATTGAATATAAACACTAATTATATATACAATACTAGTTAAATATACAATATATAGATAAAATAACAAGAACAGCTAGATACATTAATTATTTGCATACTTATTGAGTTTTGAATCTGTTTAAAGTACAAAATGTACTTTAAATATACAAGTTTTCAATGTATACCAGAAAAATCGTGAGCAGAGATCACAAATTAGTACCCTTCTCCTATATTTTATTCTATATGGCAAAGTCCATGTTTAGCAATAGAAAAATGGAAAATCAATAGGAATCCACAATGTTATAAAGTACAGAAGTTTTTCCGAAAGTTTCAATGAAACCTGCAAATAAGAGTTTCTGACTAACGAATAAACAAAAAACAAAACAAGTATCACAATACAACAACTCTTCACCAAGATGGATATAAAAATAAGACAAGTTTTTGGCACAAAAGTTATCACAAAATATTTTCTGCAAGATTACAGTAAAATGTTGCCATAATCAGTGTCAAGTATTCATAATAAAACAAGAGTGAAATGCCATACATGACAGCTTTGATAAAATAGGAACCCAAATACATCTATAACTATAACATTATATAGAATTCACATCGCCGAGGAAATCTAGTGAAAGGGGGGACAACTCAATCAAGTGGATCAACAAGCCCATCTATCTTGCAAAGACAGGCTACTTTTTGGCAGACTGTTTATGAAGTATTCATGAAGCTGTTTCTTTATTTTGTTCAGAAGATCCTGTTGTGATAGATTGGGACTTTTATTTGAGTTTCAGTATTTGGTTAAGGGAAAGGCTTTTATAATAAATTTCCATTTCCTAAAGATCAAAGTATCAAAGTTCCCTGTGAAACTTAAAATTTGAAAACTGTGAAAGAAAAAGCAATATAACAAATTCAATTTTTATTCATATATTTCTTATTTAAGAAAAAATCAGACAATTTTCAAAAACTTGTAGAAATATGAAAATAGAATTATACATGAAATTGTTTTTCCTTTTTTATAGTGTTTAAAGGAAAGAAGGGCTACGATTTTTAAAAGGAAGCAAAGCAATATCTCTCAATCTTTCAGCTAATATATTGATACTGAATCCTAAATGTGCAGGATCTCAAAAATTACATTTTTTAACTGTATTGGGAATAACAACTTCTGTTTTTTTTTTATCTGGATGGCATAAATATTATATTTTAATGTTTGAAATTACTGTTTTTTAACCTGTGAAGTGTCTCCTTATAAAATGGTGTACGGTAGAAATATATCATGTAGAACCAATTTAAGTGTGTAATATTTATAGAATAACTAATCGAAGAATTCAAATAGAGAAAAATATTCAACGAGTGACCGAACAACACATTAATTCACGAATGCGCGTAGCGCATGAGTTAATTATCAGTGTTGTTCGGTCACGAGTTGAATATTTTTGGATATTTGAATTCTTTGATTAGTTATTCTTTTTATTACATTGGCAAATGGCTTTTTTTAATGAAATTAATGTAGAAAATGTAAGGAACTATATCTTTTTTGCTACGCATTCACAATTTGTTTTGATCCGACGTTATCGACGTCTTGACAACGCCTATTGTTGTATGACGTCAGAGAGTGAAGTAACCACGTTTATTTCACATGTGAAATTATCGGTTTTTATTTGACTGGGAAATCAATGTAATTCATTGCTACCAATGTAATAAGTAGAAATAAAACCTGATATATGAAATAAAGAAAACACAATAAGTTATAAAAAAAACACACGCAGATAATGCCACACAAGATAAAAAGATAAGAAAATCAAATCAAAACAATAAGCAAGGACTAGTTGGCAACAGAATGAAAGAAAATACAAGAAAATAAGAACTAAATGCAAATCACTTAAGAGTGAATATGTTACAACCATATTGTAGTCTTATGCATATAGACAGTTGTGAGACTACACATACATGCAAATATAAAAAGTCAACTGTGCTCATTTGTGATATAAAGTTTGAAGAAATTAGAGGGAAAAATATCTGATATAGATAACTTATTTATCTTGCCCTGTATACACCATATATGGAGAATATAGTCTAGTACATTTTAGCAGGAAAAAAACTGTAATATTTGATAAAGAGTTAAATATTACAAGTATAACTTTTAATATAAATGTGATAATTACATGAAATAAAATGAAATACTTTAAGGATTGATTGTGTAAAGGTAGAATAAAAAAAAATGATTTTTACAATCACGGAAACATTTTTTGAATGTGGAACCCCCTTTTTATTTAATTAAGTAGTGAACGACAAAGCTTGTGGTGAACTAAAATCGGTGTTGCAATTGCTGGATTGTGATCCCCTATTTACTCTATAAATGAATCAAAATTAACAGCATTTTATTTCTGAATATCTAAATCACAAATTCTAAAAAGGAAATGGCATTCAATGGCTTTGTGCATGGATTTATTTTAAACGACAATAAGGATGTATGACTTTATATTGAATTAATGTAAAACTATGTTTGTTTAACAAACTAAGTTATCATATTTATTTTTTGTTGCAACAGATCAGATTTATTCAAATTATTACAGAAATTTTGAAAAAAGTACTAGCTGCTGAAATGAAAGTTGAGGAGCTTAAATCATTTAAAAATTTTGAATTTGAATTTTCAACAACAAACAGTATCTTATTTATGCAGTGACCATAATGGTTTGGTCAGTTGCTAGAAAAAAAATTGTTTGATACCCGGACCTGCACAATAACTGACTAGATATATATTTGTTGATTTATAGAGATAAATTATATAGTGTAGGTATACGTATAGATAAGTATAAAATTGGGGTCCATGTAGAACTGACAAAATGTCTGAATACCACAATCCAGCATGTATACACAAAGCATTGCCATTTTACCTTATCATCTGGAGGAGCATCTCCATAATACATGAACAATTTTTCTCGTTCTGTCTGTTCAGGAGTAAAACAGAGATTGTTATCATTCATAAATTTAAATTTACATGATCACAGATCAAAATTAAAGCTGTGTCTGCTTTTCACAAATTGTCTCCAGTATAATGGCCAGTCATAATCCTTAACAAACTATACAAATTATTACTACCGGTACATGTAATTGAAAATCCAACAATTTTTTTGTGAAAGCTTTTTTAAATAAAGTATTCACAAGAAATGCATCAAGCATTTATTAAGAATTTAATGACACATACTTTTCACTGTACTTAAAGATCCATGTTTTCAAATGTCACCAAAACATCATACCAAACAGTAATTGTAAAAATAACTTTATTTTGCTGTCAACAATTTCACTAATCATGAAGCTGAAAGGGTCTTTTGTTTTTTTTAATTTTTCTATATGACTTTCATTTCAAAAGAATCTTGTAAAGAATTTGACTTACAAATAAATCTACTTTATTTTCATAAAAACAAAGTGCTACTTCTGAGTTTCCATATAATAACAATTGCATAAGTCACAACTGAATTTGACAAAAAAAGTTTGCTCTATGTTAAAAACACTCACTTTTCACTTAAATGAATATATTTGTAAACAAGCTTTAAAAATAATCTTTTCATACATAAAATATGGATGGATTTCAATGGTTAAAACAGAACATAAAGTATCACAATAATAAAACTAAATATAGATATAAAAATACATATTAACACAGCCCAGCCATGCAATTACATGCTAGCATAAAACAAACAGTTAAGCATAACAAGCATATATGTTAGTAATAAATGACAACATTTAACATCTCAATGTTTGGTTATTTTTCAAATATCACCTTGTCTTCTAAATTTCATTCTCACATTTTTTGTTTTTTTTAGGATCCATTATAAAATTTTTAAAAAGTGTGGCCTGTCCTATTAGAAAGTTACCGGTACATGAAAATCTGGATTTTTTTCCCCCATTGCCAAATGTATCTCTGTTTGAATCAAAACCATGTAATTTATTTTCTTATCTTCATACTTTGAACCCCCCCTCCTTTTGGAAGATAGAAAATAAGAAGTGCACAACTTCATTCCCTATCAATGTGCCTGCTAAAGTTTGATTTGTTTCTGAGAACTGCGTTTGTAAAAATGTTCCAATGAAGAGATGTGTCCCCCATTAGAAACACATTGGAATACTCTGAAAGAAAACAACAAAAATTGAAGAAAATGTGAGATTTTGGTACACACAATACTAAATTAGAAAGTGCAACACTTGGCTTGCTGCAGAAAAGATGTGCAAAGTTGAATGATTACTGTCAAATGGGGAAAGAGGAGTTATCATATCTTTCTTTGATAAATCTTATTTCATTTGTCAATAACAGTCATGTGACTGAAAAAAAAATGAGCTGAATTTTTCAAACAAGTATAGATAATCAAGGGTTTAACATTATTACTACCTTCTAAATACAACATCAAAAGATGCTGATAAATAAATGTTTGACAATTGCACAGAAGATGACACAAGACAATGGAAAGTGATCGCAATATGTTGTGTGCTACACAGGTGATAGAACTATGACAGTGATATGTTCAGAAGAGTACATTAAAACAATAAAATGCTTAACAAAATTACAAAATTATACTTTAGAAATTGTCCTGTTATAATTTTTATGAAAGTTTTCTTCTCAAGATATCTGTTAGACCAATGATATTAAAGACAAATGAATTCATTCACATTATGCAAAATTTCTACACATTAAAACATAAAAAAAATATCTAGAATTCTAACAAGCAAATAATATTATTTTGCAGGGTTAAATTGTCTACATTAATTAGCAAATAAAGTTAATTATACAAATATGATTGTTATTAATTATGTCTTTGATGATAAAGTTAATACTGGTGAAAATCAGGCAAAGCAATGTCCGTTAGTTAACTGACGGGGGCCACCATTCTAATTTCTGCTGATTTCTTATTTACCTTTTTGCTGTCGATCCTAGGCAAGCTATCATTGCTGGAAGATGTTTTGTTGGTGTATGGATTATAACTGTACTTTATGGACTGAAATATAAATACAGTTTTGCTAAAGATATCATTTGACTGTGTTGTTCCCTCATTAAGCTGTGGTCCTCCTCTTAGAGGCACATATTTTGAAAACATGGGGTTGACAACTAGACTGTTTGACTGATTCCTTATATAGCATACCTATTATATCCATCAACAGCCTACTTTGGTTAGAGATTACCAAAATAATACTACTACATGTGTCGATACAAAAGATCTAAATTATTAATTTAACTGACATCCAAAAGTGGTCTAAGGCACCTTTACTAAAATAAGCAAACGCGCAAGTGAACTATGTAGCTAATAACTAAGTGTGAGATAACAGAAAAACGAGGAAGAAGTTCCCAAGTATGCAACCAGAAACCACTGTTTGAAGAAAAACAGACTACATCATGGCAAATAGGTAAACAAACAAATAACATTCAGAAAAACACTTTTCAGAAAACATGAATTCCACAAAATAAATGGATCAACTCTAGTAGTGGTATATTCTGAAAAGTAAGGATACTAAATGCCATATTGGCAATGAAAAATGAAAAATAAGTGTGACCTAATTTTACTTGATGCTAAGCATAAAATACAAGTGACTGTGACCTTCTCAAGATATGACATTTCATAAATAAAACACACATGCATGAAAATACAAGATGCTCTTATACCTGATGGTTCTTAGACATGGATCTTGAGATGCACGTGTGAATGCAAATACCTTAATATTCCCTTCAACTATGTTAGGCAAAGTAATTTTCCCACTGTATCAAATGCTAAGACGGCTTATGATTTTGAAAATGGTTTCTTATTGCTGATATAGAAAACTGCAACATTCTTGTACATTTTGTTGTAACTTATAACTAGGGTCTATACAATGTGTATGTTGGCATGTCAGAATATAAACAAACTGCTATAGTGATTTAATACAATACACCTGAATGTCCATGTAAATGATGGCCAAGATAGGTCCACAACAATATAAGGCACAACTAAACTATAAGTACATGCAATGCCAAAAACTCACTGTAACTCTCAAAGATCTGAAAATACCCTTAAAAATCTCTAGTTGTGTGATTCTAAGCTACATGCAGTGCAAGTCCATATTTTTACATTTTAAAATGTAAAATGTTAAAATTTTTAGCATAAACTATATTATCATTTGTTTGCAAAGCCAACATTCATGCATAGCTAGCAGTGCAAATCTTCAAAATGTTTTTTTTTTTTACAAAATGTTTCCTGACAAAAGCTTACTATATGCAATATAAAATTAACAATATTTTTAGGTGTAAAAAAAACAAGATAAAAATAGAAATTTAATACATAAGTGAAGCGATGTCAGGTAACATTTACTAGTGTTTCCCCAAGAAGCAACAAAGGCTAAAATAAAAATATGCAGGAATCAACGTAAAGCATACCACTGAAATAAGCATATGAATCAAGTCAAGTCAAAAAAATTCCAAATTTGGTTTAAAACATGCAAAGAAATTTGTTTGAATCTATAAAAGTTACAGGCCTGAAAGATAGCACACACTTGCGCTAGGTTTAAAATTTCATCTATATCATTTTTCTATTTTGTTTTTTTCTTTCTATCAAGTCTTTTATCACAATATTTCATTACAGAATTTGTATTTGTTACAACCATGAGCCAAATATATATATGTAATTGTTGTTCTCTTAAAGCATGCAAAAGTGTACCAGTGTGATTCAGTCAATCTTGAATCTTGCTACAAAAGGTGTGTTTGGTTTTACAAGCTATAAAAGCCTTGGGGAAACACTAAATCAACTAACAAAAAGTGTCAACATTGTGTAATTTTGTTTACCTTACTGGTCCTGTCCTCAGTCTGAAATCGACAAATTATTATGACAACAAACACACACACACACATTAAAAAACACAAAAAGTGTTAAACAATATCCTCTTTAAACTATGTACTGCATTTCCACTGATCTAAATGGTGACCACAATGAAATTTTAGTTACTGTGGATTCATTTATCTTCGTGGGTATCAACTGTTGTGGATTAAGGAAAACTTACGTGTTCGTGGATATTTAATTTCGTGGTGGTGTCAAAGTCTGCATAAAAGCCTATAGAAAATTTGTGTTTCGTTGAACATTTTATTTCGTGGTTCACCTGTACCCATGAAATCCACGAACATTGGTATCCAACGAATAATCATGAATCCACAGTATAATTGCAAATTTCCCCAATATATCTATACATCTCACAGCAGACATTCTTCAAAACAGCAAAAAATGTAATACAAAAAACAAATCGTCTCCCTTGAGGACACTATTTACATATTTTAATAACCTTTGATATCAAACAAGTTGGTCAAAATGCAAAAATTAAAGGTGGTTTAAAAAAAATTTGACCCTTAAAAATAAAATTTTGTCATCCCCTTTACACCTCTCATTCAAAGCATTACAAGATGTTTTGTTCAAATATTTCAGAATAAACAACTTTTAATAAAGCAGCATGTGTGTATTATCTTCTATCAATTTGGTTCTAATTTATCAACGATCATCTTAAATTTTTTATAAACGGTTTTATGCTAATTTCAAAAAATGTTCCTCCATGATTTTAAATTTGTTTTTTAAATACCACATACATTTTGGTAAATCACTTAAAGATATTAATGTTAATTACATAGAGTATTCATATGAGTTTTTTTTCTTTGCAGTATATGAGTTTTTACAAATCTCAGTCAAATTTACTTAACATATAGGATTTTTATCTTCTTATAGTGCATGGTTCAAAATTTAGGGAGTTAAAGTCAAATTAAGGGATACCCTATACAAGGTTACAAAAAAAACTGTTGTGATACTTTGTTAGAAGTGACAAATGGGAGTTATGTACAATTTAATCAATATAACTGCCCTCTCACCTCTCTGGAATAATTTCGTTTCAAAATTTCATTTAAAATATTGATAACTATACCTATTAAATTATCCGAAATGTAAAATACTGGGATGGCAAATATTGAGTGTAACCTTGTGAATTATTACTGCCATTAAAAAGTTATAAATATCAATGAATCAAAACAATTAGTTTAATTAATTATTCATGAAAACTATTTATTATACAATCTTTAAAGTTAACTAAGTGCCAGGAGCCTGTGTTTGATTACCGTTTCAAGATTTTATTTATTGAAAATATCTGAAAATCGATTCTGCATTCAAGTAAAGTTAATTAAAATTGTCCTTGCGCACCATGGTTATTTTAACGAATTTATAACAGCTATCTCAACTTTGTCATACACAATTAGCTCTTTAAAATATCCTGCAAAATCATCACTTTTATAAACATTCAAAGCATTCTACCAGGTACATAGTTTACAAAATTGTCCAATTACTACATGTATTATGGAATACATTACAAGTACATTTAGAATTAATAATAAATGCAGATTTCTGTAAATTTGAGCAACATCATCTCAATGCTTACATGGATTACTCTTCGTTTCACCTAGTATAATACATGTAATAGTGAAGTACATATAAGAATGAAATTTGAAATAGTATGTTTACTTCAATACTGTTTCATGTGATATTTCCCTTCCTTTTTTCTTTGCTGAGGTTGGAAAACTTTTCTTCTTTCCTTAATTCTGAAGACTTGAACATCTTTACTTGGGAAAAAATTCAATACCATATCTACATATTTTCTTGTGACCCAAATAATTTATATAAGAGCTGATTAAAATAACTTTGTTGGAACAGTTCAACTCAGGGCAATTAACGTTTTTTGATAGTTTCTGAAGCAATTTGATTAGTTGAAAGAAAATATTGATATTTTTGTATATATATACATTCTATAGATGTCTATACAGTATTGGTTTTGCTCATTGTTCAAGCCATACATTGTTCTGTAGTTGCTTATATCCTTGTCCTTGGTTTTTTGGAGGATATTAGTCTCATTTGCAATGGTACCTCATCTTCTAGTTTGATATGGTATGTTTGTTTTTACTGGGAACTTACCAGTGGAGGAAGCTTCTCTCTCTTTTTACTTTTAGAATCATCATCTTCAAAATCATCGTCATAATCATCTTCACCTTCTATACCATCTTTATTTCTCTGTAACAAAGAAAGGCTAGACATTTCAGTAATTTGATTAAATAAAATTTGATAAAGCCATTGTTACTGAAATGAGCTCACAGACTCAAAAATCAACATGTGAATAAACAAAAATTATGGAAATCTCTTAAAATGGTCCTTAAAATTCAGCCTTCTCATGAATGCACCACATTAGTATTTCATTGTTCTTCTCGAGTCATTTGGGTATTCAGGCATCTAATATTTTCTTTTTTTTATCTGATTTATGATCCATTGATCTGGGAATTATATCTTGGCTAAATATAGTGGTCCTATCGCTAAAAGTGACCTAATGCTTATAGTATCTTAGATACAGACCTGACCACGCAACTTTAATCTTGATCACTGATCCATTAAATGAGGTGGAGGTCAGGTGAACCCTTCCTGACGGACATGTAGACATTGCAAGGAACCCATCCATATACCAAATATAATTATCTTATTACTCATAATAAGTGAGTATTTCATTTGACAAAAAAAATGTTATCTTTTTTCAAGCAGTCACTGAATCATGAAAATGAGGTCAAGGACCATGGACATTTGACAGACAGAAACTTCATGACATAAGGTATCTCTAAACAAGGTATGGAGCATCCAGGTCTTCAACCTTCAGACATATAAAGCTTTATAGAAATAGTTTACACCACTGCTGGATTGTAATCCCTATGTCTCGCCTTCTGCAACTTTTGTCGCAGACGAGACAATAAAACACTATTGAGATATCATACTTTGAGTTCTTTAAACTTGTGATGACGAGGTGTCACTTCTTCATAATCTTTGGCATTCTCATTCCATAAGGTCTGCAAGTATCTTTTGTGTTGATAATCTTTTTCCTATAATGTTAAAGGTTATCAAAATAAGAATAAAGTAGCACAAACATTTAATTCCAATATTGGCTGCAAAAAGTCATCAAAATTTTGATACAAGAATCTCTGCAAGGCCAAAACAACAGACCTGCCTAATTTTAGTGAAGTTAAACTAAATGTTGTTTAATATACTTTAAGTGCCTCAGGTTCTTGAAAAAAAAAATCATAGATGAGAGCTTATTTAATTTTTGAAAATCAAAATTTCCTTTCAATCCAAACTATCTTAATTTTATTTCAGGTTATATAATATTCTAATACTTGATATTACAGAAATGGACTACAAAACAATTGTTTATCTCTGCTGTGCTGATGACCATAACACATTGAATGTCATTTAATAAATGGGGAGCTAATTCAAACTTGAAATTGAAAAATTGGGTTGAGGCCACTTATAGTAGAAAGCATTCTTTTATAAGAGAAATAAGACAAATGCTATAAAATACAAACCAAATCATCTGCCTTTATCACAGGTTGTGCTTTCTCTAGTCTTTTAGCGATACCTATATTCTCTGACTGAATATCTCTTATATGTCGTTCTCTAGCTACATAATTTAAACTGAAAGCACAAAAGTAGTTATTTCATATATTTGTACTATAAAAATTTTCTGCACATCTTCACTATTTAGTTGAAAGGAAAATGCAATTTAAAAATCATTAAATGATTCCTTTGGGACCATGCAGTTCTTTTAAAAATTCAAACAAGAATTAACATAATACTGGTAATTCACATTGCAATTGATGGGATTTAAATTGACATCAATCATTTGATTCATCCTAAATCTTCAATACATATGATTGAAAGAAGACGTGAGTTATACATCTATGCAAAACATCCTGACAACACAAAAAAAACATCTTAAGTACAAAATACTTTCTTCAGCTAAAGTGAAATGTGAACATAGCAAGCACTTAATCACCCTGAATCCAGAAAAGTAGTGAAATTTTTTTACAGAAACTATCACTTGTATATATAAACACCAAATTTTCAAAAGACTAAAAAATATTCATTCATAATAGAGACAAGAGTGCACACACTGAAATGTTTCCAGGGCTTTACTATAAGATTTATTTTAAATTTGATAGTCCTAAACATTTAATTTTTCTACAAGTATCACATAATCTTAACATTAACAATGATCCATGAAAATAAGGTCACAGTCAGATAAACCAAGCCAGACAGACATGTACACCTTACAATCATTTCATACACCAGATATAGTTGACCTATTGCTTATAGTATACAAGAAATTGAACAAACCACGAAAACTTTATATTGACCAATAACCATGAAAATGAGGTCAAGGTCAGATGAACCCTCCAGACAGACATATACACCTTACAATCATTCCATACATCAATATAGTTGACCTTATTCCGTATAGTATCTGAGAAACAGATTTAACAAGGAAAACTTCATATTGACCAATAAACCATGAAATGAGGTCAAGGTCAGATGAACCCTGCCAGAGAGACAAATACACCTGACAATCATTCCATACCCCAAATATAGTTGACCTATTGCTGACAGTATCTTAGAAAAGGTCCTTACTACTGAACTTAACATTGACCAATGAATTATTAAAATATTAAAATGAGGTCAAGGACAGATGATACCTTCTAGACAGACATATACACCTTACAATCATTCAATAAATATGTCGAGGTCTGGTGAACCTTGTCTATCAAGACATGTAGACCTTGCAAGGAACCCATATACCAAATATAGTTATCCTGCTACTCATAATAAGTGAGAAATTCACAAAGCCAAAAAACAAAACTTTTTTTTCAAGCAGTCGCTGAACCATGAAAATGAGGACAACAAAACATATGACAGACAGAAACTTCATAACATAAGGCATCTGTATACAAACTAAAACCTCCAGGTCCATCACCCTCTGAAATATAAAGCATACACTGTCGCTGCCACCAGATTGTAATTCCTGTGTCTCGCATTCTGCGACTATCATCACAGGCGACACAAAAACCATTGACAAGTTTCCTTACTTGGGACAATTTTATGAACATGAGGTAGCTTCAAATCCTTGTTTAGCTCTCTGCCCTCCCCATTTTATCCTTTATTATTGCAATAATTAAAGGACTGCAGATTATAAAGTAAAGGAAAAATAAATTCCAATGTTCCAACGCATGAAAATCAAATAACCAACTTTCTGTGGAGGCAGTTATGCTCCCTTGGATCATTCTCTACACTTAGTTCTATGAATGTATATTAGCGGTAAGTTTTTCACCACCGAACACCACCTAACCCATTAAAAAATACCATCTAAAACACCTAAATATATTATTTTCATCTTTATTTACATTGTTGACTTACCTTCTGAATGAGGATGAATATGTTTAAACATAAATATATACAAATTAATAAGAATTGATGACCAGAGAACCAAATAGAAGTCTTACAAGGGCTGTTGCCAGAATGGTACACTTTCAGTCTAACCACATTTTTTTACATAAAATCATTGTGATGATCTTAAATTAAATTAAAATGTTTTAACTTATTTGAATAATTGATTTGTAAAAAGTAAAGACAGAAAGATAATATACAATAAAATATATATACTGTTGTTTCCGGAAAAAATATTGTTGAATCTGGAAACATTTTTCTTTATTTTTTAATTCTCAACTTTAACATCAAAATAATGTACATAAGAATAAGAAAAACAAGCATTCTGAGAGTATTGCATGGCAATACATAGTCCCGTACCGGTTAAAAATTCATTGTACTGGCACAAAATGCTAATTTGATCTATAACTTGTCATAGTGTTAACTAACAAATAACCACATATCAAATGTCAAGTCAATATCTTCAAGCATGATGAAAAAAAGTGTGGAAAACTGATTATTTAAGAGAATTTTCTATGTCCAAGGACCATAACTCTGCACAAAATCATCAAACTGGAACAAAATTCAAACTTGATCTGTAACTTGTCATGATAAAACTATATACCAATTATCAAATCAATATCTTTAAGCATGACGAAAAAAAGTGCGGAAAACTGATTATTTGAGTGAATTTATTAAGTCCAAGAACCATAACTCTGCACGAAATCATCAGACCGGAACAAAATTCAAAATTGATCTGTAATTTGTCATGATAAAACAATACACCAAATATCAAATCAACATCTTCAAGGACGAAGAAAAAAAGTGTGGAAAACTCATTATTTGAGTGAATTTTCTAAGTCCAAGGACCATAAAACTGTACAAAATCATCAGACCGGAACAAAATTCAAACTTGATCTGTAACTTTTCATGATAAAACTATATACCAATTATCAAATCAATATCCTCAAGCATGACGAATTTTTTTTTCGGAAAACTGATTATTTGAGTGAATCTTCTAAGAATGAACCATAACTCTGCACAAAATCATCAGACCGAATCAAAATTCGAAATTGATCTGTAACTTGTCATGATAAAACAATACACCAAATATCAAATCAATATCTTCAAGGACGAAGAAAAAACTGTGGAAAACTGATTTGCCGGACTGATGGATGGACAGACAGACAGATAGACAGACAGAGTGCAAACCTAAAGTCCCCTTTGACTTCGTCGGTAGGGGACTAATAAATGGGGAATGTGTCCATGGGACACAGATGATGCCCCGCTTGCATATAATATTATAAAGGGACATAACTCAAGAACGATAAAAGTGAAGCTACTCAAATTCATACTTGATCTAAGTTTTGTCGTACAATGTAATAACATTGTGTAAAAGTTTCATAACATTTGGTTAAGACAAACTTAAGTTAGAGAACGGAAACAAATTCAGCAATTTTTCCATTTGTAAAGGGGCATGACTCTAGAACGGTAAAAGTGACACCACCAAAATTCAAACTTGATCTGTGTTTTGTGGTAATAAGCATTGTGTATAAGTTTCATAACATTTGGTTGAGGCAAACTAAAGTTAGAGAACGGTAATGAAAAATTCGGCAATTTTTCCATTTGAAAAGGAGCATAACTCTAGAACGGTAAAAGTGACGCCACCAAAATTCAAACTTAATCTGTGTTTTGTGTATAAGATTCATAATATTTGGTTGAGGCAAACTAAAGTTAGAGAACGGAAACCAATTTCGGGATGTACGGACAGAAGTACAAATGTTGGTCAGAGATGAGTACTTTTGGTAGAATACCATAATACTCCTCTAGATTTATTGATACACAAAGTTATATGATTGCTTATAACTTTTTTAAAAACATCTCAAATCTGAACTCACTGGAAACCTAAATATTTATATAAGTGTGAAATATAAATTAAATATTTACTCCAGTATGTACATTTTTACGACATGTTCTATGACTGAAATGTCACTTAGTATCTGGGTATTGAATTTGGATGTAAAACTTTACCTAATTCACTGAAACATGAAATGTAGGCCTGCGAGACCATAGGCCTAAGTTCAGTTTTATTTCAGTTGTACATAACACAGGTGACTCAAAGGCTCAGATTCCTTCCAGCTGTCCAACAGAGTCTTATTTGACCTGTGAGCCAATATCTATTTACCTTCTAGGTTCATATTCATTCCAGTTATCCACTTGAGCCCTGTTTTTCATTATATTTGTCATCTTATGCAGTAGCAGTCTGTTTTCATGGTCTACTTCTGCTTGTTTTTCTTCTTCAAGCTACAAATAAGATTTGTACGTTTTAGAATTTTTTTATTAGAGGTTGACGCAGTGAAATGAAAATATTCTCACAAAACAATTCAAATATTTACTTGGTGTTCTTATGAAGATAAGAAAAATCAAACACCGCATTATCAGGCACGCTAGTGTAAAAAAGTAATTGACTTTAACATGAAAGTATCTATCATAAAGACAATCTATAATTGATATTGAATTATTAAACATTTGATGTTGCACATGAGGATTAGAAAAATCAAACCCTTAATTATCAGCCACTTTAGTATATAAACTTTTGACTTCAAACTTCTATCATAAAGACAATCTATAATTAATTTTAATCTTTGTATAGTCAACCCTCAGAAAAGGATGGTCAAAACATTTTCATTTTATACTATGTAACAACAACCTGTATCATTACACTAGACCAGCTTTATATGGGTTGAACTTTTTAACCCATTGATCAGTTAGAAAAAATGAATTAAAATAGTTCACATGCAACTTGAAAAAGAATATTGGCCAATTAGTATTGTGTTGGTCCAAATCCTGCTAGATAAGATGAGTAAATTTTAATATTGATAATATATTGAAAATCTCTATTATATACACCAACGTTTGAAAATTTACCTTCATCAATACGTCATTTCACTTAACAACTAATTCCATCATAGTTACTCTTATTTTCATAGTAAAAGGGTTCAATTTCAATTCAATGGTGAGAACTCTTTGATCATTAGTTAATAATTATTCTCAAATTTATTCTGAATTTCATTTTGTTGAGCAAATAAATAGATACAAAATTTGAGTATTCCACCAATAATGAACTTTAATGGTTTAACACAAGTCTTTTTAAATCTAAATAAGTAGATGTATGTTTGAAAATGTTTGTTTTACAATCATGCATGGAAGTAGTATATTGACTTCAATACTTCCATGGTAATACACATGATGCTGGTACGGTAAACATATATTTTGATCAAAATGACTGTGTGTTTTGCCTTCCCTATATTTTCCCAAAAATATAAATGATTTGTGGTTTATATATAACTGATTTATATTGTCATTTAAAGATCATTTCATTACATTCTCATAGAAAAAAAGTATGATAAATTAACTTTTTGACCCCTTGAAATTTCAAAAAATTGTTTGTTGACTAACATCACAGACATGTCGACTATCATACTTGACTTATTTAATAGAATTGGCCTGGGCAAAAATAAGTATTTGCAACAAACGCCAAATTGCAAGTTCAATTATCAATCAAAACAAAAAAACTGTTAACACAGAGATATGTCTGGCCTATCGGCATACAATTTAGAAAAAGACAATCTGATGGACAGCAACATTGCTTATTAATTCAGTCACTGGACAATGATCTAGTGGGCAGGGGCTGAAAATGGTCAACAAACTGAGATGTACAGACAGTAATGTAACTTATAGAAAATATCTTTGTTTATTGTAAGTAGTTCCTATCAATATAACTTGTTTAAGCAGAAAAACTTAACATTGAAAATTGCTAATTAATTCAGTCACTGAACCATGACCTAGGGGGCAGGGCCTTGAAATAGTCATCAAACTGATATGAACTGATAGTAATGCAACTTCATACAAAATATCATTGATCTATCACAAGTAGATCCTATCAAACTAACTTAAGCAGAAAACTTAACATTGAAAATTGCTAATTAATTCAAAGTCAATGGACCATGTCCAAGGGGGCAGGGCCTCAAAATAGTCATCAAACTGATATGTACTGATAGTAATACAACTTCATACCAAATATCATTGATCTATTACAAGTAGATCCTATCAAAATAACTTTAGCAGAAAACTCAACAATTGTTGATGCCGGATGTAGCAGTTGCCAGAAAAGCAATCCCTATGTCGCTCTTTCTGCGACTTTCGTCGCAAGCGAGACAAAAATTGTAATAATCATGAAATGTATTCTGTGTTTTATGGTCAACTAAAATGGAAAATATTGATGAATTTAAACTTTAACAACAAAATTTATTTTGGAATGTGCAGACTGGTAGATGGAAAGGCAACACTGACAACATGTGGGCACATAATAAACAGGGGTACTAAAATTACAAGTGCATTACATACTTTTACCAAATCAAGGATAGTTTTTTTTCTCTAAAATACATGAAGAAAATTACTACAAAAAAAATATTTTCTAGTTTTTGTTTTTTAAAAGTTGCAATCTACATGATCTATATGAATTTCTGTTTTAACCTTGACAAACCCATGGCTTTTGGTTATTTTAATTGTATCATTATAAATTAATCTCTTTCATTTTACTGTGTAAACATTTTAAAACATTCATATAAGATGAGATAAATACAATTTATAATCCCAGTAAAGGTATATCAGAGAAATCATTTAATTGGTTTTGACTTAATTTTTAAAGATAGTAAAAAATATATACTATAATTTGATATATAAACCCTATCATTGGAAACAAAAATAAACAAAAAAACAAAGCCAAAACTTTCTTTTAAAGTATTCAAATGTTTTGAAGTTCAAGGCTTACATATTTTCCTTAGAAGAAAAATTTAAGGTCATTTATAAGTTAATAATTCAGTTAATTACCTAGTCATTCACTTTTTAAGCAAATGCAAGTGTTACAATCCAAAACTTGGTCATAAGATTGCTAGAAATAGACCATGTCATGGATGATTGAACTCCGAGAAAAGAAAAAAAATAGTATTGTAATTAACTGCTGGAGAATTGAAAAAGCAATTACTCCGTGTGGCCAACATTCATTATAGATTGGGATATATCCAAGGAGATTTAAATATTTCCAGCAAGTCAATACAACTGATTACAACACACACTGTGAATTCATGTATAATTCCTACAGTAATCAAACTATTACCAGTAAATACAACAATTACTAGACATTATTTCTTTTTCTTGTTGATATCAGACAAAAAGGATTATTTTTTGATATTTTTAAATACAAAATGGAATTCAAAACATCAAAATTAAACATGTTTATCCCCAACTACTTAAGGGAATATCCTTATATGTTTTTGTTCACAGTTCAATTCTTAATACAGGTTCATATCTATGTAAATTTTCATTAAAATTCGAAAACATAATTGCCTTTTAAATCATTATTAATTGAATAAATGTGGTCTTTTTTAATTGTACAGATACATAAATATAAATACATGTAGGGTAATAAAACAGTTTGAGTTAATGAGGTGGTGTATAATTGAATTATTTGATGAGCAAGAATTGAAGAAAACTAAGAAAATGTTTAGCTCTTTTTAAATAGGATAAGTGCTTTTTTTGCATTTTTGCACCTGTCCCAAGTCAGGAGCCTCTGGCCTTTGTTAGTCTTGTATCATTTTTAATTTTAGTTTCTTGTGTATAATTTGGAGTTTAGTATGACGTCCATTATCACTGAACTAGTATACATATTTGTTTAGGGGCCAGCTGAAGGACGCCTCCGGGTGCGGGAGTTTCTCGCTGCATTGAAGACCCATTGGTGGCCTTCGGCTGTTGTCTGCTCTATGGTCGGGTTGTTGTCTCTTTGACACATTCCCCATTTCCATTCTCAATTTTAATTTTGAAACCATTATGCTTTTGCCTAAATATGCCTCTGATAAAACAGATTTATTATTTAGCCAGTGATTCAAATCTGACTGGTCTATTTCTAAGTGTCTTTTTATCAACTCCCTTTTAAGCTTCTCATTCCTTTACCCCACTTTTTATCAACTGCCTACTTATAAATTAGTGAGTTTATAATGAAAGAGAAACGAGAAACTGATTTTATACATTTTATTGTTATGTAGGTATAACTGACATCTGGATTCTTGTATTTTCTGAAAATAAACTTTCTGTTTTTATTGGAAAAGAAGGAAATGTTGTATCAATTCATGAGAAAAAATCCTTAACACCACTTGACCAAACCAAAAGTAAATGGAACATTGCATTTATTGCTGTTCTTCATCTTAAAGTCACAAAGTGGCCATCGACACATTGTAAAATTAACACTCCACTGCAAGTTAAATACAACCCATGGCACCAGTTTGAGAAGAGTTCTTTTCTAGATGTCGAAGGGCTACATAAGACATGATTAAAATCCAGAATTGTTTAGTTTTGTTGTTGCTGCCCTTGGTTTACCTGTATTTTCTTTAAGCTGAGAATAAGATGAGGATATTTCCTTGGTCCTTTGGTTGCTACCTTTGGTTTTATGGTGGATACCTGTAAAAGATAAAATGTTTATGATGTAAACATTGTAATTGTGTATTTTTTGTGAACCTTGCAGCTCAAATTATGTTCAATGTATCCTTAATATTTTAAATAATATAAGCAAGCAATAATTTAATCAAATGTTTATGTCTAGCAATTATGGCCACCTTGGAAAATCAGAAATAACACGACAGAACAGTTTTGGGCCATGAAATACCACTAAGTCATTCCCTGTTATCTTATTTTTTCATGATAACTTTGGAGTATGCCCAAATATTTTATTTATAATAAAACTTATGAAACTTATTATGGAAAAACCATTTATCCTTTGAGAAAACTTACTGGGTAGGCTTTCAAATTACCACAAAATGGTATACATACTAACTAAGCTAGCAGTTTGGTATCTGATGAAACTGCCCTTAAATAAAAAATAACCCCTCAATACTGAAAATTTGTGTTAGTTCTAAAAACACTGTAGGCAAAGGGTCCTTTTTGTGTTTAAAAATGTTTGTGAAAGAAAGTTCGATTTACAGGATCTAGAGAAGGCTGAATTGCAGAATGGATGGATAATGGACAAGAAAAGATTTAGTAGTTTACATAAATTACTTTTTAAGTACAATTGGTTGAGCCATTTAAAATTCGCCTACACATACAAATCTACAATGTGATGAAATATGCAAAATAGACTGTAACTAATCAACAAAGAAGCATGTCTACGTAATCAATAGAAACTGCATTAACAATTCTTATTCATTAAGGACATTTTAGGTTATATAGAAATTTTACAACAAAAGCAAATATTAAATCTTAAGTAATTTTGCATGTACGGAACATAGTTATGAGAGGTACAAATCAATATATGAGACTTCATTCTAACTAGATATCCATAGCAGAAAAATAAATTGTTTCTTATTCTCAATCTCAGAGACTCAGACATCAGGAAGCATTTCTAAAAGTACTGGAAAATAAAAATTACTGGAAAATTACTGGAAAAAGTGAAATTCATTATTTTTAGTGATGTAAAATGATAATAACACTATATAAATTAGGTGCGTCTGAATTTCCATATTTCCCCTCAAAATACTGCATTAACATGAAGACACAAGAAATCAAATGTCACCAAGGACAAGCTGAAATTATTATATAATTCAAGGAAAAAGACAAATAAAAAAAAGCATCAACTTCCCAATATAGCTACATTTTCCAACAGAGCATTAAACTGAAAATCTAAATTAGTAAACCACATAGAATGATATATATTGCAACTTGTTGATGAATAAACTCCCATAGCTCTGGAAGGACACTCCAAAAAAAATGAAAATATTTAAAGTCATAAATTTTTGCTTGTTAATATATATGTTTGTTTGGAGATAAAGTATACCTTTGATTACCTTTAAGTGACATTTATATAAAACTGTATCCTTCTCAATGCAGATTAACTCCTTTACTGTTATGAACAGGAGTTTATGACGAGATTTAATAAAAACCCTTTGAACACCACTTTTAACAGTATCTGCAGATTTTCTCTGAATAATCCAGATTTTTCTAAATATACATTAGTACTAAAGGTTTTATCATCTTGAACAACTTAATCTGACAAAATCCAATGTTAAAAGAGAGCATTGTAATTTAGGGGACCTTGAGATTACAATTTCTCTCAGAAATTTTTAATAAAAATTGTGTGACAAACTGAAGTCAACTTTGGTCATGATGATGTCCATCACTTTGATATCATAGATTGATCAAAACTTTAGTATTACTAATTTTTTTCAAAAATATTGGGATTTATTGTTGGAGTTTGATCATTTCATTTGCAGGAATAAAATACGTATGTTGTCTTCTCTTTAATCTTAATGTTTTTAATTATTGAGAAATTTAAATAAAGTTTTCTGTTCATCTTCATGGTCACCTTGTAATATATGCCACTTTGGAAGGAGTGAAAACTTACAAAACATTGACAGCATTTTTACAGCATTTTTACCCTGTAAAATGTAACACCTATATCTTTTGTATAATTTCTGAATAGAGTATGCTATATATTTTTCTTTTGTGAATATGGCACACTTATTTAACGTAAGTTCATGTTTAACATTTAATTTAGTTGAAGTGTGAAAAAAAATGCACTGATTTAAAAACCAGTTTCCATTAGTGATATCCAACAATTATCAATTATAAATTTCAAGTTGGATCGTCATGCAATAAATAAATGTCATCTTCATATGTTAAGCTATATTACAAGACAAATTTTACTAACTGATGACACATTTCACTTTCAGCATTTTTAAGTATATTATAAATAAATGTTATTTACTGTACACTTTACTGAAATAAAAGTTCTTAATGCATACTTAATCCTAAAATTTGGAAAACCAAAAACCTACATAACATCTAGTGCAAGAAAACTAAAAAGGACCAACACTGTGATACTTAATTGATTTCCGTACAATTACACTTGAGGGAGATGAACCTTAGTTTTATTTAAAACAAGTTTTAATTCATATACTGTGGATTCATGAGAATTAAATCATGTCAAAGCTTAAATATGAAATCATAATTATTAAAATTTAAAGGTGTAGTTCCATTATTTGAAATGCAATAGTTTATGAACATTGTGCATTCAGTCTGGGCAGTAATATACATGGCCACACCCATTAGAAACGAGATTTGACCAGTTGCACTTAATCTCTCTAACAAGACATAACTTCTCTTTGATGGAGTCAAATTCTCTCTCACTGCCCCATTACTAAATGATTTTATATTTGAATTATAATCGTTAGTTTTCACATAAAATGTCCATTTCATATAGCTATGTAAAGTTAACAGAGATTTTGTTTATATAATAACAGTTATTTCAATAGGCCAGATAGCTCAAATGAAATGTCAATAATGACAGTTATAATAATTATGATAGCAATTAATAAATAGCATTTGAAAGGTAGCCATTCAATAACTTCCTAACAGAAAACCTGTTATTGTGGAGATCTCCTGATATACATGTACTCTTCCAAGACGTTGACACGTGTGTATAAATAAAAACATAAAATATATAAAAAATAATGGAAACTAGGTGTACTACAAGCAAAGCTTTCAAAATGATATCAACAGTCTGATATTCATTTGACCTTGACCTTGCAGACAGACTTCAAACCACTGTCTAGTGGTGAGCAACAATAATATCAAACATCATTTATATCCTTTAAGGTATTCAAAAGTTCTGAACTGGACAAAACTTTATATTTTGAATATGGGGATGTAAAGTTTTGTTACCTTGACCTTGGAGAGAGAATTTCCAACCTTATTGGCGACTCATCCTCTGGTAGTGGGCAACACTAACACCAAGTATCATTAATATCCTTCATGGCATTCAAAATTTCTCAACCCAAACACAACTTTATCTAGACATGGGGGTGTAATATTGAACTAAGTTTCTGACCTTAACCTTGCAGGCAGACATTCCAATCTTATTCATTGTGGTCAACATTAATACAAAGTACCATTAATATCCTTTTAAGACATTCAAAAATTGAAAACTTGAAAAGACTTGCATAGAAAAACGATGGAGACAGACAGAGATTAATTCCCATATATTCCTTCGTTTGAGGTCATATATTCTATAGGAATCTATGCGAAAGAAATTTATCCTTAAATTTTTTTTATCTTAAAAATTAACTAATTCCAAGGTTCTTACCGATATTGTTAATATGAATAACAAATGAAAATGAATTTACGTTAATGCACTGAAAATATAAAGACTTGGGGCTTGACATTTTAGGGGAAAATGCAGTGTTCAACCCTACACTATTGTCCATTTGTTATTAAAGTGCACTTTATTTTCACATTCTTTCATGCAAATACCTCTCACCCCTCCCTTAAAAAAGTATCATGTTCTATTAATTTGAATATAACCTATACACATGCTATATAGAAATTAAGTTTTCCATGGAAATGTCACATTAACCATGTCAAATTTTGCTTTCCACAATAAATGTAACATATTTAAAATGCATCAAGGCATATTTATCTAACATGTTTGAGTAACACTTCAACAGAATATTAAAATGAGATTATATATGAAGTGGAAACAAATCTGTAAATTCAAAATGTCCATCGATTTACATATCCATGTCTTGGTTTTATTTGTGTTAGTTGTTACATTGACACTCAAGCTGTAAGGATGATCAGAACGAATAAATTATTTACACCTTTCGTCAATAAAAATTACCTGAAACTTTGAACTGTATTACAGGTATTTAATAAGTAATGCAAATATTATTTATTAATCACCAAGTGAGAAACAAGATTCATAAAAAGATGAAATTCTATGTATTATTCAACAAAGTAATTACTTTTTGTACATTTTGTGGTCTATTGAGAGTGAAACATTTAAATTTTTATTTTTAAAGATTCCAGACTTGTGGGAAGAAATGAAATTTTTAAATCCATGTATGTATAAAGTTCACTGTTGCTCTTACTTAATATCAGAAGGAGTTCAACAAAAGTGTCAAAAAGTAGAAAGTTCACCAAATAGATGTGGCCATTCATTTTATACCCTTTTTAGTTGTGGAAAGTACTTGCTTTATCTAAACAGTTGTTTCTTTTATAGCTATAGAATTAACCTCAAAACCCATGCTATGTTTGCGAACCCATGAGTGATAATTCTTTCACAGTAGAAAAATTTAATGCAGCAAAGTAACAATGTCAGGGATACAAAAAAGTCATTTTTTTCCCAGTGAAACTAAATGCAATTGCATAAAAAAGTTGAAAAGAAAGCATGCATTTTTTCAAATGAAACAAATGTGGCATAGAGAACAGAAGATAAATAAACTGTAAGAGGTTGTTTAATTAATATCCCCTCAAGGTATGTAATGGCTAAATGATAATTATAAAATAACATTAATTAAATATTTATCTTATGTTCTCATCGTCTTATGTAAACATTATCAAATATTAAATAAATAAAAAATATAGAAAATCAATTTCTATTATATCATTACACTAAATGAAATATGATCTATGAATTATTAGAGAAGGTTACATGGAGAGTTTAATTTGTTACATCATAATGATATAATACCTAAGAATATATCAATGTGGAATCTGCTGGAAATTTGTTGATAATTTAATTATGATACTTTTGTATTCAAAGAATATATATGCATGTTTAACAGAAACCATTCTAATTGAAATTGATCATTTTACATCAATGTTACCATAGACTTAGCACTAACTATATTTGTGTATGTGAAATGACCCGACATAAGTATACCCAAAGCCAGTAGAATGACCATGTATGAATTAAGATCATGCAAAATCTCTGCCTTGTTACATTGTAATTAAAAATGTGCAGAGTAAAATCTCAGATTGATAAAGCAAGGATATTTAAATAAACAAGAATTAAGATGTTGAAATGGAAATTTCATCTAGGTGTTCTAAACTGATGTTGATCAAAGGTAAAACTTGACAGATCAGTATGAATTTGAATTAGACATAAATAGAATTAAGACCTGTAACTGGAAATTCCATATAAGTGTAACCTTAACTTTTAACATTTTGATTTTTTCTGCTAACTTGAAGCCATAAAATAAAAGGAACGACTAAGTTCTCTGAAGTAAAACATTTTAATGTTAGGTGAATGGATTTAATTTTGTTTATATTATTTTTCCAAGGTATTACATTAAATAAGTAAACCTCAGGTGATATGACGGTAAAAGCTACCTTTTGTTATTAACAGTTAAAATTTTCAATCTATAATGGCAATATTAGCGATCTTGTAAATACTATGAATTATATCTAAAAATGCCTTCAGTAAACGTTTTAAAACTGACCACTCAAATAAATGGCTTTTCAGTAAACTATTTGGAATGTTTGTCAATAATGAGGAATTAAAATCTATATACAGGATATATATTAATTCTTTCAAATTCGATGTTTATTTCAATTTATCATTCAGAATACATGTTTAAATTAATTTGGTAAAGATATCTGATACTGACAGACAGTATATAACACTCAGTATTAAAATATATGTAACCTCAAAAGGCATTTTAATATCTAATAAATTGTAAACTTTTGAACTGAGATGGAATTAGTTGTCAGTCTTAAGTTATTTGTTGAAACATTGTGTGTATCATAATTTGACTTGAGAAGAAAAATATTTGAATTCAAAAGTGACAACAGTGTAATTTATTCATCTGTGTGTATTTGTAAACAGATTCATTAAAATTCAATTCATTATGGTATCTATAGAAAAGCTTTCATAAAATAAATTTGATTTTAGTAAACAAGACATTTTACTGTCCATATGATACCAATAAAAGCTGTCAACACATCATCATAAGTAACATATTAGAAACTAACGGTGACCTTTACTAGCTGGAAAAATTCTTGGAGTCATTACCTTATATATAAGAATACGGAAATATGGTATGATTGCCCATGAGACAACTTTCCACCAGAGAAAAAAAGACGAGGATAAAGACAACTTTAGGGCCTTGTATGTCTATAAAAATAGGGCAAAACCCAAACCCCATAGTAAGCTATAAAAGGCCTTAGTATAACAAAATCGAAACCAATCAAAAGAGAATCAAAGTGTAATCACTTCAAATCGCCCTTATTCTAAAGTGATTCACTTATCATTAGCAAGAGTGATTTCTTGTCTTAGAGAAAACCCTGTCTTGATTATGAATATGCCATTCTATTTACTAAAACACACCATTCATACACCATCATGAGGACAGTGTAAATATTCTCCTATAAAAAAGGAAGATGCAATGTATATAGATTAATCGTGTTTATAAAAATTTAATTTAAATTTTAATTTGCCTCAGAACTTCAGATGTCTTAACTCTTTGGCATCGTTTGGTTAATGACTCTTTGAATGATTGATTGTTGGTTGTCTATGAAGAATACCTCATATCAAATGGAAAAGTCAAGAGTATTGAAGAATGTACATTTGTAACTTATTTATGTATACTGGTACTTACTTTCTGTCTATGTAATCTGTAAGCTCTATCTTGTTCATATTTGTGTAGAATTTTACTGGCCACTGGGAAAGTTCCCGGCATGATGTCAGCTTAGTTTTCTTTGCCTGTGAAACAATTTTAAAGTTTGTATGGGTATGCATTTGATACAACACCAAAAGAAAATTCTGGCCACTTTGAACATATAAACTAAGATAAAAGAATAAAGATCATAAAAATGTTCATGTGTTTCTCATGACTGTAACACAATACTCACAAAATAATTCAACTGATCTACAACAATGTTATTCATCATCCATTGAATATACAGAGAGATATTTCAGAATGAATCAACCAAAATTCACTGTGAAAAGTCATCATCAACAATGAATTGCAACTGAAACACCATGACTACAATGTATGCATTGTAGATTTGTTATTGTTGTCCATTAGCTGGTACTTTACTCAGTTTGAGCACAGCTAGTGCAGATCACAGTGTTAGAGGACAAAGGTATGATACCTGACAGTAGACTATTGGAACTTTTGATTTATTGTTGTTTGCTTAACCCAGTGGCAAATATTTCATGCATATTTACTAATTTAGGACACAACAAAATTCAACAATAGATCCCAATTGTCCATTTTGGCAAAGTTAGTTGATCAAAAAAAAAAAGTTGATCTTCTTATACATGTATATAGGTAATTAGGAAGAAAACATTGTAATGAAAAACACTTACAGTATTCATTTGTTATTCAGTAAACATGTGTATATATTTATTATTATAAATATAGGATAAGATATGTACTTGATTCATAGAAAATAAAAATTTATATCTTTTTTTTTCTTTTTTAAAGTCTGTTAACCTATCTACATGATCTAATGTAAACCTATTTGATCATATCTATTTACTCATACTTATAACTTGGTATGTGCTTGCAAAATGAACATGTACCACCCAACATGCCCAATTCAGGCCATGGATAAAAACTGATACATGGAATGAAACTGAATATAAGTTGCTCTCAGATATTTTATTATTATTCTTATTTGGATAGAGGTATATGACAGTCTGCACCATTAGACACTAGCCTGATGCCCCAGACTAGTAAAATTTCATTTGGACTAGCAAGTATTTGCAAAACTTATTTTACACACTTGAGAAAAAATTTCCAAAGATTGGTCTTCGGAATATTAGTTAGATAAGATTTTGGTGCAGACTGATATCAGCATTATAACACTAAAAATGGAATTAGAATGTAAAGTCATATGTTATAGGACTAGCATATATATATATATATATCGTGTTCAGTTCACATTTTTTATTTAAATATATACTTGATGTAGTTTATCATTTAGGAAGATGTGTCATATGTGCATTGTACAAGGAGTAAATCATTACCATACATTTAATCATTTTACCCTGGTAGTTGTAACAGTTAATTACATATGGCTTAGTTTATCTAATTTTTCGTGTATCTACTACCATTATATTTCATATTTAAAAAATCAACTGAAAGCAACAGTAGGCATAAAGGCCATTTTTGTGTATTAGTTTACATGCATTAAAACATTGCAACAAGACAACTGTCTGTTTATAGTGTTCACTATAAGACAATATTTAATCACCTTACAAGATAAGGAGCTTAAGACATTCAAAAAGTATTATTTCAATATGAAACCTTACACTAAATGGCTAGTTTTATCTTACCTCTTCTTCCAGTTAACTTCAAGTTATTAATTCCAGTTTATTTCAATATAATACTATTTGTTTTTGTTTAATAAAACATTTCCACATTTATACTTTGATGTTCAGTGTTGTTTGGTTCATGCTACCTGTTCGTTTCGGTTGAGTAATGAAAAGGTTATTTACATGGTAACGTAAACAAAAACACGTCTGAACGAATCAGGTGGGAAATTTAAACTGTGACTTGTAAAATTACCAAACCATAGCTGTCATAAATTGACATGGTGACATTACGGTGATAAATGATACCTGTTGTCATTTGTGTGTGAACTTTATCAAAACTCTTTGAATAAATTGATACATTCATTACTTTTCATCCACACCAGCATCCTATTTTCTCTTTGCAAAACAACTCTCTCGGATGAAGGTAACTTTCGTCCAAACTTCCGGTTTCGAGGTACATTAAAAAAAATCTTTGATTGAAAATTTTCGAGCTCATTTGTTGTTATGAAAGAAACTGTACAGATAATAGAGGTAAAATGCACATCATAAATCAAACTTTCCCAGACCCAATAAGATAGTTGTTTTAAGTGCAGTCTACGTTCTAAGGGAGATGACTGTCTTTACATCAGGATCAATCAACCAAAATTATGCCAAATGGGTTGTGGATACATGATATAAATGGGATATAATACCCCAAATGGGATAAAAATAAACTGTTCAAACATCTTTATTTTTATTCATGGGAAAATATAACGATGGGCAAATGATTGCATAAAGGCAACAACTTTTCGTGTAAGAGCAACTGTTTTTAACATGATGAACTTTGATGTGTTTAAGGATATAAACGCAGCTTGAGAATAACCAGGACTACCCATGGCACCCCTTGTGGAGCTATATATATGGTTAATGCATAGACTTTTTACATGCCCCACTCCAAATGTTGCCTAGTTTGGGTGATCAGGCGGTGGCATTAGTTTACTTCTTAAAAGCTTTATATTTTCCAAGGTGGAAGACCTGGATGCTTCATACTTTGTATATATATGCCTTATATTATGAAGTTTCCGTCTGTCATATGTCCATTGTCCTTGACCTCATTTTCATGGTTCAGTGACTTCTTGAAAAAAAATTTAAGATTTTTTGTAGTGTTAATTTCTCTCTTATTATGAGTAATAGGATAACTATATATTTAATATGTGCGTACCTTGCAAGGTCCTCATGCCCTTCAGACAGTTTTCATCTGACCTCGACCTCATTTCATGGATCAGTGAACAAGGTTAAGTTTTCGTGGTCAAGTCCATATATCAGATACTACATGTATAAGCAATAGGTCTTCTATATTTGGTGTATGGAATGATTGTAAGGTGTACATGTCCAACTGGCAGGTGTCATGTGACCTTGACCTCATTTTCATGGTTCAGTGGTTAAAGTTAAGTTTTTGTGTTTTGATTTTTTTTTTCTAATACTACATGTATATGCAATAGGTGAACTATATTTGGTGTATGGAAATATTTTACAATGTACATGTCAGTTTGGCAGGTTTTATTTGACCTTGACCTCATTTTTACGGTTCATTGCTCAGTGTTTAGTTTTTGTGATTTGGTCTGTTTTTCTTTAACTATAAGCAATAGGTCAACTTTATTTGTTGTATGGAATGATTGTAAGGTGTACATGTCTGTCTGGCAGGTATCATCTGACCTTGACCTCATTTTCATGGTTCATTGGTCAATGTTAAGATTTCCTGGTTAAGTTTGTTTCTTAGATACTATAAGTAATAGGTCAACTATATTTAATGCATAGATTGATTGTAAGGTGTACATGTTTGTCTGGCATGGTTCATCTGACCTTGACCTTATTTTCATGGTTCATTGGTCAATGTTTAGTTTTCCTGTTTAAGTCTGTTTCTTAGAAACTATAAGCAATAGGTCAACTATATTTGGTGCATTGAATGATTGTTAGGTGTTACACTGTGTACATGTATTTCCGGTTTGGTTTATCTGACCTTGACCTCATTTTCTTGGATCATGTTAAGTTTTATGTGATACTTTTAGTAAATCTTTATATTTAGGACTATCAACATAAAATCAATGGTCAGTAAATTATAGAAGGCGAGACATTTCAGCGTGTGCACACCAGTTTTACTTTAATGGCTCTCCATACTTTTAGAGGTCTAGCTATAGAATAATATATAACAAACATAACCATGATAACAGGGATAATTTTACCAAAAATATTGGCCAGTACAATATTATCAACAGATAGTAAAAGGTACAACTTATAGAAGAAATTTTTGATATGCTTGAAGTTAGTAATATTCACTTAAAATACTTATATATAAGTAGTAATAACTTGTGTAAGCAAATTTGTGAGATTAAAATTTTTTTTCAATGTCCTTAATTCTGTAAATTCAGAAATTAATATGTGCATCTATTATTGCAAATTATTGACCTCTAGCAAAAATGCGAAATCTAATTAATGTTAAACTTATTTAAAAAAAATTATGAAGGAAAGTCACTACTAAAATTATGAATGCAAGTTTGTATTATTGCAAAACCTGATACTGGCTCATTTTTCACTTGAATACAAACATTGCAGAAATTTATGAACTTACAGTAATCAACGTTAACCCTCTTGCATTTCTAAAATTTACTGATACAGTTCATTTTTTACACCCCTGAAACCCAAGTTTTGAGATGTCTAAAACAAGCAAATATTAATTGGTCAGGCATTGCCTTATTCATTGTTATTGTCTTATTAAGCTCAGGAGAATTACCTCCTTTGTAATTTTAAATAAAATTATGATTTTCTCCTTATATTTGAAAGTGTAATCTAAAACTTTGCAAGCAAATACATGTATATGAAGTACTGCCAAATTTAATTATGATAATGATGCAATAAGTTATCACTTTTACCATAAAGAAAAATCCTGTTAAAGTTGAAATTCCGTGCATAGAAATAATCACATACTTATATTGATTATAGATATAGGAAGATGTGGTATGAGTGCCAATGAGACAACTCTCCATCCAAGTTACAATTTATAAAAGTAAACCATTATAGGTCAAGGTACGGCCTTCAACACGGAGCATTGGCTAACACCGAACAGCAAGCTATAAAGGGCCCCAAAAAATTGCCTGTAAAGTTTTAGGTTGCACATCCAACACTGAAATTTTAGTTGAAAACTATCAAAGGGAGATAAATAGCCAAATAGGCTAAAGATATAGCATGGTCCGGCTATACATGTATGAGCTCTAACTACGTTTACTAAACCTGATAAATAGTCAAACTGAAATACATATAACTGATAAAACTACAAACTTTTCAAAATTTACACTTTTCAAGGGGACTTTCTTGTTTAAGTGTGGTTATTACTGGAAAATTTTTATTCAATTTCAACCACAAAAAATCTGAAAGCCAATGCAAGGATGTATAGATATTTGAGGATTTACATGAAAAGAGGCATAAAACAGAATACCAAAACTCATTAAGGTCAAATTTGACTAGGGCAGTAGTAGTTTTAGTTTCTAACTTTATCAATAGAAATATAAAAAATAAATGTTATAAATGCATGACTAAATTAAAAGGGACATAAACAGAATAGCCAAAACTATCCAAGATCAAAATAAAGATTTTTTGCATTGTCTCAGAAAATATCCCTCATATGAGGTCTAGCTACTTATTTGATTGTTGGATTGAGCCATTGAGCATGATGCTGTTGAAAAGGGGCATGCATGATTCTGCAACATGCCATTTTGCTTTAGACAAAACACTATAGACCTTATATGAATGCCCTATTAACAAAAATATAAGTTATAATAAATGCTAATGTGAAGGCTTGTCTTATATGCATTGTGTAAAAACTTTTTAATGCTTCATTTGTAAAATTTTGTCATTGAACTCTCTTTCCTTTCTCTTTTTGTAAATTTTGGTGTTTAAATTTATTTATATTAAATTCAAATTTCTTAAATATTTCTAAGTTTTGTTTTTGTTTTTAATGTGTTCTTGCTCCTATTCAAATGATCTTACCATAACATAACACATCAACTAAATGATAAAAAGTAGAAATTAAAAGAAATTTTGTTTCTGAAATGATAATTTAAACACTATTGAAAAAGAAAAATAGGTCCATGCTGCAAGCGCCTGTGCTTTCACGGACGAAAAAGTAATCAGGATGAAGGCCCTTTAAATTGACTCGAGCTAAGCAAAGATTCAGACAATATGTTAAAGGGAAAGGAATTCAGTTAGTAGCTTATGGCATTTTGGGTTTGAGGAATGAGCTGAAGTTAGAATTTATTCACAAAATACCTATATTATCTGAATACTCATATGGTCAGGCTCATTTACAACCAAACGAGTATTATACTCACACATATGGGCAGACCATTTGAGAATAGGCAGATGGTCATGACCATATGTCTATGGTCCAATTACTCATATGGTCCGGAACATATACATTCGAATATAAAATCAAAGGAAGAAAAATGTTAATACTGTAATGAATATTTGTCAATTGTATTGTACATTCATTTTTGTCTAAAAACAGATACATGTTCTATGTTTAATTTTCCTGATTTATATAAAATTTTCAAGAATTTCATTACTTAAAGCCTGAATCTGATTTTAGAATGCAAATTTGATATTAATTATTACCCTTGTTGGGAAGTATACTGGGAAAATACTGGTTCACTGCAATGGAGAGTAATGGTGAGAAATAAACAGTCATGAATGTGTAACATTAATGCACAAACATTTCCAGTTTTACAATCAAGTTTAATTACAAGAATGTTAAATGGCAAAATTGATTGATTTATTGTTGGTTGCTTAATGTCCAGTGTTTAATGATTTATATGTTGAGAGTCTCTTCCCATTGACTTACATTGTTCATGTACTTTTGGGCTATAAGATACGACCATTCAGCTTATGTACTGTAAAATAGTAAATTTCTCCTTTATTTTTCAACTATTAGCCATGCTTTGAGATTTTGTGGTCTTACTTGTAAATTATATACATGATATAGTTAATTGAATTATAGAAATGAAATAGAAGTTCCTTCATAATGTATGTTCCAAATGGAATAAATATTCTGGAATATTATTTCCACTTGATCAAATATTACAGTATTTGTTCCTAACAGAATAAAGGGTATAGAAAACTTGTTCCAGAACTTATGGCATTGTTTATACCAAAGTCTCCAGGAGAACTTCTACTACGCGGAAAAAATATATGTTGACATTATTGCATTGCAGATTAATGAGAAAATAAGGCAAACTTAAAAATGTTAGGATATTTTTAATTCACCATGGTTTAGTCAGTATTTTTCCACCCTTAACACACTGGATACTTTCTCATTAAAGCTATTTAAAAAAATTTCGGATGACAGTGAGTACAAATAGTGATTCTGTTAAATATTTTGATATCGTAAATGTAATACATGACTGTGATACAAATCAGTTTAATTTTTTTTGATAGATTTTCTGCTTCAATGAGCAAAGAAAAAAATTAACATGTCATCATGAAAGGTCATGATATATGTACATGTATAATGTAAATAAAAATTTATTCAGCTTTTGTCAAACTTAAAAGGAGGAAATAGGATTTAAGGATTAACTTAACTGGTAATATCTGCGTTTTTTTTTCATTATCAAAGTAATCTTTTACATTTTTGTAAGTATTAAAATCTGTGTGTACACATGTTGTAAGGTTCTTAGTTAGAAAATATATAAGGGTAGATGAAGGTAAGATAGAACAGTTTAAACAAAGGGATCATAATTTCTTGTTTTTAGAACAAAAAACTAATTATCAGATTCATATACAACATGTCAAACCAACGAAATAAACTTTAACATTTGAAGAGAATTTTCTTTTGAGGAAAAAATAATTGCCCCCCAAAAAAAATATTTACCCCCCCTTCCAAAAAAATTAACGAGTCTAAAAATCCATATATTTGTCTTGTACATCATTAAGGAAATATGTTCATGAAATGTAACACTAAGCCTTATGTTTTTCACCATTTGTTTTGCATTAGTAAGTTGTATTTATGTATAAACAAGGAATTATTTGGATCTGGAATAATTTTGAATTCTGGAAAATTGATGATTAATTTATGATGAAAACTAACCCAACTAAATAGGGTTAGCCATGCGTGCATGGCTAAGGGGGGTTAGTTAGTTCATACTGAAATGATAGTGAAATTAAAATTAACCTTAGCCATGCGCGCATGGCTCACCCTATTTAGTTGGGTTAGTTTTCATCATACATTTCTAATCAATTTTCCAGAATTCATAATTATTCCAGATTCAAATAATTCCTTGTTTATATATATTATACATGTATTATATTATATTATTATATTTTGAGTTATTCAGAGGGCATGAGGGGAGATTAGTATTGTGCTAACTGATTTTAAATAAAGTATTTATTATTATTATTATTAAGGGTAAATGTATGGGGTTTATTTAGATGGAAAGTTGCAACAATACCTATATAATATATATATCTATAACATGAAGATTTTAAAAAGGTCTGTCCCACTGAGAATTATCCCCCTTTACTAGTAACTTACCTAGGCAAACTTCTCATTTGTATGATAGTCATTTCAGTTCCAGTTAACTATCTTGATCAATGACTACAATCTTATAGATCATGTATCCCCAAGACAGGAATAATATTTAGATTAAACGCTTTCTTTTATAATGTTTTTTTTTTGCCTTTTTAAAAATTTTAGTTTACCTCTAAGCCATGTAAGTCAGATGTTTGGTTGTCTCTGTTCTATTCATTCATAGACTTGTCTATTCACCAGATTAGTCTATTCTTTAGTCATTTATTCTTCAGTAACTTCTACTCAAGATGTGATTGGGTTTTGTTTTGGTAAAGGAATCAGAAACACCCAAAAATTCAGTTGTTCTGGCCTGGGACGAATGTCTCGAAATAGGAGACATAGGGATAAAAATCCTGCTCTGTAAGCGTGTTACCTCTTAACATAAAGCCTTATATTACAAAAGGTTGAATACCTGGATACTTCATATAGTGTATTCAGATGCCTTATGTTGGTTAGTTTCAGTCTCAAAAGTCTATATAGTTTTTGTTAAGTATTTTTTTTTTTTTTTTTTAGTTTTTATGACAAATAGGACAACCTTATTTGGTTTATACATTTTATAGAATTATTGCAATGTAGGCATATATAATTAGAAAGATGTGGTATGTTTATCAGACAAGGTTCACACAGGCACTTGTCTCTGAATTTTTCCCCCTATATACCTTAATATATAGGAGAAAAAACAAAATTTTCAGAGACAAGTGCCTGTGGTAGGTCAACTATATTTGGTGTATGAAATGATTGTAAAGTGTACATGTATGTTTGGCAGTGTTTATATGATATGCCCGTGACCAAATTTTCATGGATCTTGATAATGATAAAGTTTTGTTATAATAAAATCATGAAAATCTAGATCTTTAACGACTTTCAACGTAAAATTCGATCATGATTAAAAAAGAACATGAAGAAGATGACAAATCTCAATATTTGCACTCTTGTATTTATTTATAATATATGAATCATTACAAATAATATAGGTTTAGTAGCTGAATCAACTAACTTTTAATATAATATTTTGAATTTGAATATATGCATGATATGAAACTTATAAATGTTTTTTTTTGTATTTCACAATCGTTTACAGCTGGGACAAATGGATTTAACATGATATTAAAGAAATGGACCTGTTTTACCGGAAATCTGGACCAGCTAGACTTGAGGTAAAATGGTGAATAGTTAAATTATAGATTTATTATTTATTTTTAAGCAGTCTTATGAAACATAATTTACATCACCATTGTATGCAGAAGCAAACTATGACAGCCATATATATCATACTCTGTCATGTGGTTAATTTATCAAAAGTGTTTTTATTTTCTTATGTTTAACAATTATTAGATGTAATTTACTAATACATTTCATAAATCAAATAGGAATGTCAAAAATAATTTCCTTGTTATTTAGATTTACTAAAACACCAAGTGTCAATTACTATAAACATATGATGCAGTCTTTTGCTTTAGGATATTTTTTTCAACTTTAAAAATGTTCTTTGCTTGTTATTACATTAAAGTGATTGATTTTCATCTTAAATGTTATAAGTTCAAGATGAATATTCTGTTTTGGAGCTGTCATGTGTCAATATGTCACTCAGAAAACAGTTGCAAGCTTAGAAAATAATTGCTATGGTTCCCCTTCATTCATTGCTGAAAGATTTAGGGTCCTCACTAGTCTTTAAAATTGGAACAAATAGGTCATAGTGACCTACTTTTTTTTTCCTCTAAATAATTTTCACACATGACACATGCATGAAATAGAAAATCTTTTTGTCATTCATATTAGATAATAGGTTGAAAGTTTAAGATACTTATATTAATTCTTGCTGATTGTGTTTTTAGTATCAAGCTATGTTCATAGCCATGATTGCATGTAGTCTTGGTATGGCTACTTTAAAGAAAAGATTAGTAGGTTCTGTAACCCTTGCTGCTTAGCTGAACTAAAAGTATAAGAATGTACTAATAAGAAGCATTTATCATTATATGTACATGTATTTGCATCTTTATAATTTGAAGAACTACTATTTCAATAATGGTTCCAAATATTCAATACGGCATCAAATTTCACTCTAACCTCTTTTTTTTATGGGTTGACCTAATTGATTATTTAAAAATTTGTTATTATAAAGTAGTATCATAAATAATGAAACAGGTGAATCTTTAATTCATTTACAAACAATACATATTAAAAAAAGTAATATGATTGACTGAAATATGTTGCTTTAACAAGCATTACCTTTTAAAGATTACCTGTTAACGAACTAAATGTCTTTATTAATTTTATGATTGTTTAATTAAAAGACAGGTAAAATCAAATATATCATATATGAATCAATTATTATTGATGAAATTATTAGTTGACATTAAGGTTATTGGATCAACATGAAACTACTAATGGTATGTATTGTTTCGATCTTTCTACTCTCAAAGTCTAAACCTTTTATAGGAATTAGAAATTCTTATACTTGTAGTTATGACTAAGGCCCACATAAAACATTTGGAAGATGTGGTCATTCTGAAGTTTTCACTTTTTCCAATCAGTAACAATCAACATGGTCAACATTTTTTTTCACTATTGATTTTTTCCAGTTTGTTTCATGTTTTCTACATACAACAGAGTAGCAGGAAGCTCAAAATGATTAACACAGCTTTTATTCTTTTGTTACCATGTGTAATGATGAAGCACAAATATTTAGACTGAAACACCTGTTCGTTATCTGTTTGACCTTATAAACAGATATGATGGTAATAGATAATAAGAAACAGATCTTAAGTTTAATACCTAATGGATAAAAAAACCCCAACAAAACTGCAAAGAAGGGTATCACCAAGAAGACCTTCTGGTGTAGAACATGTAGAACTGAATTATAATGTTTTAAGTGAATTTACATGGAATGATCTGGGAAATGTTTGTGACTATATCAGACATTACTTATTTAAACCTTAAAAGAGTAAGCCTACATCTTCTATTTATATTTAAAATTGGTGCGGCTTAACCAGTTTTACATTTTTCAAACAGTTCCCACATCATAACCTTCAATTTAATACATTTCAAAATTTTTCATTATTTTAGGACAATGACCAAGTCTACCAAAAACCTAGGACCAGGGGTATTATATCCAGACCTTTGTCACTGGTTGTGATAATTGTATTAGCTTTGGGCTTATTGTTGACACTACTTAACATCTATGAGCTCCATAAGATGAGGGAGGACTATGCTGCACACCTCATACCAACAATGGAAGCTAAAGAAGGAAAATATGCTACCAAACAACCTATAGTATGGATAGAAGGCAAAAATGTTAGTTTATAAATGTGGATGAAAAAGCATGAATATTTAATAATTTGATTTGTTATAATGATATATGAACAAAGGAATAATCATGATAACCTGTATGTTCAAGACTCAGAAAAGGAGTAAAGGAGGATGTATGTTAAAAGCCTAATTTGGCTCTGAATTTTTTTTATTTTAACATATGTATATATTTCTTGTTGATTTCTGTAGAAATTTGGTAAATGGAAAATCAAAAGAGTATCATTTTTGTCGAGCCTGCGACTTTTGTCGCAGAAAGCTCGACATAGGGATAGTGATCTGGCTGTGGCAGCTGCGGCATTATTTGACCGTGACCTCATTTCAAGTTTCATTGCTCAGTGTTAAGTTTTTGTGTTTTGGTCTGTTTTTCTAAAACTATAAGCAATATGTCAACTACATTTGGTGTATGGAATGATTGTAAGGTGTATATGTCTGTCTGGCATGTATCATCTGACCTTGACCTCATTTTCATGGTTCATTGGTCAATGTTAAATTTTCATGGTTAAGTTTGTTTCTTAGATACTATTAGCAATAGGTCAACTATATTTAATGCATAGATTGATTGTAAGGTGTACATGTCTGTCTGGCATGGTTCATCTGACCTTGACCTCATTTTCATGGTTCATTGTTTAATGTTAAGTTTTCCTGGTTAAGTTTGTTTCTTAGAAACTATAAGCAATAGGTCAACTATATTTTGTGTATGGAATGATTGTAAGGTGTTTGTGTCTGTCTGGCATGTATCATCTGACCTTGACCTCATTTTCAATGTTCATTGGTCAATGTTAAATTTTCATGGTTAAGTTTGTTTCTTAGATACTATAAGTAATAGGTCAGCTATATTTAATGCATAGATTGATTGTAAGGTGTACATGTCTGTCTGGCATGGTTTATCTGACCTTGACCTCATTTTCATGGTTCATTGCTCAATGTTAAATTTTCCTGGTTAAGTTTGTTTCTTAGAAACTATAAGAAATAGGTCAACTATATTTTGTGTATGGAATGATTGAAAGGTGTACATGTTCTTCGGGTTTGGTTTATCTGACCTTGGCCTCATTTTTTTGGATCATGTTAAGTTTATGCGATACTTGTAGTAAAGCTTTATATTTAGGACTATCAACATAAAATCAATGATCAATAAAGCAGGCGAGACATTTCAGGGGGTGCACTCTTGTTAATTGAATATATCAAATTTATTTACATATTAACTTGAAAATCGTAGCTATTTGTATGTAGGTTTTCCATAAACTATTTGAAGTGAAAAAGCACAGAGATACATGAGTACTGTAAATTCAAAACTGTTTGTGAGATGGTTTTTATAAATGCAAAATGAGATGGGAGAGAATTTGCCATACTAAATTTTTTTATTTTAAATTTTAATATCCTTACTTGTATGCACCATTTCTTGCAAGGCAAGGGTATGATTTCCAGTGAAACTGTCTACTGATTCTGAAGACCATAAAATTATTGACTGAGTTTTACAGGACTGAATGAATATATTCTGCAAATTTTATCAGTTCATAATATAAAGGATTATGGGTAATTTCAATGTTTATACACCAAATGAAAATGAGGACAAGCCATTGGTTTGATGTGCATTGTTTAGGACAAAATTCACCAATCAAAACAGTTTGATGTATGCTTTTGAAAATACCACCTAGAATGCATTAAATATCCGTAACTGTGAGGTACAGATTTACAGCAGCAACAATATTTTATTATGTTTTATATCTTAAAAAAGTATATTTTGTATTGTAGAAACACAGTGGCTACTTGAAGCATATTTTTGCTGTCTTTGATAGAATAGGTTATGCTGTGGGTGATGCTGAGTCAGATTGGGATGTTCTCTGGTCACATGAATACCCATTTGAAAGTCTTTCCAAAAAGATTTCAACTGCTAAACCTCATCAGAAGGTAATTGTGTAAAAGGCTTTAAACAGGGTAAAATATTCTTATGTGAATTATATAAATAAACATACTCTTTGAACAGTATTTTGATCTGGATATGGTTGTCCCATTGGCAATCATACCACATCGTCTTATTTCTATCTGGTAAACACTGATGGAAAAAAAATAATAGATATGTCTTCCTTAGCAAGAATGTTATTGTAATAGAAAAAGTAGCATCCATATTTGTAAACATAATAAAAATTCAACAATATTTAAAGAAGGCAAAACACAAACTTTCAAAAAAACAAATTTCTTAACCACTACTGGAAGTTTGTTTTATACATAACAAATTTTACAATTCTTAGCAATTGGACTGACAGAAAAGAGCTTAGTATTTCAAAAGCACAACTTGAAATATAATTTTGGAATATATCTGTAATAAGACTAACACAATTAAGTATTGATCTGCATCTGTTCAGTTCCTGACAAATAACATTAAAAGCTTATTTTTTCCCTAAAAATCATATGGAACAGTTATTGTAAGAATAAACATAGTGCCTTATTTTTTCAGATTAACCACTTTCCAGGATCAGGGTATATCACAAACAAAGTTTATTTAGCTACAACTAACACTTCCTTCATTCCAAAGGCATTCAAGATTCCATCAGAGACAAAGAAATTCCTAGCATATGTAAGTGACATGCTGATAAAAATAGAGAGAAAACAAAAAAATAGTACCTACATTTAAGTACTGTAGAAAGTTATTACTGCTGTTTCTAAATTTAAAGTTTTGATACCAACATATTTGTGTTTTTGGGTTGTCGTCTCATTGGCACATATTTTAAATCTCAAATTTGTATTTGGTAACAGTTATGTTCTTGTTGCATTGCCTAGGAAAGAATAGAGCTATTGAAGAATAAGATGTCTGTACATTACATATTCTATTTAAGGAAAGGTACCTGGAGACCAAATGTTTGGAATATATCATACACATAAAACGTAGGAAAAGTAAAAACCAAAATGAACCTACTAAATAGCTAGTTTGATAGCCTGTTTGGACCATCTGTATATATAAAAATAAGAAGATGTGGTATGATTGCATATGAGGTAACTCTCCACAAGAGACTAAATGAAGCAGAAGTTAACAACTATAGGTCATTGTATGGCCTTCAAGAATGATTAAAACCCATACCTGCATAATAAACTGTAAAAGGCCCTGAAATGTCAAAGTAAAAAAATTCAAACAAAAAAACTGGTTTATGTACAAAATATGTGTTTGATGGTTTCAAGTTTTAGTTTTTAAGAAGTTTCAATTCTATGCAACAATTCACAATATTATGAATATGGAATCTTATTAATTTACATCCATAACAATGTGAAATGTGAATTCAGGAAAGAGGTGTTATAAAATTTCAGTCTCTTTCAATTATCATTAATTTATAGAAAGCTGCAAGTTAAATGTCTACTTGGTAAACAAAAAATTGTGGTCAGAACCCATAAGACCCCACTGATAAAATTAAAAAATGATGGTTATATTTCATTTGGAACAGTTATAGGAGTTGCAGTATATAAATAATAACCATAGATTGTCTCGAAATATAATATTTGTACTTGGCTCAAAACAGGATAGAAATGCTCGGCAAAGCATCGCTTTCTACCTGTTTCTAAGCCTTGTACAAATAAAATTGATATTTCAAGACAATGTATCGTTATTCTATATCCAAGAAACATACTGTCTCATTGGGAATCATACCACATCTTATTTTGATATATCTCTAGTATTTTATATCAAACAAACTGCAAACAAAACACTCTTGACAAGTATTAGTGTTATTGTCTTAATGTTGTAGACTAAAAAACATCCAAATAAAATGTGGGTACAGAAAAAGAACACACACAGAGGAGTAAAGATAAAGAAGACTAATGGTAAAGGATTATAAATAATATTTTGCACAAAACATTGAAAGATCTTTTTTTTTTAGACATTGTACCATGTAAATTTGTGACCGGCTTGGTTCAGCAAGTTTATGCCTTAAAATATAATAGATCCATTTTCTTCAAGTACATAAATCATTCGTCATTTGATTCCTTGTATGTACCTTTTATTCACGTACCAACCCCCTTAGCACAAATGGAATCTTTATACACTTTAACCCGTATTTTTTGCTTCCTTCTATCACTTTCAACAAGTTGTCACAATACTTCACTTTTATATTCTGTATGCATATAGTTTTGAAAATAGATTTATACATATGACCAGCATTTATTAACAAGATTTGCCTCTTCTTTATCCAATCTATGGTATGCAAACAATACACTTATTTGCCTTAATTATCTCCTAAGATTACAAGTACTGGAGGAAATATCATGAGATCACAATATCTTGTTCAAAGTGAAAGTAAATTGCTGAAAATTGTGGGTTGATGGAAATAAACTAGTTGTTGGAGGTCATTAAATTGTAGTCAATATCTGTGTGAAATAATCATCATGTTTTGATATGGGTAGGCATTTTATTTGTCAATATTTTTATACTGAGCATCAGCAAGGTGTGAAAAATGCTGACAAAATGTAATCCCCTACTCATGTGAAAATTAGCAAAAAGCAAAGAATTATTTTGAGTAGATATCTGAATGATTATTTTTTTTTATATGAGTGGACAAACAATCCAGTATCAGCCATTATGAAATGATGAGCAAAAACCTTTTTGAAAACCCACTGCTTTATGATTAAAAGTGTACACATATATATATAGACTTTCTTTTACAAAGATGTCCATTTGATCTCTGGCATAGTTCAAAATCGAATTCATTTGACATCATGCACATGAACCCCATATTTTGATGGAATTAAAAAATAGTTTTGTTTATAAAACAAAAGACGAGTGTCCTATTAGAATATATTGTTTTCTATGTAGTGATTATTGTTGCATATACAGAAAGTAGCAGGTCTTACTTTGTTGTGTACAATTCTGTTATTTTTACTTTAAGAACTTGACCTTGAAAGCACTGGATCATTTGTTCAGCAATATATAGACAAACCTTTATTGATAGATGGAAGGTAGGATTTTAGACACCTTTGCTTCCAAAGATGAATTCTTTCTTGATAATGTTTTTTATGTGTACACAGAATTAGTTGAGTATGATTTGATATTTTCGCACAGTGTTCAAATTGATTAATATATTTTTTCTTAACAGCAGTAAAGATTTTCACTTTTGTCATTTAAGAAGAAAAACCACCTTTTTTTAAATTTTACAATTATTGTCTTTTGTGGTTATTTGATCTAATTCCTGTTGTTATAACAGAGTTATTGCTCTTTGATCATGAAGACATAAAATTTTAATCAGAATTGATACACCTCAATATAATTAATTTATTATACTATCATTTTATATTTGACAGGAAGTTTGACATAGGAATATATGCTGTTATCACATCAATAGATCCACTGAGGGTTTACATTGTAGATGATGAAGCCTTGTATAGGTTTGTATTTAATTAAGAAACAATTCTTTCATGCCATGCTCTATGCTCATTTTAAAATGGGTTTGGCATTATATTTGTCAATATCTTTATACTGAGCATTAGTGAGGTGTAAAATGTTGACAAGTATAATGCCTTCCCATGTTAAAATGAGCATAGAGCATGGCATGATAGAATTATTTCGATCCTAATAGGAAAATTTAGAACTTTTGTACTTCGAAGCGGGACTATAATACACGTTAGAAATTCTCCGACGTTGTTCAAAATACAACTGACTTTGCAATTTCAATTGTGACGTCAATCACGTGCAGGCCATGTTCTTTTGCAATGAAAACATGGCTTTGTTTCCAAAGCGAACAAAGAACATCATATTAGAATTAACTATGAGGGTATTCCTAAAGGAAAGGACATCTCTTCATTAAGGAAGAAAGGTTTGGGACTAATTCACCCTGACTATATGTTCTTGAGTATTTTAATTGCAACTCCTAGTAAATTGTAGATTACAATTCTGCAAAACTCATAGGAGAAAATATACCATATGAAACTCTGTATGTATGCTTTGTATAAGCCTCCTTTCATTAGGAGCACCACCATAAGTTATGGTGTAAAGGAGGACATATAACACACTTGTATCTGCACAGGTTTAATGTGATTATTTGCCTACCCAGTTCCCCAGCATGGCTGTGACGGGCTTTACTACTAGAAAGTTAACCTTCCCTAAAATATGAATAAATACAATGCAATAAAACATATGAACAAACCCTGGTTTTTGTCTCGCTTGCAACAAAAGTAGCAGTATGCGAGACATAGGAATTACTATCCAGAGGCGGCATAAACTATTTGTATAAAGCTTTATATTTCAGAAGGTAGAAGACCTGGATGCTTTATATCTTGTATGCAGATATCTTATGTTACGAAGTTTCCGTCAATCATATGTCCATTGTCATTGACCTCATTTTCATGGTTCAGCAACTGCTTGAAAAAAAAATTGAGTTTTTTTGTCATGTGAATTTCTCGACCTCATTTGATGGGTCAGTGATCAAGGTTAAAGTAACCTGATTAGGTCCGTTTCTCAAATACTATAAGCAGTAGGTCAACTATATTTGGTGTATGGAATGATTGTAATGGGTACATGTCTGTCTGGCAGGTTTCATCCGACCTTGACCTCATTTTTATGGTTCATTGGTCAATGTTAAGTTTTGTGTTTTGGTTTGTTTTTCACGTACTATTAGCAATAGGTCAACTATATTTGGTGTATGGAATGATTATAAGGTCTGTCTTATAGGTATCATATGACCTTGACCTCATTTTCATGGTTCATTTGTCAATGTTAAGTTTTTGTGTTTTGGTCTGTTTTTCAAGTACTATAAGCAATAGGTCAACTGTATTTGGTGTATGGAAAGATTTTAAGGTGTACATGTCTGTCCGGCGGGCATAATCTGACCTTGACCTCATTTTTATGGTTCATTGATGTTAAGTTTTTGTGTTTTTGTCTGTTTTTCAAGTACTATTAGCAATAGGTCAACTATATTTGGTGTATGGAATGATTATAAGGTCTGTCTTATAGGTATCATATGACCTTGACCTCATTTTCATGGTTCATTTGTCAATGTTTAGTTTTTGTGTTTTGGTCTGTTTTTCAAGTACTATAAGCAATAGGTCAACTGTATTTGGTGTATGGAAAGATTTTAAGGTGTACATGTCTGTCCGGTGGGTATAATCTGACCTTGACCTCATTTTTATGGTTCATTGATGTTAAGTTTTTGTGTTTTTGTCTGTTTTTCAAGTACTATAAGCAATAGGTCAACTATATTTGGTGTATGGAAAGATTTTAAGGTGTACATGTCTGTCTGGCAGGTATCATCTGACCTTGAACTCATTTTCATGGTTCATTGGTCAATGTTAAGTTTTTGTGTTTTGGTCTGTTTTCAAGTAATATAAGCGATAGGTCAACTATATTTGGTGTATGGAATGATTGTAAGTTGTACATGTCTGTCTGGAAGGTATCATCTGAACTTGGCCTCATTTTTATCGAGCCTGCGACTTTTGTCTCAAAAGCGAGACATAACGATCCTACATTCCGTCGTCGTAGTCGTCGACAGCATCCACAAATATTCACTCTGTGGTTAAAGTTTTTGAAATTTTAATAACTTTCTTAAACTATCCTGGATTTCTACCAAACTTGGGAAGAAGCTTGTTTATGATCATAAGATTGTATCCAGAAGTAAATTTTATAAAAAAAAAAATCCTGATTATCCGTATTTTACTTATAAATGGACTTAGTTTTTTCTGCCAGTTAACTTTACATTCCCTCTGTGGTTAAAGTTATAAAAATTTTAACAACTTTCTTAAACTTTCCTGGATTAGTACCAAACTTGGACAGAAGCTTGTTTATGATCAAAAGCTAGTATCTAGAAGGAAATTTGTAAAAATTAATTTCCTGTTTTTCCGTATATTACATGTATTACTTATAAATGGACTTTCTTCCAGTTAACATTACATACAGTCTGCAGTTAAAGTTTTTAAAACATTTATTAGATTCACAAACCATTTCATTAACTGTATCTATTATTTGCATTCCCCTATCACACTGAAAACATAGACAACAGCAAAAGTAGGCTAGACACTGGGTTCCGCGGAACCCTTATGAATTTTTATGGTTCAATGGTCAATGTTAAGTTTTTGTGTTTTGTTCATTTTTTCAAATACTAATAACAATAGGTCAGCTATATTTGGTGTATGGAATAATCATACCTGTCAACTGACCCGGATCCTGCGGGTGTGACCCGAGATTTTCACAATTCTGAGGGGTCACCCAGAACACGGGTGACCAAATAACCCGGGAATTCGGAAAATAACCCGTTTTCACCCCGATTCCTTAGCCTTCAGACTGATTAGATATAAAGTGATTTCAATGAAATACTGGCAAATTCGTAATTCTTCCTGGACAAGAAGTTCAACTAGCTGTGTAAACTCAGCTCAATTGACCCATTTCAGTGCATGGCTTCACTTGATAGCTTTGGTGTCAAACACACTGTTAATTAACACCAATTACCTTAGCTTAAGGTCGTAAATAATTTGTGTATTTCAAAGTTGTTTTAAAGTTTCAAAGTTACTTCCCCTTTTTTGTCAATTTACAATATACTCCTTAAACTTATGTTTTTTTTTGTAAAAAGATTAAATCTAAAATGAATTGAATGCACAAACATATCAGAATAATACTTTTACTTATTGTTCTACCTTAGAAGAATTAAAAAATAAAAATTTAGAAAATTACTTTTTTCATCTATACCTCCTTTAATTGTTTAACTTTATTTTATTATATTCTAATATCAACCAATGTTTTGATTTACTGTTTAAAAGCTGCACAAATGTATGTAAAGAAAACACAAAGTGGCACATTTATGTCATGGAATGAATATGAACAGGAACACAAATCTATCAATGGACTCTAGGTGCAAGGAAATAATAATATGTACAATTTTAAATTACTTAACCATGTGGACATGTTTTGGAAACTTTGATATAAATTATAAGAAAAATGTCCACTAAATACTGAAATTCAGCTCGAAAAAGTTCGTACGCGTTATGACCTGAGATTTCATTCTTCTTTGCAGGTCATCACCTGCATTTTCATTGTCATAGGTTGACAGATATGAATAATTGTAAGGGGGACATGTCTGTCTGGCAGGTATCATCTGACCTTGACCTCATATTTATGGTTCCATTTCATTTTAAGTTTTTGTGTTTTTGTCTGTTTTTCAAATAGCATACGCAATAGGTCAACTATATTTGGTGTATAAAAAAATTGTAAGCTGTATATGTCTATCTGACACAATTTATCTGACCTTGACCTCATTGTCATAGATTTTTAAAAATGTTAAGTTTCTGTAATGCTTTTAGTAAAACCTTTATCTTTAAAACTTTCAACATAAAATCAATGGTCAGTAAAACAGGCAAGACATTTCAGCATGTGCACTCTTGTTATGTGTATGTCTGATCACAGTGCCTCTGATTAATTAACACTATTCCATGAAATTTAGACATTATTTTGTGTCTAGGAATTTAATTCTAAAATAATGAATTTGTTGTCTATGAAACAGCAGTTTAGCATACAGCTGGCAGAAATCACATAACACGAATGATAATCAGGTATTTACTTCATAAAGCCAGTTTTCAATCAACTAATATGAAAAATAAGCAAATAAGACTGAAGTTATTAAAACTGCCCAGAATACAACTCCCATTACTAGCCATTAGCACAGTACATTGTGTAAATTGAATTTTAAAAAAGTTAAATAAAAATGTATTCAACTTAAAGGAAGTCACTAAAAATCAAAAAACACTAATGCAGCAGATTGATATTACCATAAGGAATGAATCCAACTTTTTATTGACAGATTCTGTACCAAGAACTACCATCCATTTGATCCCTATGATACTAAGAAGTATGTAGTAGATGATGACTATATACCTGTATGGCAGGTAAGATTAGGGTCACAGTCAGTGAACTATTGCCTGAAAGTTTTTTTAATGACAAAAAAATAATTTAACTTCCTCTTTACTCTAGTTCTTTTTGGATGAATACTATTAGTTTTTGTTTAGTATGTGTGTTCAAAACCAGTTTTTAGATTTCTAAGATTTTATGATAGAAATTTTTATATATAGTGGTAACATAACTGAACTGTCCAGATGAAACTATGGTATTCAGGGAGTAACTGATATGCTCAGGTATAACTATAATATTTAGATTTGAAAAAAAAAATAGTTGAATCATTAGTCATACCTAATACTTCTGGTGGATAAATTACAAGTCTTTACAGATAAAAGTCTGTTATTGACCTGAATCACTTCAAAGGTTAATGTTGTTGTTATTTTCCAAACATTTTTATAGATAAAATGTAAATGTAGTTATATTAAACATGTTTATAGATGTCAGAATACATTGAAGTTATAAGACTTTAGTAAAAAGTGTTGCTCTCCTTCAATCTTAATTGAAATATATTTTAGTAATACTTTTTTAATATATTTGTAGATGCCATCTTTAATGAAGTATTACACAGATTTGGGATACTCTTTTAAAGAAACTTTCAGCATGTACCTTAAAAGTAAAGGTAAGATTTATGTTGTTAATGTCTAGTAAAAATGCAGATATATACAGTCAAACCTGTATCAAGCAGTCACTCATGTGAACTATCAAAAGTGACCGCTGAAGAGAGGTGACATTTTAAATGAGGTTCCGATAAAAATTTCTTCAGACATTGCATATGGCCAAGATCAGGGAAAATTGTTTTAGTGTTTTCAATCAGTAGAGTTATAGTTCATGCGAGCAGACAAATAAAAAATGGCTGATTCTGGTGCTCTAAATTTGAAGAAAACCTTTGAAATAGTTAATATTCATGGAGAAATAAGTCAATGATACGGTTTTCAATGGAAACAGAAAGGAGTGGAACATGACAAATTCACATCCTATTGCCCAATCTTGTTTGCAAACAGGTTCCAATTCTCATTTTGACCTTGATACTAAATATATATTTTTCGTCATGATTATATTTTGGTTGCTTAAAACATGAAAATTACCATTGTTAAAAGTTGAAATGACGATTTTGTACAAAAATTATGTAACCACTGACCGCTTTAGACAGGTGTCCACTGAAAAGAGTTAAATAATATAAAGAAACGTTTGAGTGGGTCTGAAAGTGACCTATAGAGGCAGGTGACCGTTAAGGCAGGTTTGACTGTTCACTTTTTGTCAGCTCAGGGCCATTATAACTTACTATACGGTATGAGTTTTGCTCCTTGCATTGTTGCTGGCCGTACAGTCACCTGTAATTTTTCAAATACTTGTTCTTTAGTGTTTATAGATAGTTGTCGCATTGGCACTCATTCTGCTTCTTCTTATTTTTATATATTATATAACTGTGGTCATCCATTTAAAAAAAGAAAATATTTTTTGAACTATGCAATTTAGTTTTTTTTTCATCAGGCCTCAAGAAAAATATTACAAACATTTCAGTCAGCAATACTTTGGTCTTAATGGTTACCATTTTTTCAGTTTTTTATAGAATTTTATCTATATTTTAGATATACTAATAGTATTGGGGGAAAGGGGGGGGTAATCTTTTCTGATTTCACTCACAGTTCTGTGTCCAGACAGTTACTTGGCTTTTTGTCATTTTTTCTCTAATGACCAATTACATTTATTTTATTGAAGGATTGGATTATGAAAAGATGTGGATGGATATGAGAGAAACAGTTGCCACAGTAGCCGTTCAGAAAGAACACAATTTTATAAACATACTGAAGAAATACAGAAGTTCCAGGTACTAAATATCAACCAGTATATTGGACAGTCATATTCTTCCTTTAAATTTAAGTTTTATAAGTGTGCTTACTCAAGAGGTATTTATCTTTCAGAAAATAAACAGGCTGATAACTTTCAGGTTGCTGTTACAGTTAATAATTTCTATATTGATTTATATAAGATTTGTGGTGCATAATTTATAAACCTTATCTGGTATTTTTATGCTATGATTTGTGGAGCGGTGAGCAAGTATCTTTGGATAACTTTCATCATTTTTAAAAAGTTAAATGAAAAATATAAAAAATAAAACCAAACTAAAAATCCAACACAAGATAAAATTGGAGTAATGTATCACATTTTTTGACACCAATATTAAAATAATACATAGAGCATTTCAGTCCATCAGTACTGATTTTTAAAATATAAGAAATGATGTACTGGGTACCGCCAGATGTCAATTAGACAGTAATCAACAGTAAAGCCAAAACACATGCAGTCTTAAAAAATAGACAGGTGTCTATGCAGTGTGTCAAATTATAAATCACCCAGAGTCTAAAAAAGTTGTGAACATATTTGTCAGAGACTATCAAAGATCTACAATTAACACTAGATTCTCAATAATACAAAAAAAATGGATTTAATAAAAAGTTTTGTTAAAATTATTAATTTGTTTATTTTCATAGGAACTTTTTTGAGATGATGAGATTTGATTTTGTGTTAGATGAAGATTTAAATGTTTATTTAATGGAAGTAAGTATAAAATGGATTTATACATCAGCTGAAACTCTGTGATAAAACACATGATGTTAGTGGACAGTATTTTAGCATATTCATTTGATACTGAAATGCCATTAAAAAGTATAATGAATGTATGGTTTTGCTTTACTTGCATACAAGGTAAAAAATGTAGAGTCTTCAATTTTAAGTTTATCTAAAATAAATTTGGCACACATGGTGTCAAATACTTTCATTCTATAGTAAGTTTTGGTATTTGAAAAGTTCATAAGTGAGATGTTTTATTATGCCATTTACTTTTTGCATCACTTATTAGAAAGTACTCTTTGGGGTAAAACTGGACCTCAAATCAAATGTATTTAAAAAAATTCAAGATTTCTTCTTGCTTCCAAAGAACTATTTGGTTGGTCCTTGTGCTCTATGCTAATTTTGCCAAAGTATCCCTGAAATCATTAGCTTTGTTTAAACTGATAAATCCTGCTGATAACGTCACTATACTAAACTGTATTTTCCAGATGAGTAGATAATATCTCATAATTTGTTTCTTAATGTGGCATATTTCTCTGTTTTAGGCAAACATGTCTCCCAATCTGTCATCTGCACATTTCAGTGCCAATACTCGGCTGTATGAACATGTGATATTTAACCTATTAAGTTTAGTTGGAATTGCTAGATCTGTTACAAGTCCATTTGAAAACAGGTATGTAAATAAAACATTGTATTCAAGTAGTATTGTACATTATAAAGTTTGAAATGATTATGATTTAAAGGGAAATTATCTCCCTTTGTATAATGTAGAATTATATCATGGATAATTGTGGAGAAATTAATGATGTCAAACTGAAAATATTGTGAACTAGTATTAAACAGTTTATAGATTAATACACATGTAGGGCCTACATAAAAATAAAAGGAAATGTGTAAATGATTTTAAATAAAACTGTTATTTATATTGAGGTCTGACTAAAATATAGATTGAACCCAGACAGCTTAGTATACAGTTTAAAACTGTTTATATTTCTGTAGTCACTTGTTGATAACCTCAGTTTCATTGAAGCAATACTTCATGCTCTATGAAAATACTATCAGCTGAAGACTTGGTAGTCAACAGTTTTACAGATATTAACCTACAGTATAAATTATTATACACACTATCATATGTAAAAGAATCTATTCACCCTATTATTGCTTAATGTTACCAGATCCCAGACTGCTCTATATGATCTTAGGGAAAATCTGTAGAGTCTATCATTTCTGGATCACACACTTATTTATATCATTGAAATCTTATGGTATTGGTAGTAGTAAAATCTTGATATGTCAATTTTTTTTGTTCATTTCAGTGGAGAAGATGAGAAAGCTATGGTATCATCCAACAGAGACATTGCAGTGTTTCCTGATTGGTGCAGTGGTAAAAAATGTCAGAATAATTGTTTGCCAGAGGTAAATACATAATCTGATGAGAAAATAAGATCAATTAAATGTAAAAATTAACTTATCTACCATGTAGTTTAGATAGATGACAGAGAAACTGAATAAGGGTAGTGTCCGAAATGTTTTTATGATTTATTTACTACAATATTGTAAAGTAATACTGAATTTCTACACAAGAATTAAAAGTAACATGGGTAAAGTTTTCAAAAAACAACATTCAGTGAAAATACTATACATTTATTTTCTCTTTCCTGAGGGAGATATGATGTTTTGTTAATATCATGTGAGACAGCCTCGACCAATGAAATTTTTATTTAGCTATCAATATTTACATATAGTGGAATAATAGGACTTTACTGTTTATTCGACAAACAACACATTTATTTCTGTTCTTAAGTGTATTATCTAATTTCATCTCTACAGATAGTTCAGTTTCTTGTATAATTCAGTTGACACAATGTTTTTAGGAGTCATTAGAAATAAAATACTTAACAAGTGTACATAATGTTTTTTTCATCGATGTCATTATTTACAAAAGAAACGTGTTATATCAGAATATTTTACTGTAGAATATCATCTTATCCAACAGCATGATCCATCACAAAAATCTTTCAAGACCTGGAATGGAATTTGTATAAAAACAAACAAACAAAAACTGTGTTATAATTATAATTTCAAAATCTGCTTTTCTCAAGTGTGTTTTTCTTTGTAATAATAATAAATGTGTCAATATTTATGGATGACTCCATAAAAATGAAATGCTTAAGATAATGTAGAATGTTCTTTTTTAATTCTGAAAATGTTTAAAATTAGATTTTATTACAATTAATAAGATTTTGTTCTTTCCACAATCTAGAAATGCCATCTTTGTAACCAGTGCCTTACATTAGAACTGAAGAAAAGTCTTAAATCTGCCTACCAGGAACATATGAATAGGAGAGGATGTAGAAGGGTTTTCCCATATTTCAATATGGTTAGTTCAGTCAAACTTGTGGATTTTTATATGTTTTTCGTCTCCTCAGTTATCTGAAATTATCGTACTGTGTTATATTATGATAAATCAAATTTATTCAAAAGTCATTAAGACCTTATGCAATGTACCAGTAGTGCATTTAAGGAATATCAGTACTGTAGTTGAAGAGTTGCCACTGTCAATTGGTGATTTGACGGTCGCAAATGCAGTTTTATTGGCGACAGGTAGCTGAGAAATTAAACGGATACTTGTGACCGTCAAACCAAAAATTGGCTGCAGCAACCCTTCAACTACAGTGCTGTTATTCAGATTCTAATGCATTACAAAAAGAAATAATACATTAGAGCTTGAAGAAATGTAGATTTGAAATAAAATTCTGCGAAACTTCAAGAATGAATTTGGCACATAAAGGTCATGGTTAATTATGACGTCAAACAAATGAAAACTTTCAAGTGGAATGTTTTTATGTTACTTTTATGCTTCAAATTTGAAAAAAATCGCATCAAAAAGGTAGGTGTTGCTAAATTTCGATTACATTGTAGTAATCGTACATTTGTTGATCCAAGCCATACAATATGGCAGCTTACTCTTTAGTTATGACATGTAAACTGCTGTGGATTTGACAGTTAATTTAAGCCAATTAAAATAACTGTTACATAAAAATTGCATAAGAATTGTGTGGAGGGAGAGGGGGCAAGGTTGAAGGCAAATGGTGACTAAAAAAGACTATTTTAATTTTGTAGTTCTAATATTTAGTTGCTCTCTCATATTCTGACTAACAGTAATTTCTACTTTAAAAACTTATAGTGTAGTTAGATATTTATACAAAATTATAGTTACGAATATTGCAACCTGGCCATTTGAGACTTTGACCCATATTTTATGATAACTTGGTGCCATACAATTTTACATTTTACCTGTGTGGTTGAAGCCAATAGCAGGTCTAGTAACTGCTCAACTCCATCTGTCTGTTTGTTCGTCCGAAAGAAAGAAAACTTTTGTCAAAGTTTTCTTGGCTTCTATGAAAGAAAATCATTTCATATTTGGTCTGCAGTTATATAATGTTAAGTTGTAGCCAGTAAGCAATTTTTACATCTGCCATGCATCCACTACCTGTTGGCCGATAGTTTGAAAGTTTACAACAATCATTGTACAAGGAAAATTTTGTCAATGTTTTCTGGGCTCCTATTTAAGGGAATGATTTAATATTTGGTCTACAGCCTGATAATGATGAGTTGTAGTGAGTAAGCATTTTTTACATCTGTTTGAAATTTTACCACACTCGTACATGGAATATTTCGTCAAAGTTTCTTGGCTCCAGTTTAAGAAAATGATTTTATATTTGTTTTGCAGCTTGATAATATTGAGTTGTAGCGAGTAAGCTATTTTTGCATCTGCCATGTAACCACTTCCTTTTTGCCAATAGATTGAAATTTTACAACACTCACTGTACAAGGAAAATTTTTGTCAAAAGATTTCTTGGAATCAGTTTAAGGGAAAAAGTTATGCTCCAGTATATATATTACCTCCATCAATTGCATGCAACGACGCAGGTCCAGACCTGGTATTGGTCTTGTTGTTTCTGGCCATGAATTGCCCTTAAATCTAGTTTATAGAATATAGGATCTTATTTAGTATTTTACTTTAACAAAAAGTAGTAAAACTTATTTTTGATTTTTATAATTTGTATTTTCAGACTCAGTATGAAGCACGTCATTGGAAACCAGACAACGCAAATAAGGAGTATAAATGGTTTAATGCTAAAAATAAACTCATGTACATGTGGTTTGTTGGGAAATGTCAACAAGACCAGTCATGGTGTTCTTAGTTGTAGGAGAAGATTCTTTGTTAGTATGGCTTATTGGTGCAGAAATAACTCAGAAAAATAGAAGAAGTGAAGAACAAGATCAAAGGACAAAGGGGAAAATTTAACAAAAATATAGCATATATTAAATGAATAAATTCAGTTTTAAAGTAAAAAAGTGTATTGTAATTCAAACATTCTAAATTCTAGTACTGCGATTTTGTAAGCTACTAAAAGTAGAGTCATAGGTGTATCTACTTAATTTGTTAAACATATTATTTTTATGTTTACTATGTTTAAATATAGATATATATAGATACATCTTCCTATATCTATGAAACATTTTGACAGTCATTAGTTTTTAGTCCCCTACTGACGAAGTCGAAGGGGACTTTAGGTTTGCACTCCATCCGTCTGTCCGTCCGTCCGTCCGTCCGTCTGTCCATCTGTCCGTCTGTCCATCCGTCAGTCCGGTAAATCAGCTTTCCACACTTTTTTTCTTCGTTCTTGAAGATATTGATTTGATATTTGGTATATAGTTTTATCATGACAAGTTATAGATCAAGTTCGAATTTTGTTCCAGTTTGATGATTTAGTTCAGAGTTATGGACCATAACTCTAGACCATATCTAATGTTAGAGTACTATGTTAAACCATATTTCTGTACAAAGGGAGATAACTCATTTTTTTAAAGACATTCTCTGTTAAATTATTTGAAGAATTTTTTGGCAGGTTTGTTTGTTATTTGGTATAAACTAATTTTCTAAATGCTATATATATAAAAAAAAATTATGAAGAGAAATCCTTTAATTAGATAATAATCTATTTTTATTAATGTATATATTTCAATACATTACATTGTGTAGATAAAAGTTGTTGACATTTTATAGATAAGTTACAAATCTATATTAGTTTGTGACAAATGAAAGAAAAGATATTTGGAACTATTAATTATATTTGATTATAATTTGAAAATAGATATACACTGTATTACATCATATCTTATTTAAGAGAACTATTAATCATATCTAATGTTTTTTTCACTCATATAATCAGTTTTCCACACTGTTTTTAGTCATGCTTGAAGACATTGACATGATATTTACTTTTTGTTTACACCATGACAAGTTATAGAACAAGTTAGCATTTTGTTCCAGTAAAATGAATTTTTAACTGGTAGGGGACTATGTATTGCCATGCAATACTCTCAGAATGCTTGTTATATATTATTATACAAAGAATGATTTCACTGATTTCATTTAAAATGTTCAAACCAGAATAATTTGTATGACTGCAAAATGCTTAAATTTTTATCAAAGATGATTTGTTTTTATTTTAAAAAAAAAGCATCCTTTTATACTTTCAATATCTCAACTACTTTTCACATCCTTAAAAATTTGATTGAAATATGACTTTATACAGATTATCAAGTCCTCTAAATGAGATCTCTTCTTATATAAACCATGCTACTCATTTGGAGTGTTATATCAATGTTTAAGCAAAGAAAGCACAGTAGCTTTAAAAACTTCATAAAACCTGATAAATTAAGCAAGGTTCATCACTTAGTTCCCTGCTTATACTGTTTAGAATCATTTGGTATAAAGTTAAGAGTCTGACTCACATAACCTGAATGTGTAGGACAACTAGCTTGATGTAGAAAGGAACCACTTTATATTGCTTTGATCATGTCCAGTGTAGGCTGTACATTCATTTAAACCAACTGAAATATCTATTGATTTTCCCTTACTAGTGACTGGCAAAATTTGTCAGAATGATGGACAAAACTACTAGGATTTCTGAAGAAATAAATGCTGTGGTCTTGTGTTTCACAAAAAGTTGTATACCGGTAATTTTCAACAACTGTTAATTTGTATAGTTTTTTAATTAATATGACTGGTTGTAGGTTTTAGAACAATTTGTGGAACACAGACCCGTTTTTTATTTTTTTTAAATTATATAGCACAAGCTTTCTTCTGCCAAATTATATTTGCCATCTTGTCCTTCATTTCAAGTTTCATATGTCTAAACTTTTTATGTTGAATATCATTTTATTTTTAGATACAAATTACATATTATATATAATAATTCATCCATATTGTCAATAAAGAAAAAGTGCAATAAGATTTATGATGTGGTCCCATTTTATACGTATGTGTGTGTGTGCAAGTTTATAATATAGCTCAATATGTAAATAGGAAGTCTGATGTTTTTTTAATTTTTTTATAAAGGTTCTTGTTTATATTATCATTAAATATTATATGCTTGCATTTATTTTGTATCAGCATAATATTTTTTATGTATTAGAATGTAACATTTACTACTATTGTGGATATTTTTGTATTGTTAAGGGTGCCAGTTTAAGTGGATAGAGGAAAAAATGGATATGTGGATATTTGACTTCATGGTTTTGATAAATTCTGCATACAAGGAAATGTGTGCCTTGTCTAAGGTTAAATTTCTCAGCTTGCCTACTCAAACAAAACCCATTAAGATTAGTACCAAATAGATAATCATAAATCTTTGGAATTATTTAAATCTATAATTTGCTCAATTGTTTAATATCAAAATTAGAATTCTGTAAACTCAGAATTAATTGCATGCATGTAATTGTAGGAACCTACAGCAACTAGATCTAAAACTGATGAGAATTTAATAAATGTGATAGCAGAAAAATTAGTAACATGATGATTTTTTAGCTCACCTGGTTCAAAAGGCCAAGTGAGCTTTTCTCATCACTTGGTGTCTTTCGTCATCCGTTGTCATGAACTTTTACAAAAATCTTCTCCTCTGAAACCAATGTGTCAAATTCAACCAAACTTTGCCACAATCATTATTGGGGTATCTGGTTTGAAAAATGTGTCCGATGACCCTGTCCGCCAATCAAGATGGCCGACATGGCTAAAAATAGAACATAGGGGTAAAATGCAAGTTTTGTCTATAATTTTGAAAACTGTTATAAATAGAGAAATTCTGATAGGGCAAAAATGTTCAGAATAATGAGCTCTACTCATTGTTCATTGACATCAAAACTGTCAGGCGACATTTATAGGAGTTATTGCCCTTAAATGACAAATTTTACCATTTTTTTCATATTTATGCCCCACCTATGATAGATGTAAACAGACTAAATGATCAGCAATACAAGATCAACAAAAAAAAAATTTTTGTCATGAACTCTATTCTTGTCTACAATGTTGGAGAGAGTCCATTGTTGATTATGCACATAGACCTAGATGAGCAACACAGGCTCTTTAGAATCTCTAGTTTTTTTTATGTTTATCATGTATCATTTTTTGTATAGATATTAAATTAGTATTCATTTCTGAATTTACAGTTGAGGCACTAGTTTTATATTTTTATAATTGTAACAAAACCACCTATATTTGTCTGTGATACCAATCGTATACATTTAAACTTTTTATATTGAATCTGGCATTAGTAAGCGAATAAATGGAAAAGGATCTTAATTCTAGACAAAAAAACATTTACTGTTAGTTTAAAAATTTTTTTTTTATTTTGGTATATATATATTGTTCATATTTGAAGTTACTGAAATTCCATTTGATTCCTTAGGTGCACAATTATAAGGGCACTATAAACCAAGTATAACATTTAATGTATATTTACAAAATAAACTTGGTGGCAAAAAGCTGAAATAGAATTGATAAATATGGATTAAATGTATTGTTTTGTAACTAATGTTATATCGTATATGCAAAGAGATTAAATCTTAAGACTTTTGATTTGCGTTCTAATATCTGAAGTTATCCCCCTTACAATACTACCATACTGATCAGAATCTTCTTAATATGACTGTAAAATTTCCTGCTTTATGGTATACATCCCACAAATAATTAATTTCTTTTTCAGAACAATTATCATGTACTATGTTTGTTTGGCTTATTTATTTTCCCCTATGGCCATCTTTTTTATGGGTGCTGAATTGTTAGACTCCATTTGTAAGTAAAATTTTTATTTATTCAGCTTTATTGACTTCGCTACTAAATTTTTCCCTTGTCAATACACATGGAGGAGGATTTTTGTTCCTTCATATTAAGGTAGAATTTACACTACTGCTTCTGCATGGCATCTCAGGCAAGTCCAAGACATGTTGGAATAACTCATTTAAGTAAACTAATGAAATGGATCGAGGAAAAGAAAAATGAGAAAAAAATTCCTCAAACAATTCCATAATGGCAGTTGACAACTTCAGTTTGTGTGCAATCTTTCTGTAGTTTCCAGGATCTGGTTTGAAAACTGTAGGGGTTGATTACACAAAATAGGTATCTACTTTTATCCCCTTGCCCTTGTTCAGCTCCACCCTTTACATTATGGACTCTATGCTCCCTATAGCAATGTTTGGTTGGCCAAGGCTCCTTTGATAGGGTTTTCTAAGCTTCAAAGTTAGCACTCATGGCTCCACTGATCAGGTCCTGCGCTCCAGCGGTAGGGATCTGGGCTCCAAAGGAACTGATGGAGCTAATGTTATTACCACAAATTATAGTGAACAACAGCATACAACTCGAAACTTAACAGAAATTCACAAAATTACTATTATGCCTGAATTCCCATGGCGAAAAAAGAGTGTGATGATAATACATGAAAATAGATTGCAAGACTTTTTCTACTGTGATAAATGATTTATGGAATGCAACATATTAAAATTGAAAAGTTTTGAAGCCACAAACTTGCAATTCTTCAGGAATTTACCCTGACCATGCCACTCAAGTCTGAGACAATAAAATAAAGACTGGAAATTTCAATACAATTATGAATGATGAAGGAAATCTGATTTATATCAAGTTGCAGTAAATCATTGTATTTTATATTTCATTATGTATGGTAAAAGTGTTTTAACAATACTAATAATTGTTTTACCAGTGATATTTGTTATGGAATTATTTTGCAATTTATGACAAAGGATCTATTCTTGTACTTGTTCAAAGAAGGGGAACTCTTGTACACGTGCATGTTGTGCTATAGCTCTTCAATTGTTTCGATTCTTAACATCCTTGGCTTTCAAATATTCGGCTTTGAGCGTTCCTGATGAAGGTTAATCCAGAAAAGAGCTTCACACGCATAGAATTTATAGTGTTCTAATTAGTTTTTGCTTAGTATAAAGCAAATACCTTTTCCAGCACTTTCATGCGTTGTTTACAGAAACGGTTTTGAAATTTGTTGCTAGAGGTAACATCCATCTTTATGACAGTTGATAAATAAAAAAAAAAACTATTTATATAATTAGATTGCCTTGTCCAGTATGAACCATTGATTGCCGGATGTTGGCATCTCTCATTAGTTTACATAGACCTTTCTTTTCATCTTTGCTGGACTAAGGAGCCAATTTGAATTAAATTTTGAAAAATAATGTAACTGAAGTACTTTTTAACAGGAAATGGGCTGTCAAATGGACAACAAACTGGGTTTTCTGTATTTTTAAAGTTACCATTGTTGAACTTAAGAGGGCAGCTAATACCAGTGTTATTAATGTATTCTTATGTATGGAGCTTTCAGGCTTGTTTGACCTGCCACGTTCTGTGCCTATTTTCCAATCTATCAAGGATCATATGTCCTGAGCGGTAAAAGTGAAAATAGTCAATATCAAACTTTACCTCCATTTTGTCATCAGTAACAACATTGAAAAGCATTGTCTGTTATTGCATTGATAAAAAACTTTACCTCTATTTGCATCACCAAAAGAAAGTCATTAAATATGTCCTATGAAACTAAAAGATCAAATGTTTTTAATCCTTGTTAGGAATAATGACTGTGGAATTAAGATGGTAACCAAAATTGTAGCTGATCTACTCATTGCTGTTGGCAGCAATGAGGGGTGTTAGGTCTATTTTAATCAAAATCTTCAATATCTGGCAGAAAAACAATTCCTTAAAACATTACTATATTTATTGTATGTCTCAACAACTGTAAACAAATCTATAAATTATCACAGATTAATCAAAATTATTGTCTATAAAAATATCTTTTTTGTATCACAGGAACAAATGATATGATAGGTAACAAACACTTAAAATGCAGCATAATTTGTATAAGGTTTCACTATCTGTCAGAGCACTTTAGAAAAACTAAGGAAATATAATGAAGTCTGATCATTTAAAATTGTCATAATTGTTACTAGTATTTGAAATATTAATAACTTCAAAACCATTGCAAGAATTTAAAGTGGTATTTCAAAAAAAAAAAAAAAATTGTTCAAATCAGCATCTATACTTAAGCCAAGTCCCAAACTAGTATATTTATTACATGTCTAACAACAGTATTGTAAGTTTATTTGTAGAAAAAAAAGAAATCTATAACTTTCATTAAACTCTGACAAATAATTGGAAACATATTGTTTATTGAAAAAAATTAAACTATGTATCAACAATTTTTATGCATAGAATTATGAGTTTTGGGTGGTGTATAAGTCTATTTCAGTATTTGCTAAGTTAAATGTTTAAATGCATTATATCAACACAAAGGTGTTATTCTCATGAAATTAATCATTTACCCCTCAGAAATATACTGATGTTTAAATCTACTTTCATTTAACCAATTACATAAAATTGAAATTTCAAAATTTTTAATTGAATTTACATGTTGACTTAAACTAATGTTGATAAAAGTCATAACGAATGTAAGCTATAGTATTTGTCTTGGAGAAAGTTCAAAATCTCTTTCTATTTTCCGAACATTAGAAACTACATATCAATAGCTTCAAACGGACATGGACATTTAAATTTTAAATGGAAGACGTATTTCAAACATATTCATAATGAAAATAGCCCCCAAATTTTGATAATTACTATAACTCAATTTAAAAATTCAAAGGTGAGGTTACTCTACCAAATATTATTATAACTTTAATGTACAAGTTGTATTTTCTAATCAATTGAATGTATAACCATACTTTAGAAACAAAAAAAATATTTATGAATACCTTCAAGGTTGTTTTCAAATTTTTCTATAATTTTCATTTCACTGATTTTTTTTTTTCAAGTTCATATTAATTTTACATAAATTTCAGATAAAGGCAACAAGTACATAAGATGGACCAAACCTAGGTCTACAAAGTTATATATCATGATTATTTTATTATTAAGTATATAATTATATGTTGTAATTAAGAAATATCTAGAAAGAAAAATAATAACCAGCTCTCTTTATGATACAAATGTTAAAGGTCACCTTGACTATATAAACTTTAGTACAAAGAACACCAGATCACTAATTACTGTTTGTCATGCAATGTCTTTCAACTAAATGATTTTGTTTATTTGTTGTTGAAAGACCTACAGTTCTCCTTTTGTTTGAACTGACGCAATTACTACAATCCTTTTCATGACATTTTTATATGAATAAAAGGAAAAGTTAGGTAAATGTCAACGAGACTAAATGTTGTCATAGAGTTCCTGTTTAATTTGAAAATGAAAGGATTCTCAAGTCCTTGGAACCTCTTTCCTTGTTGTCTATAAATTAGATAATTATGAGCCAATAAGAAACAAATTCCACTTTTCTTGATAACATTAAGATTGAAGTTCAGAAAATAAATACCAACTGTTAAAGAATGAGAACTATGTCTGTAATTATGTTTCAAGATCACTCAATAATTATCTAGTTGTGTTGATATCCTCTACCAAAGATCTATGATGAGTGGCTGCCTCCTTGGCAATTAAATCATTTATTCCTATTTGTATATGAATTTCTTTTATCTCCCTTTTAAGGGCTTGATTGATTGATTGATTGTTTGTTGGTTGCTTAATGTCCAGTGGCAAATATCTCATTTGAGGAATTGAGGAAAGGTTCTTATATTTCTACTTTTAAAATTTCCTAGGCTATCATAACTTTATAATTATATGTCAATGAATTGGTGTTTGGTGAAATGAAAAGATTGATAAAATGATGAATTTATAAAATCTGAAACATTAACATCATGAAAAGAGTACAAACATTGAAAGTACTTTTATCTATTGATTAAAATTTTCTACATTATCAGAACAATTTTGGTAAATTGATATTGAATTTTTATTTTTTCATGTTTCAGCACATCATAAGTGAATTATCCGCTATGCCTTTTAGTTGGTATTAAAATGCATGCTTTACCTAAAAAAATCCACAGAAAATAGAACTAAGTACTTTCACAGCATTACAAAAATGATAAGTCTGGATGGGAGGGAAGTCTCTATTTCTGAATTCTTTCATTTTTGTCGAGCCTTCGACTTTTGTCGAAAAAGCGAGACATAGCGATCCTACATTCCGTCGTCGGCATTGTTGTCGTTGTTGGCGGCATCCACAAAAATATTCACTCTGTGGTTAAAGTTTTTGAAATTTTAATAACTTTCTTAAACTATCCTGGATTTCTACCAAACTTGGACAGAAGCTAAAAATGTTTATGATCATAAGATAATATCCAAAAGTAAATTTTGTAAAAAAAAAAAATCCATTTTTTCCATATTTTACTTATAAATGGACTTAGTTTTTCTGCCAGGAAACATTACATTCACTCTGTGGTTAAAGTTTTTGAAATTTTAATAACTTTCTTAAACTATCCTGGATTTCTACCAAACTTGGAAAGAAGCTTGTTTATGATCATAAGATAGTATCCAGAAGTAACCCGAATAATTCAGTCCCTCCCCGTGATCGACTCTCCCACTCGCGAGGGCCTGAATTCTTTATACAATAGAAACGCGTCACGAATCCAGGATTTTGATTGGTGCTCTCTGAGAAAGAGAGACAATCAGCTAATAGCTCAATGTTATCGAGATAGGTAAATCCCGAGCTAATTCCGAATAATTATTTGACGATTTTTTATTGACAAGGCCTTCAGGCGTTAATGTAGCCATTGTAGAGCAGTGGAATATAACGACTGAATTATTCGGGTTAATCCAGAAGTAAATTTTGTAAAAAAAAAAAAATCATTTTTTCAGTATTTTACTTATAAATGGACTTAGTTTTTCTGCCAGTTAACATTACATTCACTCTGTGGTTAAAAGTTTTTAAAGTTTTAACAACTTTCTAAAACTATCTTGGATTTGTACCAAACTTGGACAGAAGCTTGTTTATGATTAAAAGCTAGTATCTAGAAGGAAATTTTGTTAAAATTTTGTTCCATTTTTTCCTTATTTTACTTATAAATGGACTTAGTTTTTCTTCCAGTTAACATTACATACAGTCTGCAGTTTAAGTTTTTAAAACATTTATTAGATTCATAAACTATCCTGGATTTTTACCAAACTTGGACAGAAGCTACTTTCAATCAAAAGATAGTATAGAGAGGAATATTTTAATTAATTTTTTTCCTCATTTTTGTTGAGCCTGCGATTAACAGCAAAAGTAGGCTAGACACTGGGTTTCGCGGAACCTTTACGAATTTTTTAACCATTTTTCTCTATTCTTTATATTCTTTTTGCCCATTATTCTCTATTCTACATATTCTTTTTTGCCCATTATTCTCTATTCTTTTTTTTTTGCCCATTTTTCTCTATTCTTGACTTTATTAATTTTGCCCTTTTATATTCTCAATTTTTTTGTCCATTATTATCTATTCTTTTTTTTTTGCCCATTTTTCTCTATTCTTGACTTTATTAATTTTGCCCTTTTATATTCTCAATTTTTTTGTCCATTATTATCTATTCTGTAACCATCTCCAGACCTTCATAACAATAATTATAAATGTATTTTGAATATTTTATGATCAAATTACATTGTACATTACATCAGAAAAAAAAGACAAAAAAAGTAACATAGTAAAACAACCAACACAACAAAAAAACATGGAAAACATCAAAGAATTGACTGATATCATAATTAAATACATATTTTTCATTTGGCACCAATTATTTAATTAAATATTAACAATGCTGTATAAAACGTTAAAAAGATATATGACCTTTCTCTTAACTTCAGCTATAATGGACGGAATGGAAAGTAAATGCAATATACACAAATATTTTGACTACAATGTAAATGCTATTGTATTAACAAATGCCTAATATATATTTCATACCAGTCTTACAGTTTATCTTGCCCAATTTGAAATGATATTTATGAAAATTTCTTTCTTGATCTTCAAAATCAACTCTATGCATTAATGAACAGTTGTGTATCCTTGCCATGATATATTCAGAATGATTGGATATTTATTGCAATCATGAAATAACTTGACGGGAAAGGTTTTGGAATGACATAAATTTGAATTTTGATTTTTTTTTTACATGTTTCTGAAAATCAACTACCTTTCACATTTTTGACTGCTGTATGAGTATGCAATGATCTGTTTAAACAATTATAAGCTTGAACAAATGCTGTTATTGCAGTTACTTGAGTGAAGTTTGTTCCCCATCATCTTTTTTTAATGGAAACAATTTCAAATCATATAACCTATCTGTGTACCATGCTTTACCAACTATAATTGCCATATACAGTAGTATTTCAAGAATGGATTAATGAATGTTTCTTTTTCTTTTAACTTGGAACCTCTGTAAAAAATCTTGGTTTCTGTCAGAATACTGTTGCTATGATTACAGCTCTGTTTCTGTCACTGGATCTGTCAATTGTAGTACCAGATCAAAAGAAGTGGGAGGTAACTCATTCAGCCAACAACTATGAATAATTTCCAACAGCTGAAAATAGGAATACAAAACATATTATTTTGATATATACTTAGGGATGATTCCTGTCGAAATAAAAAAATAATCAACTTTCTTACAAATGATGTTTTTCAACATATATATGAATGATACATGGAAAAAATGAAAACAACACGTTATAAATTTCATGTATCTGAAGCGCTTTTCTGGATTTACCTTCATCAGGAAAGCTCAAAGTTGAATATTTGAAAGCCAAGGGTGTATAAAAATCGAAACAGTTGAAAAGCTATATATAGGTTTTGCTGCTGAAGGTTGTGATTCTTTCTCTGCATTCTGGCTTCATCAATAAAATCTGGCCTCCATAATATGACCAATAGTGATAGTGGTGTTTAACACCAAAAATCAATCAATCAAGAATGGGGGTATAAAAGATGTCAGTCTGTAGCCCAGAAAAGTAGTTTTACTTACACAGAGCTATTCTAAAGTGTGTGGAATGATGGATCTGATACCGTTATGAATACAGGAAGACAATCTGACAGAACTGATGTTTCTGTTATCTTTCTTGTTTTTGTCAATTTTTGGTTGTTTTACTTGGGATGTTTGTTCGATTGCCTTCATGCATTTGATTTCATTTTTTTCGCTTATGATATCAAACAATAGTTATATTCAGTATGTGTTGCAACTAAACCAATCCTTAGTCTAATTAAACATTAAAGTAATCATGTGTGTGAACACCACTTTGTTTAATATGGAATGTGATTCTGTAAATGAATTTTCATAGACAAAAAAAAAAGATATTGATCAATTCAAACTTGCTATTCAGCATTTGTTGGTTAAATGAATAAGTTGAAAGCACAGCATTTCCTCATCAATTTCATTGATTTCTGTGTAAAGAAAACTTTTCATAAGAAATCGATAAGCATTTAAAAATTTTCAATTAATGAACAATAATAAAATACATATTTCAAATGCTTCATTCAAAAACTGTTGATGCAATTAAACCGTTCTTCCTGTTGTCTTTTCATGTTCCAAATGTAAAATAAGGGATTACTTAACCATTTGAGAATAATATTGGTTTTGTGTATAGATGAAGGAAAGGTGTTATATGAGCATTCAATTTTACTCTGATGTCAAAAAAATTGCAGTATATGATAGTGTAGACTTGCCCTCTGTCAGTAAAAATGGAACCAATTTGGCCGAGTCCTTATCACATCTTTAACTATTCAGTTTTTTGAAATAGTACATGCCCTGAATCAGAAATGTTTTTTTTCTGAATATACCAGAACACTATAATGTAGTATACATTTTAGCATTCTAATGACAAACCTTTTAAGGTTTTCTTTCTTTTTACTTCAAATAAAATGTTTTGTCCCTTTTACTCTTACCACGGTAAAGTGTAATTATCAGTAAAAGTTATTTGGCAACCATAAGTTTAATACAGCAAAATTTGTCATAATGACAAACACAAAAATGTCACGTTTTTTTCCAGTAAAATGAAATCAGGAGCAAAATTGGACTGCACAAATAATGTTCAGCAGGCCAAGTGATATATAAACAGAAAAATTTGAGAAACAAAACTAGACATATGTCAATTTTCTCTAATTTGTGTCATTAGATTGCTGTCTGATTGTATGTAAACACCACATCTTTTGTTCATATGTCAGTCCAAACCCTCGTTAATTTGAATAACTTAGTGATACAAATTTTGATAGAAAGGACAGATGGACACGATTTAGTATTGAAATTTTAATATGTTTGTTTTTGAAGGCTGAAAAAGAGAATTCCATACAACACATACCTGTGTACCAATGTTTCCAAGCTGTCCACCTTGCTGTAGTTTGGTCTTTAGTGTTGTAAAATTCTCCAGGTTTGCAGGAAGTAGGTCATGGAATGAAACAAGATTTAGTTGTGTTGTCATTTTCCGACAATTAATCACATGTTTTTCATTCATTCCTTCCAACAATGGAACATCTATATCCAAGTCAACATTCTCATTGTATTCATTCATGCACTGCATATCTGACATGGGATGATATACACGCTCATAATTCAATGGAGAATCAAAATCAGGATCTAACAACTGAACTTGTCCATTTTGTTTTTCTGCTGGTTTATTAGAATAAACTCTGTCTATATATAACTCAGCATCCACAACCACTGAGGGCTGATGCTGTTTAGGTACACCTGAAGAGGGGATAGAGTTGACAGCACTATTTTGAACACTAGCTGTTTCTGAATCTTCCGATGTATGTGGTTGATTCAACATGGCCTCTTCTCCTGACTGATTATGAAATGAATCGTCAAAAAATGATTTATGGTTAGGTGACCTATTGCTTGAACTTGGACTTCTAGATTCTTCTGGAATTTCTCTAATGATATCATCTAATTTCCACTTGTTTATTTTTTTCCTCTTTGGTTGGTCTTTCCGTGATTTGCGATGCTGTTTATGAGGAGGACTTAGTGTGTTTGTATTGGTTGTTTTGAAGAAACCATGTGATTCTAAATCATTGAAAAGCTTTTGATCATCTGTAACATTGCCTGAGTCTTCTGTTTCATTCACCATGACCTCTGGTTGACCTTTATCTGTTAACTTTGGTGAATCAGAAGTTATGGTAGATACTCTCAATGGAACACCCTTCTTTGTTAGTTCTCTGTATCTTTTAGATGCAACATTTGGACTAGCATATACATTTGGGCCCCTCAATTCCTTAGAACCTAATGAACTTGCAGTTTTTGGACGAGAACTATGAGATGGAGTTTTTGGTCTTGAATCTGACATGCCCATTTTAAATCCACTAATGCCTGTTTTTGATGACAAACATTTATCATTCTCATCTTCCAAGTCCTTAATATCTTCTGGTGAAGCACAAGTCACTTCTATGATACGAGACATGCTTGACATGGGTCGTAAATCATCTTCATAATCATTTGGCACAATATCATTTTCTGGGAGAATTTCTTCATCAATATCATTTTGATCAGGAGAAATATGATTATTTTCAAATCCAGTAAGGACAAATGCAGTTTCCGAGAAATTCATTTTTCCAGAATCAACAGAAACAAAAGGTAGTTCATCAACATGAAGTCCTACTTGACTCTTTTCATGATGAACTGGTAAGCGACTTTGAATTTTCTTTCCTTTATGATTGCGATAATAATCAGAAGAAAGTTCACTACTTTCACTGTCAAAACCACTATCACTGATCCTAGCTTTACTTTGCATTTGTAATTTCTTTCTCATTTGGTTTTCCTTGAAGGGCAAATCAAGGTCAGTTGTATGCCCATCAGTGTCTACATCAGCTTGTGATGACAATGAAGTTAATTCACCACTTGTTAAAGAAACATTGGCTTTTCTCACACGTACACTTGAATCAATGCTACTACCACTATCATTACTACTGAAACTTGAATACCGCGGTACTCCAGATTTGAATTTCTCATAATGATTTGATGTCTGCTCTTTTGTGTCTTCCATATTCACAACAGTATGATTCTGATCAGTGCAACCATTTTCTTTGTTTTCACCATTTGATTGTGTTTTTAATTTTTTAACATTTGCATATTTAACCTGTAGGTTGGCCTTTTCCCGCCTGTCAGAAAGTGGAATCACAGGCACATTTCCACCCCTATTAGTCAATTTCTTTTGTAAGGTTGCTCGTGCTTTCTTTTTCTGAGATTCACTTCTTATTAACCTTGATTCATTTTGTTCCTCTGGTCTTGTATTTCCAGCCTTTTCTGCTGATTTTGAACGTTTTTTCTTTGGCTGTTTTGGTTTGATTATATCTTTTGTCTTTTCTTCTTGTTTTTCAGAATCCTCCTTGATAAAAACTGGTTTTATTTTCTGAAATGGTTTCTTATCATTTGAATTGTCTACCTGAGGATGAATTATATGGCCCAAACTTTTTAACTCTTTATGAGCCAAGTCCAAGTCATGTCTGAAATTTTCATTATCACTGTCAGAAACTTCGGTTGCCTCAGTAATTTCTTGTAAACCAGAAGTAGTTCGATGTAATATTTGTGTTCCTGAGAATGTTCGGTGAACGGATTTTGGAAGCATATTTGACCCTGAAGATGAACGATAAAATGGATGAGGAGCCATTTTCTTAACAAATTTACCTTGAAGCTCATCATAATAGTCAACAAGCTCAAACCTTCGAGTGCCTGGTCCATCACTTTTCCAATACTCTTGTTGCCTAAGCATGCTTAGGTTTTTGTCTCTTATGACTAAATGTTCTTTATTTTGAGGATTTTTCTTTCTCTGTGAGGTTACAGTTTCTGCCATCCCTGGAAGACAATCTATGATTTCATCCAAATGATCATTGTTTTCTTCAATCATTTCCACAGGAAGTGGTAAATTTGACCATAATGATGCCCTTGAGTCCTGAGATATTGTGTTTCTAAGCCCATGCGACCTTGGGTATTCCATATCACTAAGGATACTCCATTGATCACTGTGATTAGACATTGTTCGATGCATCATATTTTCACTGTTACCAGACATTCTACGATGCATCATATTTTCACTGTTACCAGACATTGTTCGATGCATCATATTTTCATTGTTACCAGACATTTTTCGATGCATTATGTTTTCACTGTTGCCAGACATTGTTCGATGCATCATGTTTTCACTGTTGCCAGACATTGTTCGATGCATCATATTTTCACTGTTACCAGACATTGTTCGATGCATCATGTTTTCACTGTTGCCTGACAGTGTTCGATGCATCATTTGTTCACTATTACCCGTCATACTTCTATAGACAGATTGCTCATTTTGTCCTTGCATTTTATGATATAACCTTTTTTCGTCTTTGGACATTTTCTGATACATTGTGGGATCAACTGACCCTGAAGATGTTCTATAAAGGTCACCATGTGCTGCCTGTTGAAGACTATGATTACTTTGGTTTGATAAACTTTTATGTAAAGCATGATCATTTTCATATTGCATTGAATTTTTGGAATCACTTCGTTTTTTCTTATGAAGTTTTTGTCTGACAGTTTGAATTTCTTCCTCTGAAACTTCATCATTTGAATCATAATGTTCAGATTTAGTCTTTGGTTTAAATGCTGACACAGCAGTTTCTGATCCAGTAATCGTCTTTAGTTTAGAAATCATCCACTTTTTACTGTCAACTTTCTTCAATTTTGATTTACCCTGAGGTTTGCAATTATTAAATGCATCAGCATTTTTTTGTTTCGATGGTGTAGTTGATTTTCTTTGTTTTTCATTTTCAGAAACAATTGGTGAATCCACACGATTTGTATCATAAGGATCAGGTGCACGGTTCTTTTTATGTTTTTTTGAAAATGGTGATTTACTTCTTGATCTTTTTGGCATGGGTTCAGGTGTCTGTTCACGGCTTCCAAACAATGTTACGGCAGGGGAATGTCTAGACCTTGATAAGTCAGGTGACATTGTCCTTGACCTCTGACTTCTACATGATTGTGCTGACAGAGGTCGACTTCCAGGTGACATACTCCTACTTCTTTTATAATCCTCAATAACCTCTCCTGGAGAACGTACCCCATGAGGTTTATGCCTATAAAATTCATCCTCAAAATCTGAGTCATCATAAAATGTTTGTGGATAGTTATGTACATTTTTTTCATTAATGTACTGATCCCATTCATATTGGTATGTGGCAAATTTTTTCTCGCACATATTTGATATAATTTCCAAGGCGATCAAAGCAAAAGACCTAATATCAGGAAGGAAGAAATTCCTTTTGTCTCTTATACTGTGGTTACTAGTTTGTTGCATTGCTCCAAATATCTGTGTGTCCTCAAAGTCTCCTATAGCAGCTCTCATTACCATGCTCTGTAAAACACATAAATCATATTGTCAACAAATTCAGAAAAGTGTATTTATATTACATGTAAACATTGAACTAAACGGTAAGAAACAATAGCCTTACAACCAAAATCAAGCATGTATCTAAAATTTTGTTGTAACTGGTCGATTCAATTTGAACTTTATTTTCAAACATTTGTTAGTAAATATTAACAATTTTACTCATGTGAAATAGCTATGTTCACATAACATTATCTTAGATTTACCAGATGTTTACCTCAGTAGTTTTGGTTTTATAATTTCTGATATTTTTGAAGCAGCTCTTGATAAATCTGAATAGAATTGTTAACTTTCAAGAAAATGATAAACACATGTATGGATTCGATTGTAAACTATGGCATATCTTACTATATTGTGTTTAAATGTTAGAAAGTAGTCTGTGGTCATTTTGTTAAAAAAGTTATTTTACATGTAATTGATGCCATAGAATCCAAAATAATCTCTGATAAATTCTATAAACAAAATTATTGTTTTATGAATGCATAAAAGTTAAAAGAAAAAGAATATTAGATTAAGTAATAAAGTTATGACTCAAACTCAATAAAAAAAAATCCCTACATTTATAAAAGAAAATAAAAAATGCATATATACAGCAAACTATTATTAAAAAAGCATTTTACAAAAATGCTGAAATACATTATATTAATGGTATTTTTTGTTTAAAAAAGGCAATCTATTCTAAGATTCTCTATAATTGTAATAAAAAAACAAATGCCATCATGGGATATAGAATGTAAAATGCTGCTATATTTTGAAACGTAAGATTACAACTGAAGCCATTCCTCTGTTTGCATAATTTTTATAATTAATATTTTTTTTCAAAATTTCTCAGATTAAAGTGTTAAATAATGTTCAGGTGACTTCTTTGTGTTTCAAATGAACAATCTTTATTTCAACAGTTTTATGTTTTATCCAGTCCCGTAATAATATCAAATAAAATTTGGCCACTTGCAATAAAACTTGTGAAATTGTGAATGAATTCTACTATAAATTATTGTCTTCATTCTTCAAAAAACTATGAATTGTATTCAAGTGAATACATATAGGTAAATTTCTTGTATAAAACTGTGAAAACATAATAACAAAAGAAAAAAACACCTGTCAAGACACTTGTTAATACATGTATACAGCAATAGAAAGCTTTATGCATTTTTTTCAAATTAAAAAATGTGCAGCTAAGATAACAAGCTGTGGAGACTCTAATCAAAGTACTGAAGTACTGAACATCGGAGGACCACAAGTTCTTGAGGATGGTCAAAAGCACTTGTCTCAGAAAAAAAAAAACATATCTCTTTACCCGAAACTGAGGTTAATGTACAGAGATATATTTTTTTCTGAGACAAGTTCGTGCGTGGATGATGAATAAATGACAGGAAATTCAACTTCACCGTAATAACTATTATATTGTAGTGATACAAATCAGTATACACTGATTTGTTTTTTATATTATATTAAAATAACAGTTACATATATATATGATTTGAATCCAATTGTATATCATTCTATTCTACTATTCTAAAAATAGTGCAATGCAAGTGCATGGTGGACACTTTTCTGTAAAAATTCGATTTTTCTAAGATTGGATACGAGTAGGCATTCATATTTTCCCGCAAAAACAATTACAGAGTTACCGGTCCTTGACGGTATTTTCACAAAACGTTCTTTGAGATATTCTTCCGCATGCTTTAACACAATTTTTCGGTACGTGTGCATTGATATTATCAATGATTTTTTACTTATATATATATATATCTAACTACAAAACATTTTCATATTATTAATTTATGTTGTAAACAAAAATATTTTTATCTGTATTCATTGAAGAGATGTATTTATATCAAACGATAAGGAATGTTATTTTGCACTCGTTTATGTGCACATATTTATCATGTTTATAGATCGGTTACAAACCCAAAACTAATTTACATAATGGAAATCTAGGCGATAGCAATACATCGGGATGACCTCAAGGTCATCGCGATGTAATAAAAACACCCTCCTCCAATAAAGAGAATATTATACACCTATAACCATATGTGTAGGATTATATTTCCAAGGATAGAATGTCAATGTATATATGGAAGAAAATTTTATTAAAAGTTTGAATTTTCAGGAAATTTACATTCAATGTATCAATTCATATAAAAATAAGATGTGGTATGATTTCATAAGTTGCTTAATCATATGATGCATATATGTAATAAATAAGCATATTAGGAGACACTATATAATTGGTATATGTCTATAGGTGCATCCAGTACCTGTAGCACACGATTTGTCACCTGGCCATACATATACACTGGTACCTGTCCTGACTTTAAAATGTAACAAAAACAGATTAAGTCAGAAAATTGACCTTACCTACCCATAACACATGTTTTCTCACCTTTTCATTAGTTTTATGATTAATGTTCAAAATATTCTTCAGAAACCTGTATTCCAAGTACAAATTATAAATGTAAGTCATTCACCAAAAACAGAATTTAACTGAAAAATCCTACAACAGAGAACTATGAGAGACCTCAAAATACTTTACATATGACCATACTAAGATAATTTTAGATTTTCATAATGAAATGTGCAATTATAACTAACATTTAATTAGTTCCTCCAGTTTCGCATGATTTAAAGTATTACATTTCATGAAAATTTTATATCATTCCAGTATATGACAAATTGGAATTCATTGGTGTTTTTTAACCAAGTTTGTGTCACAGTCATGATGTTGAAGACAAATCTGATTTGATCTGTATAAATGTAATATCATTGTAATTCCATTCAGTTCACTTATTATCGAGACTTTATGAACATTTTTCTCAATTCCAGAACATTTTCTGCATGTGATATTTTATACTGTGGATTCATTTATTATCATGGTTACCATTTTACCCTGAATTAAGGAATAATTTTATTTTCATTGATACTTAATTCTGTAGAAATGACAAATTGTTTGTGCAAGGTTTCAAGAATTTTTTTTTATATGGCTGAACAGTTAAATTTGTGTTCACATGTACCCATGAAATTTCTCAAAATTAATACCTAACAAATAATCATGAAAACACAGTATTTGTTTATCACTAATAATTAGTTTGCTACTAACATAATTAATATATATAACAAAAAAACAATGTTTAATGAAAAAGAAGAGAACTGTTATAACAAACAAAAAAATTAACCCAATACACTTGTACATTAATGAAAAAAATAAAAAAAATATACCAAACTTGCAATTCAAGCTTAAAAATCATTGTATTGAAAAATAAGCAAGGGGACATAACTGAGAAAAAGCTAGGAATAAACAAACATGCAATTTCATGTTAAAGGATCAAGCTGATAGACATCATGATGTTAGATTGCCAAAGATAATTATTGAGTTATTTAAATGGATCAAATAACAGGACAGTAAAATGTCAAATCATTCAAATACACACAAAGTTCTAGACATATCTAACACACACATGCATATCAAGTTATAAAATAAATCACCATACATAGTATAATGCATTATTAAGACGGAGTCAAATTTCAATAAAATGGTTATTTTCAAACTTAATTGCTGTCATTAAATTCACTAATCTGCAAATAAATTGTTAATTTCTTCAGAAATTATTTACATGCTATGAGATATAATTCGTCAATTGTGTGTAATTATAGATACCTCTGTGGAACCCTAATTCAAAAATAAATTACATCTATTACTTTAAAGCTCATATTTCTGTATTATCGTGAGAAGGCAGGTATCAATTTTTGCTACTTTAAATCTTTATTAAATGAAAGAATAGGCTATATCAAATCTTAATGCAAATCAATCATCGACACTTTAGCCTACTAATAAACTTCACTGCAAGAGACCAAGAAGCTTGAAAGATTTTATTAAAATTTTGCTTTTATCACTTAGCTGTTAATTTTAAATATTATATACTTTCCTTATTTCACTTTTGAACAAATAACTAATAAATTTTGAAGATTATATACCTATAACATTTATTATTAACCCTTAAATTTGTTCAGGAATAGAGTACAACTTCATTTTTATAGAGTTATGTATTCTTCAGTACTTTCCTAATTAACTTCTAAACACTTCACCTAATATTTTACCCAATCCAATATTAGCTTAACCAGCTACTATATGTACATTACCCCTTATAAACTAGCAAAGATTTAAAAGGTGCTAAAGATAATTCTGTATATATCCTCTTAAGGCCTGTCCTTGCGGTCATAAAACTTTTGAGCATGATTATTGTACTCAAACTCAGAAATCAACCAATCAAAATACTGGATTTGGTGTTTTGAGCACAAACTTTGTACTCCGAGTACTGAATAAAGTTTTATGAGCTAGGGCCCAGGGCTCTCGTTCATACAACTTTACTTAGTACTCGGAGTACAAAATTTGTGCTTGAAACACCAAATCCATGATTTTGATTGGTTGATTTCTGAGTCTGAGTTCGAAAATCGTGCTCGAAAGTTTTATGACCGCAAGGCCTGGTCATCATCAAATGTGTGTTTTTCTTAAAAAAATATATAAAATTTGTATATTCTCTTTTATATTATATAACATTGGGTCTAATTTGAAGTTATGTCTTCCAAAAGGCTTGTATTAAATAAATTGTCATTTAGAGGACATCATATAGTCAAGCTCCCATGCAGAGTTGCATAAAATACAGGCAGAATTTGAAAGATTGCACCAGATATGACGAAAGAATATTTTTGAATCTTAAGAATATGTTCTACTATGTGTTAGCTACTAAAGAATAACAAATAAGGTGATTTTGTTTAAAACAAAATGAAAAAAATTGCCAAGTAAAATATCCATTGCAAGAATTGTTCATTTTGGTGTACTCTGTTCAAAATCCAAAAAAAATAGTTTATACTAAAATTAACAATTATTTACATATAACCAAGAAGATAGATATATATAGTAAAGCCTTCATAATTCAATGGTATAATATCTTACTGGTAGTGATCCTTTGAGGTATATACTTGATGAGTTCAGGTTGTTGTGAAGTATGTTCTGATCATGAAGGTAATACAATCCCTCAGCTACATCATGGATGATCATTCGTTGACAAGATTCTGGTAGTGGTGATTCAAGTCGTCTGATCAACTCCTGCAGTGTTCCACTGTTAGTTAACTCAAGACAAATAATTCTGAAATAAAAAAATCAAGGAATACAATTTGTTAACATACATAACCATACCTCATATATGTATTCTCTGTATAAATAGACTGTTGACACAGAGATATAAATATCTTTAAAAAAAGACAATCTGATGGACAGCAACATTGCCAAATAATTCAAAGTTGCTGGACCATGATCTAGTGGGCAGGGCCTTGAAATGGTCAACAAACTGAGATATACCGACAGTAATGTAACTTTATAGAAAATATTGTTGTCTATTGTAAGAAGTTCCTATCAAACTAACTTAAGCAGAAAACTTGGTATTGAAAATTGCTAATTGACTCAAAGTCGCTGGACCATAACCTAAGGGTCAGGTCCTCAAAATAGTCGTTAAACAGATATGTACAGATAGTAATGCAACTTTATAGAAAATATCATTGATTTATCACAAGTAGTTCCTATCAAACTGACTTAAGCAGAAAACTTAATATTGAAAATTGCTACTTAAGTGAAAGTCACTGGACCATAACCTAGGGGGCAGGGCCCCAAAAAAGTCGTCCAACTGACATGTACTGATAGTAATGCAACTTTATAGAAAAAATCATTGATCTATCACAAGTAGTTCCTATCAAACTAACTTCAGCAGAAAACTTAATATTGAAAATTGCTAATTAATTGAAAGTCGCCAGAAAAGCAATACCTGTGTCTAGCCTTTTGTTGCAGGCGAGACAAAAATGGAAACCCCTGCTGAAACTTTTTCTGTATGGAGTTTCAAAAGGATTTTTTTTTGTATCTGGAAGGTCCTTTCAACAGCCTAAGCACCATCTGGTGTACAATTAGTCAACATTATGAATATATACAATATGTGTAAGTTTATGTACAGTATCCTTGTAGCCTTTAGGTTTTTTTATATGTTCATTTCCTATTCCCTTCTACATGTGTCATGAACTATTTTCTTGAGAGTTGAGACCTACATTTTTCTATAAAAAAAAATTGATTAAACTTACTTTTATAAGGACTGGTTTATCTTACAATAAAAAAAATCTCTTGTGAGATTTTATGCATTTATCCTATTTTTCAAAATGTACATACCTAGAATCACTAGTGACTATCTCTCCAGTGATCAGCGTCATAGTTTCATAGTATGGGTTAGAACTACTGGTCCACAGACATTGTAACAAACTAGCATGCTGTATTTTACGTAACATTCCCAGAACTACTATCTCCTGGGCCCAGGACTTCACATGTTTTGGTCCATACACCTTCATTAGACCTTGTCTGGTGTGATGTTTCCCAGCATTCCATGTTGCTCTTAATCTTAGTTTGCCTGGAGCCTAGAATTAAAGGAAAATTATCGTGCCATTACAATATAATTAAAAGTTTGAATAAAATACAAAAGCTTTGTTTCTATAGATTTTGCTGACTTTACCTTTTTCTTGTGTGTATGGTTTGTTCGTTTAAATTCATTAGTTTTTGGTCTTGAGTCGGAAGAATCTCCTTTTTCACTCTCCACTTTGATTCATCTTTTAAACAAACAGTATTCATTCAGTAGTATATTGAAGATCTTGAGAAGATGTGATTTCTAAATCATATTACAGATTGATGAACAAACTGAACACATAATGATACATCCAGTTTTTATAAGCAGATGGTTTCATATAAAGAGACAGTGTTTTTAATGTTTGCCAATCTCTTTGTGAATCTGGGTGATGTTCATACCTTCCTGAACTGTTTGCAAACTTATATTATGGTCATTAGTGATGTTCATACCTGTTTCCCACACTAATTATATAATGTAATGCTTGTCAGTGATGTTCATACCTGTTTCCCTAGCTAACTATATAATGTAATGCTTGTCAGTGATGTTCATACCTGTTTCCCCACACTAATTATATAATGTAATGCTTGTCAGTGATGTTCATACTTGTTTCCCACACTAATTATATTATGTAATGCTTGTCAGTGATGTTCATACCTGTTTCCCACACTAATTATATAATGTAATGCTTGTCAGTGATGTTCATACCTGTTTCCCACCTTAATTATGTAATGTAATGCTTGTCAGTTTTTTCCCCACCATAATTATATAATGCAATGCTTGTCAGTGATGTTCATACCTGTTTCCCACACTAATTATATAATGTAATGCTTGTCAGTGATGTTCATACGTGTTTCCCACACTAATTATATTATGTAATGCTTGTCAGTGATGTTCATACCTGTTTCCCACACTAATTATATAATGTAATGCTTGTCAGTGATGTTCATACCTGTTTCCCACCTTAATTATGTAATGTAATGCTTGTCAGTTTTTTCCCTACCATAATTATATAATGTAATGCTTTTCAGTGATGTTCATACCTGTTTCCCACACTAATTATATTATGTAATGCTTGTCAGTGATGTTCATGCCTTTCTGAACTGTTTTTATATTTGCTACTACATATACACTTTAGGATGTTATTTTTCAGTCAACCATAAGTCATTAATTTGATCTTTACGATTGTTTTTACCACATTTTTCAGTTTCTATTTAATATTTGTTATCAAATTTGTTGATGACTTCCAATATAAGTGTGTGTTATGACAGTTTAAAGTATTTAAATTTGTCATCAAATATTTCTATCTGATATCACTACAGCAATAATCAACATGAAAATTTCCTCTAAATTCAAATGGAATGTTTTATACATCAGTTACATAACAATGAGCTGTACGGTAATTGTGTAATTTAAGGTTTAAAAAGCATTTTAATGTTCAGAATGTTAAATCATTAATACCTACTGCATTAGAAACCAGACATGTGGAATTCAAAGTATGTATTTTGAAAATAAAATAGACCATTTTACTATACCCCCTACTCAGGGAAGAAGGGGGTGCATAGTAAAATAGCTTTTGTGTAGACTTTGTATCCATAACTTTTCCTAAAGACTGACATGATTTAAATTAAAACTATTTGAAAATCATTAGTACATAATGGCTTTGCACATCTCACATTTCATCCAAATAATTTTTGGGATTACTCATAGTAAAACATACTTTGCCATAGCTGCAAAGGGTGCTTTGGAGAAACATAATGTTAAAGCTACTTAAGAAAACCCATAGAGCAAAATTTTACACAGACACAAGTCAACCCATTGTTTCTCTGCAATGATTTGTTTGACCTATATAGTTCATCCATTCATCCACTGAATTGTATCTAATTTTTTTCTTTATTTGACACAATTTGAACAAGAATGAGAATTTATACTACATTTAAAACTTTTGGGGAGATAACAGTGATATTCATTTTTCCCCATTATGTGGGCAGGATCAATTAAGTCATATTATGTTTTCCATTATGTGGGCTGGACTTAAGAACTGATATAAAAGGACTGATTATCATCATTATATAGATATAAGAAGATATGGTATGAGTGCCAATAAGATAACTCTCCATCCAAGTCAAAATTTATAAAAGTAAACCTTTATATGTCAAAGTACAGTCTTCAACATTGAGCCTTGGCTCACACCGAACAGTAAGCTATAAAGGGCCCCAAAAATTACTAGTGTTAAACCATTCAAACAAGAAAACCAACGGTCTAATCTATATAAAAAACGAGAAACGAGAAACACTTATGAACCACATCAACAAAAGACAACTACTGAATATCAGATTCCTGACTTAGGGACACTGTTCTCTGACTGAATATGATCTTTATTGTGTATCCAAATACACACTGTCAGTATCTGGATGTTCAGTATAGCTATTTACGAATATGAACACATTGACCTACTGCAATAAGTCAATGAACAAACAACATTTCTACCAGATCCTTTCTAAAAGTGACTTTATAATAGCTATAAAAACAGTCAGAAAATACACTGATCTTAAGTTAAAGAGTTTTATTTTTAAATATAATATTGTAGTTAAGAAATATTTATTCAAAAGATAACATGAAAGCTCCCTTAAATATTTAACTAATGACACCTGTATAAAGTTGAATCTGAAGTAAGCTTAAAGTTTTTAGAGAAAAATATACATATCCTTGACTGAAATCTTGTTGTTCATATACGCCTTTCAAATATAAAAAGTACTAATATTCTTTAAATTTGGGTCGTCAAATTGTATGATAAATAAATATAAATCTGAAAATTATTGATGTTGATATAATTGACGACAATTTTATTAGATATTGATATGAAAGTTTTAAGTTAAAAGTCTTTTCAAAAAGTTTAAACTGATGTGAACATTTGACAAATCGCCAATGTAGAAGATTTTAACAATTTCAGTTTTGAACTGAAAAATATGCTTCACAAAAGAAGTTTCATCTATAAAAATTTCTTTTCAGGATGGGACAAATATGTATTACAAAATTAAATGGATGAAAATTTGTTTAAATAATCAAACCAAATGCAATAGACTTTTTGACTTTTCATCTTGAATAATTTACTACGGTAACCATACTTTTCCTGTTTAAATATTTATAAACAATTAAAGCAGAATCCATTATTTATTAACAAATTTCATAATATATAGTCCAGTCTATTTAGATTTTTACCGAAAATTTTAAACTTATTTTGCTATCAAATTCAAGACTGCTTCATTAAAACACCTTTTGTTAGGCTGCCAGATGGTAAATTGTTTTAGTGGCACAAAGAGTGGCCTGTGGTGAGGAACCAGACCACCTGAACTGAAGACCACAAGATTCATTTAATTGGGTTGCTGTCTCATTCCAATATACCACACATCTCATTCCATTAACATGTTGGTTCATGTGTTAAAACAGTGAAGTTTAATTGAGAAACTGAATATAACAAAAAATATCACTGTATATTTGGTTCCAACTGATCCATTATTTCAAAATAAGAATTTTGGATAAACTTCCCCATAAATAAAGTTTTTATAAAAATTTATTTCCAGTATTAATGACGATTCTGTATTTTAATAGGCTGTGTAACTGCAGAGAAAACTGACAATTTCTAGTACTCTGTATTCTATTTTTAGAAATTGCAGCCATGTTAGTTGATACATCATTGGAAGAAGATTTCTTTGCTTAATGTCCAGTGGCAAATATTTCATGCATATTCAGGACAAAAACATCATTGGAAGCATAGTTCTAAAACCTAACACCTTATAAGGAGGATTATGGCCTGATCTAATAACAATACACAAATTTTGATTTACAGTCGAGTACTTCAACTTCAAAGTTTCTAGCAATCAATTTTGGTCTGTGAAGTCAAAATCTTTTATGTAACGATACTAATAAATGAAGAGAAATCAGTGACAAACAAACTTAAAACTTAGGTATTGGATATCGTCCCACATAAAAAACAAACTTTTGAAACAAGACACATGACAAATGACATGAAATGTCAATATCTTACTGTTCTTTAGAGTAGGCAGGTGTGCAAATCAATATTTTCTGATCAAAATTGACGACATTTGATAGTACCAGAAGTTTGAATTTACTGGAGGACTCCTTCAATCACATGTTTAGTTCATATTCCTGAAGTTTGAATTAACTGGAGGACTCCTTAAATCAAACTTTTATTTCATATTCCTATCACTTTAAGATATCTAACAACAACTAATATTCAAATAGCTGTTAATTTTAGAGTAGTGTTATTTATTTATAAAATATCAGATTTTGTTTATACCTAATCAAATTTAGAATATGACACACCTTACAAAAACGCTATTCAATTCCATTTCAAATGTTCATCTCTAGAGATCTAACTTGTCAAGATTGTGCTATAAATAACACCTAAAAGGGAGATAACTCAATAAATGAACCCTTATTTCATTATTTTCGAAAATTATCTCAAGATCCCATTCTGCATTTGTCTTCTACCATTTAATGAAAGTTTAAGCACAATATGTTGTATGGAAATGTTTTTTTTTAGTTTCTAATTTTAAAATACTGTCTAAATTTATAGACTTGCACTTCAAAATTTTGTTTCTCATGGCGTAGCTTACTATAGTTTTTTTTTCTTTTAAAATTCTGTACATTTTAATCAAAATTTTAGGTTAACAAGTAAAGTTGTGCAATAAAAACAATAAGATTGTTTATATCCTGCATGATAAAAATTAATACTTAGAATTTATTGCCATATTAAACTGTTCAATTCTCTGCATGTGACAAAAAAGTCCATGCCTTTCCTCCTTGTCACTAGGAACTCACCATTTAAGTCAACAACAAACGCAATAATTCAAAGCTGAAATTGCAGCTATTATATAATAATCAATGCCTACATCATCATAAATCAAGATCGAGTCGTATTTAATGAGTTATATGAGTGATCTGATATTTGTTTAATTATTCAATAACACTTCCATGTAGAAAATAGAAAAA